AAACGAGAAACTGCAAACGTAGATTCAATCAAAATCATGGATAGATAACCGCCGACTTAGTATATCAAATTGGAATTTAGCAGGCCGAAAACAAATAATATCGACACCTGTTCATGTCATCCATCATTTTTCTGACCTGGTTTTGTTTTCATATTTAAGAAGAAAAATATTCCTCACAGCTATGCTTTTTGCTAATCTCGAGTATTAAGATTTTTGGACTTCGTCACAGTTAATTAATATAGTAATATTTTCATTAAAGAAGCTAAAATATTACATATAAAAGTAATAAGTAATAACCTCCCAAAAAAATAAATAATTTAAATGTGTTTTGGAAAAATAAAACATAAATAAATATGAATAAAAGATTTATAGTTCAGAAGTACATTCCCTTTACTGAGTCAGAAAATGTCACTGTTAAAGACCCACCTGAAGGTCCTGAACTGAAAGAACGCAGTAACGTGTTTTGATTTGTTCTGGGATGTTCAGAGTTTCGCAATTGACCTAATTTTTTTAGTAATTTTTTTTTTTTTTTGTAAAAAAGTAAATCTCCCATTTGAAGTGAGAATATAAAATATGGCGGGCGCGAACATTCCAGCAGACTCCAGACTCCAGAGATATATCATATAAATATTTATATTGAGTTTGATTGAATAAGTTAAATAGTTTTGATAACGTTGTTTCAGATTTTCTTTTTCTTTTTTTTTTTTTTTCCCTTAGCAACAACAACATGTCATCAGATTTGCATTTTTAGTTGAAACAAAAGAAAACTTAACTGGCGGATGCAATCAACGCGTTCCGTTTTAAAGGAATGCCAATAACCTTGTGCTCCAACTCCCAACTAGTCCAGTGGCGGAACCAGCTTTTCGGATTTGAAGGGCTGACTATATGTTTATAGTCGGAAAAGATAATTTGACATACATAGTGCGATGTTAACTATAATTACCCCTAAGAGATTTTTTGTCCGATCGGGAACTCGGAAAAGGGTTTCGCCACTGAAATAGTACTACAATTCGAATCTAAACAATAAATTATTTAAGCGGTAATGTTGGGATTCTAAGATTTCAAGATTAATAGCAACTAAAAATTTGAAATAATCTATTGCAAAATTGATTACTTAAAAATATGTTTTACCTATTCAGCAATCCTAACTAAAAATACCGAACCCTGAAATGATTTACAATTAATTATACAATCTTAAAGAGTATCAAAAGATTATTTGTATTTTATTGAGACGGAAGGAGTACAAAATTACAAGTTTATCCTATCGTGCACATCAAAGAATCCATCTAACACTGATAAACATTGGATGCCGATAGAATCTGTAGATAAAGCCATAAAGGAGGTTCAGGTTTTCCTCTACTAGCATTGATGTCTAATTTGTCTACCATAGGAAATGATCAATCATATCAATTCATATTCATATGTTGTTCTCTTATTATCCTTAATTACATCTATTTTCTTCTTTTAAAAAACCCTATCCTATCCACATTTTATCCACTACTCCAATTTATCTATATATTTATCATCATCACGACTGATGCTAGCTAGGTTTGTTTCCCAAAATTTAGCCTTTCCAGAGATTGAATTACACTTTGTCATTAATAATGAAATTTTATTATAAAATTCTGTATAAAAATTAATCGGAACAATAAATTCAGAAAAATAGGCGTAAGCAGCTAATCAGCTGCCGAAATGGAGGGCCCAAATATGCCAAATGCACACTATTACCTTTAGAAGGACATGACAAAATCAAAGTGACGTGAAGCATTTGTTGATGATTTATAACCTGAGGTTCTGTTTTTTTCTCTCAATTTTTTTTTAATAATAATTTTCATATATTTAACGAAAATAGAAGAAGAACATGGATAGAGATGGAGATAAACACAGTAATAAAAACATGCAGCTTACAAGAAAAACCATGTGAAGTGAACTTCTTGTCGGGACGACAACTCAACTCATTTGGCATCCATTTGTTTAATCCGTCTTCCACCTTATGAATCAAGTAGTCCTTTTATAAGGAAAAGGATTTATTTATGTATACTTCGATTCGAAAAATAAAATTACATAAAATTTAGTTTAATTTAAAGATAACGATTTATTTAAATTATTACAATCCATAATTTAGAACTTAAAAAGTTTTGAATTGGAGTACAATTTTTTTCTGTACGACAACCATTTATACTTTTATTATATACTTTCTTGAAATCAAACGCTCAATTTCATAATTTCATTGGTTGAAAATGCAAGTTTTGAGGAACATGGAACGTGAGGAAGTACATTATAATTAATTTTGCATAGCAGAATGTGGGATGAATAAACCATCACTTTGCATGGTTCTTTCTTTTTTTTTTATTATTTTTTTTTATAATAAGCTCTTTGTGGAAATTATTGACTCAGTTTATTTCTATTATTCATTGTTTTTATTTTTGTTCTCTTTAAGAAGCAAAACATTATTTCCCTACTACGTTTTGGATTCTTCTTTTAATAATTAATAACGACAAAAAAAAAAAAGAGAGAGGACGAAATGGAAATATTAAGGTTAGTGGTCCAGCTAAGAGGTACACATTTTGGCAGCCAATTTTAAAGATCAGCTTATCAGATTATCATTTACTGATCTGGAAATTTTAAAAAGAAAAGGAGATCTACTTATATATATATTATTATTTTTTTATTTTTTTTGGAAAAAATGTCTTCAATTTTGATATCCTAACCTCATGTTTTGCCGCAATCAATTCAGATATTTTTTCTGATAGATCAGTACTCAGTAGTATCACAATATTACATGATCATGTGCAACCTTAGCTTATACTTATGTTGGACTTCCAAAATTTCTTCCAACTCAAATTCCAATGTTATTTGAGCACGTATCACCTAGTACTTATTGTTTGGATGGACTAATAGTGATCGATGAGTTTTTTTATTTGGATATTTTGTACTCTCCTTGTCCCATAATTATTCTCTAATTTGGATCTTTATTTGAACTAAAACAGAAAGTCCAAACTGAACAATTATTATGGGACGGAGAGAGTATCATTTATCGTAAAAAGATATATTAAACAAATGAATCTATTAGATAATACATGATATTGCTATCGATCTCACCCTTTATAATTATGGAATTAAACGTTTTATTTAGAACATTTAGTGATTTGCAAACTTTAGGTCGAATTAATCCCTTTACAAATTCTTCTTATAGCTAGGTTATCCTAGTTAAAAATACTTCTTTTTTTTTTTTGCATTGATGAAATATTTTTTTTTCCCAAGTAATTACGTTCGTGTCACGATGTTATGCATAAGAGGACCAAGAATCACATGCCGCGGGAAAGGTAAAAAATTTTCAAAAAATGAAATTGATTATGATTCCTCAATCAACTTTGTTCTTCACCTAATTCTTTTAATCTTCTGGCTTTTTCCTGTGATTTCTCACGTGGTGAACATGAATTTCCTCATAAAATTCACCCCAGTTATAGACTTCACCAGTGAAGTAGTCAACAAAAATTTTTGGACAAGAAAAGAAATAAACAAAATTGAGTAGGATCATACTACCGTTATCTTTGTCAAATACACGTTTTGCAACACTTTGAGAGTTACAAGAAAGGAGAAAACAAAAGTTAGGAGACGTCACACGTAAGGGTGATAAAACAGGTCGTATCTCGTGTTCGCAGGTAAAAAAATATGAAAATTTCCATATTAGATCTTGTGACATTCGTGTTACTTGCAATGTTGATCATGTACATTACATGCAGTGGAGTAAACAATTGATCTTACTACATTAGATGGAAAGTTTTGCCTCTGTGCTTTGACTGATATTTTACCCTGGTCAGCCGGTCAAGTTTGGTCAAAGTAACGTTTTGAAAATCCATATGGAAAAGGAAATACCAAAAAGATGGAAGAAAAGGACCATGGTGAACAATATGCTGAGAGTGATTTTTTTTAATTAATTTTAATGAATGATTTTCTTTTTCTTTTTCTTTTCCTTTTTTTTTTTCTGAGGCCACTTCTTGTTTTTGGATTGCCATATATTTTTTAAAATTCAGTTTTTCCTATTATCGAAATATCTCTTATCTCATCGAACTGGATAATGGATTTTCTCCACAAATATCTCTTATGTCTGAAAAGAAATAATTTTATAAATATTCAATCATACACTACTAAGCTAGACAATTTTTCATGTCAAGTTATCAATTTAATTTACAATATTCTGATGCAACTCTATTATTTTCCCCAATTCTTTTTTGGCACACATTAATTAATTTATTTTTCTGTCACTTGATTTGCACCTAAATTAACTAGATTATATTGTGAAAACTTAATTAGGTTAAAATGTGATTAAAATTGAGTTGAGTATATTCTGACGCAGATACATCAAATTTTTTTTTTTTTTGAAACGGTACGCATATACATCATAGAACAAGAATAAAACAATTTTTTAACATATATATTTTTTTAATTCTTTGAATTCATAAAAATGTTAGACCCTATTTTGAGTCAAACCTTAATTTAGTATCTAGCACTAACATTTCTAAGTAACCAAAAAGAAACATTGCAAACCTACTAAGTTTTAAAAAAGGTCAATTCAAATCTTGAAATAAATAATCATCCATAAATACCAAGTTTCATTAAAAGATCTCCAAATTAAGGTACAAAATCTCACTAAAAAAAAAAATCCTATTTAATTTTTTTAAAATAAATCATACTAATAAAGTATTCCAATGAAAAGACATAATCATTATTACCAAATTTAAAGTTTTTTAACTCCCTCAAATCTCGGCCTTTAAACAAAAAATAACGGCCCACCCGGCAGTACAAAAAACATGATCCACGGCTGAGAATCAATTTGATGGACAAATAAGCGGTCACGATTTAATCTTCTCAATTTCAAACACGGGTCTCTTTCTTCATCCCACCTATAACTATATATTCGCTTTCAACGTCCCCTCCATTTCTCACTCTCTCTTTCCATCTTCCCATTTTTTTTTTTTCCTTTTCTTTTCCTTTTTGATTTACAAATTTTGTTTCTTTTTGGTATTTGTGTTTTTGGGGTTTGATTGGAACCAAAAGTAATTGTTTCTGTTTTTGTTAAAAGCAGAAACGGTTCCAGAATCTGGGATTTTGGTTTTTTTAATTTTGTTGCTTAAAAGAAGAAAAAAAAGAGAACTTTAATTTGTATCCATCCTATTCCAATCTCTGTTGTGAAGGATTTTGAATTTTGTTAAGAACCCTGGTTAAGAAAATAGGTTATCTCAACTGGGCTTGTTGATTTTGGAGGTGGGTCAAGCTCAATTTAGGAAAGGTCAGCATTTTTTTTTTTTTAATGTCCTGATGTTTTTTTGCCTTCCCATTTCTGGAATCTGTGTTTAATGATGGAAATGTAATCTCCAGCTGAGATTTCGTGTGTTATTTTGGAAGAATTAATAGGTGTTGAAATTTGAAATTTTGCTGCCTTTTTGCTTCTCAGTTGAGATCTAATTCGAGTTTGATTGCTGTTATTGTCCTGTTTGATATAGATTGTCGTTCAATTTTGATGAAGTCGTGAGTTTTATGGGTTTTTGGAATGACTTGGATTTTTTTGTTTTTGGTGGGTTGTTCTCTGCAGGTTCTACTGGGAATGTAAAGCTGAATTGTGAATTCAATTACTCAAAAGTTTAGTTATATTGGTTATTTTTCTGGAATCTTTTAGTGAAAATGGGGCCTGAGATGGGAGCTCTGCTAGCTAACATGAATATCTTGTCAACAACTTCCGATCACGCTTCAGTTGTGTCGCTTAATATATTCATCGCCCTCTTGTGTATTTGCATCGTGATTGGTCATCTTCTGGAGGAAAATCGTTGGATGAATGAATCCATCACGGCTCTTATTATTGTAAGGATCTTTTTTTTTTTTTTTCTGTCTCTGTCATGTTGTACATTAAGTTCTTTTCTGTACTGTTAAGTTGATGGTTTAAATGTAAATCCTTTCTTTGTTTTGGATTGCAGGGTTTGTGTACCGGAGTGGTTATTTTGTTAATAAGCAACGGGACCAGCTCGCATCTGTTGGTTTTCAGTGAAGATCTTTTCTTTATTTATCTGCTTCCTCCGATCATTTTCAATGCCGGGTATGTAGTAATTTTCTTGAACCATGCATTGTGTGTTGCAGCAGAAGTGGAATGTACAACATAAAAATAAAAATAAAAAGATCAGAAAATGTGCTTTACTAAATGGTTTGCCTCTGTTTTATTAAGCTGCATGGAGTCCATGAAATTTCTAGGTATAATTCTTATGTAGGGAAATGGCAGTATTTATGTGGAAAGACATTACGTTTACATTAGACTGATTTCAGTTTTGTGTTACTTTATTTGTCAGATTCCAGGTCAAAAAGAAACAGTTCTTTCGCAATTTCATCACAATTATGTTGTTCGGAGCAGTTGGGACTTTGATCTCCTTCATCACCATATCACTGGGTATTGCACTTAGTATCATTGTGCTTTAAGTATTCTTGTGTCTTATGACACCAATTCTGATAGTGTTTCTCAGGTCATCTACTGTTAATATTCCCATGAAGTTACGCTTGACATTTCAGACTGTTTGTAAATATTAGGTTTTGCTAGAACATGCAGCTCGAAGAACTGAGTGTTTTTAATTCGTAAATTTGTCAAAATTGCTCACTTTCATATGACTTCTTTTTTGCACTTTTCCCCTCTTTTCATAGGCTTGCCTTTTATCAATGGTAATGAATACAATTACCCATTTTTCTTTGTTACGACTGAATATCATTTTATGGCATTGGGACTGATGACCTTACTGTAAATATGACTATCCACCTTGCCGTATTTTAGATTTCTGTGAAACTTATTGCAGTTATAGTTCCCTTTTTAAATCAATATGCTAACTTTTGTGTCTTTTTTTGTTTCTTTTTCGATGTAGGTGCTATTAGCATTTTCAGTAATATGGATCTCCAACCTCTCAAAATTGGAGACTATCTAGGTATCTATCAGCTTTTTATATTTTTTATTATTTTTATATCTCTTGTGAATTCAACTTTTAAAGTAGTGGAAAGTTTTGTTCTAACTCTTGTCCTCATTTTTTATGTTCAGCCATTGGAGCAATCTTTTCTGCAACAGATTCTGTGTGCACTCTACAAGTAAGTGAAAAGATTGCAGACATTTTTCTGAAGAACAGGCTGCCCTCAATGGCTGATGTTTCAATCTGAATTGTGCAGGTCCTTAATCAAGATGAAACACCCCTTCTTTACAGTTTAGTGTTCGGTGAAGGAGTTGTGAATGATGCTACTTCTGTTGTGCTGTTCAATGCGGTCCAAAACTTTGACCTATCTCATCTCAGCACAAGTGTAGCTTTGCAATTAATTGGGAACTTCTTCTACTTATTTATTTCTAGCACTTTTCTGGGAGTTCTTGTAAGTATATCTTTGTGTTATTTATCAGCATGGGGAATGTGTTTCAATCAGACATCTTTTAGGTGGCTCAAATATTTATGATTTGTATTGACTGTAGGCTGGGCTGCTCAGTGCTTTCATTATAAAGAAGCTGTACTTTGGAAGGTTTGTGTTATTACTTTACTGCTATAGTTGCTCTGAAAATCACATAGGAAACTTTCTAGTGGATTGAAAGAGGATATATGAAGGGGATGTAATGCAAAAGGATTAGACGCTGTAATTATGTTTCCTTAATTTCTTTCTTTGTTTACAGGCACTCCACTGATCGTGAGGTTGCCTTAATGATGCTCATGGCATACCTCTCATACATGCTGGCAGAAGTATGTCTTTCAAGAACATATATTGGTCTTGGTTAAATTTAAACTACTTTGATTTCATTCCTAAGGATTTTTATTTGTCTTTGTTTGTAGTTATTTGATCTAAGTGCTATCCTCACTGTGTTCTTTTGCGGGATTGTAATGTCTCATTACACCTGGCATAATGTCACAGAGAGCTCAAGAGTAACAACCAAGTATGTCCTTGTCTTAATCTCTTCTCAAATCATGCATTTATCTAGTGATTTATTTTGTGATCTGCTCTTGCTTGGTGTCCGGTCTCAGTTTTTTCTTTTCAAGTTTGAATCATATATGCAAATTGTAATCCCCTCAATCGTTCTGCAGGCATGCATTTGCAACATTGTCCTTTGTTGCTGAAATTTTCATCTTTCTGTATGTTGGTATGGATGCTTTGGATATCGACAAGTGGAGGATTGTTAGTGACAGGTATGACATAGAAGTGAGAAGCATCTGTTGATATTTCAATGATGATAGCCTTTAAATAGCATTTTCTGCTTGAAATGAGATGTTAATCCATTACTAACCGTTACTGTAGCCCGAAGACATCAATTGGAGTCAGCTCTGTGCTGTTGGGGCTTGTTTTGTTGGGAAGAGCAGCCTTTGTTTTCCCATTGTCATTTATGTCGAACATGACCAAGAAGACTCCAGAAGAGAAAATAAGCCTAAACCAGCAAGTACGAATTTATACGATGCTTCCTCTTTGGGAGTCCTTGATTTTTTGTTATTTCTGGATGATTTATGGATTTCACTCTGACAGATTACAATCTGGTGGGCGGGTCTCATGCGAGGAGCTGTTTCCATGGCGCTTGCTTATAACAAGGTTAGTTCAAAATCATTTTTCTGTAGTTTTGGACGTGTTGAATTTAGTTTTTATCTGCGACATAGAAGGATTCTGAAGTTTGGGTTTTGCTGTCATTGTTTCTAATTAATGCAGTTTACAAGAGCCGGTTACACTCAGTTAAGGGGGAATTCAATTATGATCACCAGTACAATAACAGTTGTTCTTTTCAGCACAATGGTAAGGATTTTCAGGGACTTTGAAAAATCAAAGAATGTGTTCTTTAGTTCTGCACATGATAAACAGAACCCTGCTGCTAATTTTACACCAAAGAAGTAACAATAACCTACTTCAATTAGCAGTTTCCGCAGAATGTTGAATTGACTTGAAATAATGTGCTGTTTGGCAATGAATGATCCATTGAAGTTGTTCACCTTCCTTTTATTTTCTATTATTTCAGTAAACACGTGGATGACCACATTAATATCCACAGCTCAACTTATTTTGCTAACCTTTATCTTGGTTTTAAACAGGTATTCGGGTTAATGACTAAGCCTCTGGTGAGGCTCTTGAATCCATCACCGAAGCATTTGAGCAGTATGCTCTCGTCTGAGTCAGTTACTCCAAAATCCTTCATTGTTCCCTTGCTCAACGGTGAATCAGAAGCTGAACTAAGTGGCATTGCCCGGCCATCCAGCTTGAGGATGCTCATGACTGCCCCAACTCACACCGTTCACTACTATTGGAGAAAATTCGACAATGCCTTCATGCGTCCCGTTTTTGGTGGTAGGGGATTTGTGCCTTTTGTACCAGGCTCACCGACCGAGCATAACAACGAGCAATGGCAGTGAGGATCACTAGTACATGAATAGCGGAATTCACTAGGTTGTTATGTGGTTTTTGCACATAGTTTCAGGTTCTCGTGTCGTCGCTTGAGTGTTTCAGGTCATAGGGTTTTGGTTTTTGTCAGTAAATAGGTTGCAAAGGGAGAGACTTTTCCTTAGGTGTGATATCATCTTTTGAATTTTTCCCCATTGGGCAAATTCACTGACCCCAGCGGTTGGTTCATGGGAATTCCATGGTTTTGGGCCCTGAAAGCATCCTTTTTTGGAAAAAAAAGAAAAAAAAAAACACCAAATAGGTGTATATTCTTTTTCTAGAAACTGCCATCTGAATTCAGCAACCTCTTTTGTGTATAATGGTTTCTTTTAGCCATTAATGCCTATTGAAAATCTTTAGAATGCAGTTCTTAATATCGTTTTGAGTATTGCTTCATTCATATTGGTTTGTATGTGTAAACACCTTTGTCGGGACGATATTTTTACAGGAACCAATAAGGATAGCAACATCCTGATGAAGGGGTAGCATATTTTAGTATATCGTGTCATTTGTGGTATCAGCTGCAGTGATTCTATTATGAGTTAGGATTCTATTATGAGTTGCACCAGCTGCAGTGATACCATATAAACTATAAAGGTCTTCACCGAACTTCGAGAAGTAGCAGTAGCAGTAGGTTCTTTTTGGTATTTTTCGACTGAAATGGTAGTTATGTCAAAAGTATGTTTCGGAGAATATATTCAACAGATTTTAAGAGCCAGAGATTTTGTACAGTAATCCCGCTATCATGAGATGATTAGTTTCTAACCTTTCAGTTAGGTTCGTGTTGCATGATATAAATTCGACTCCTAGCTGAAATCCTGCATCTTTTCTAGGACAAAAAGTCATCAACTGATCACTGCTGACTGCAGAGCATGCATTCATGGGCAGGATCAGGTTCTTCTCACAGTCAATGATAATGTCTTAGTTAAAACGTTTACAAAATCTTCGAAATCTGAGGTGGTCTTTCTCAATCATGTAGCAAAATTTTGCAGGATATCCAAATATGCAGGCACAAATAGCATTAAAAGGTGAACAATTGGATTCCTTGAATTGATATCAATCAATAGCAGAAATATACAAAGGCTTCTTTACTCACTAAGCACCCCAAGTCATGTACGCCGATGCCAAAGAAAACATATACTAACTCTATCCTTCTGTCCAGTCCATTGGTCAGAGTAAGTGTTGGCTAAACCTAGCTTCACTTTTCTTCATTAACCATGTAATAAGAATCCAAGAGTTAAGCTAATAATTGCGACCATGCACACGAAGAGAGGTGGAAATCCTCGTTCAATGCTTCTCGCACCCACTTTCCTCCTCATCGTCACCTGCGCAAATAAAGAACCAACAAGTCAAAAACATGTTTTGAAGTGTAAAACATGATCATACAGATGGTAATAAAGTCACCAATTGGTTAGAGCTTCAAAAGTCACCTGAAAACTAAATAACAATAATGCATAATAAATATTAAAATTCTAAAGCATCCATGACTTCTTGATACTCACCAATTCTTTCTTTAGCGTTTCATTCTCTTGAATAGCTCCGGTCTTTTCTTCAGCTACCTTTTTAATGTTTGAATTAGCCTACAGAGCATGATCAAACAAACATTATTACTCGGAAATTTTCTTCCATGCAGTGTATCACAAGAACGAAGCACTAGAAAAGTACTGGAGAATACTTTTACTGATCATTGGAAGCAGCGCTACATATAGAACTTCAGAACTTGACCCAAAAAAAAAAAAAAAAAGATACCCTAACTGGATTCGTCATTAAGTTTTTACTGATCATTTGAAGCAGTGCTATATATAGAACTTCAGAAATTGACCAGATAAAAAAAATACCCTAACTGGATGCATCATTAAGTTTTTACCCCGACAATTATAGAACTCATACCTTCACATATTAATCAGAGGTACAACTGAACACATAATATTGTATATTAAAAAGAAGATAATTAAAAAGCATACCAAGACAGACCTGAATCAGTTCTGAATCTAATGTTTTTAGCTTTGACTTTAGTTCCTCTATTTCTCTCAATAGGATCTTTCTTGTTTCTTCCACATCATACAAAGGTCTTGCTACTACTCCATCGTCAGAGTTGAGCTTTACATGATTACCAGGGAATTGTACATTCTCCACAGGTTTAGTGGGAGTCGAGACCTCTGTACCCCTTGCAACTTTTTCATTGAAAAGACTCATGGCTGGCTGTGGTGAAAAATATAATTATCATCAGTTGATAGCGTCAACAAGAAAAACAATCATGTGCCCAAAATAAAAGACTTCATCATTCAAAATTGATAACTTAACTCTAAAGTGTTAAAACCGAAATCAGTTCATACATTAATGCATCAATCATCCAACACCGAAACTCATCAGTACAAGGTTGACACTTTTGTTGTATGAGGGAATTAAGGGCCAATTACTGTTACCATTTCCATTAACAACAAAATCCCCAAGATGTTAAACGAATATTCTATAGGAGAAATCATCTAAAACAGGTTTTATGATAACTGAAAGGCAAACACCACAGTAAAAGATGTGGATCATCAGAAAATCTCACCCGTGGAAAGCGATTTTCAACTCCAGTCGAGAGTTTTTCTTCTTCCGGTTTTGATAAGCAAGCTTGTTCTAGCTTGGGAACTCCATTAACAGGAGAAAGGACAGGGGAATGAGAGGGACTAGTCAGCAAAACCTTAAGCTTGCACTCTTCTACATATTTTCCACTATCTTTCGCAAACTGCCAAAGAACATAATTAGGAACAATACATGACAACTTGAAATATAGCATATCTACAAGTGCTTACCATATCAGGTGTGATGGCCTCTTCAGTTGAGCCAAAAGGAGCAATGGTACTCTGAATTAAAAATTTATCCTTGCATTGCAAGTCAGTTGGAGCTGACTTCTGAGCTTGCATGGTGACTGCATTACATTACAAATTACAATAAATAAACCAGAAGAAAGCATTTAAATGACACTTGCAATGAAAAGTAACATGCATAATAGAGATGTTGAAATGAAGCTATTGTGACAGGTGGCATATCTGTAAATAACAAGAAGGGATTTTTCTAACCAAATTTTTCTTCAAAGTAAGAATATAAAAACCACCAAAAAAGCCACATTATAAAATTACCTGTGAAATCATATGTTGACTTTGGTTTGATAACCCCAATATTAGGTCGTACACAATATTTCTTAGGTGATGTGGTCTTTACCTGCACAAAAACAGTAATACATTTCATAGATATCTTTTAAAAGGATAAAATAGTCCATACAAGTTCTGCAGTTCATGTACAGATTGTGGGATCATAACTCAAGACGAGAGTTTCAAATAAGCAAAAAGGACTGCACCTTGAAAGCTACATATTGATCGGAAGCATTGGTAAGATGCACAGCACATGAACTCTGTTTCTTTACCTCAACTGAGAAACAAAAAGAGGCCAAAGTCAGGTACGTAAACCTCAAAGAACGAACACATTGAAACAGAAATTAAAAATTTTTCAAGAAAATTAGAAAGAAATAGCATCAGTTAAGAAAAGCGACGACAGCAGAATGCTGACAGAGACCAAACATTGAAGTCCACAGGAAACATAAATTTGTAGTCAGCTTCTAGCATTTGACATTTATGACCTTTACGAAGTATTTTAGGAAATCAATTTTCAGAAAACCCTTGCAACTTTGCATCTGAAACTAAGTGTCACATAATGCTCAGAGAAATGAAAGAACAAATGCAGATTCCTATCTCTTCAATGACATTTTTTATAATCATTTTACACACATGTGAACTTCAGTTCACGCGGCTGAATTTCCAGCAGAGGCTTCTTGGCTCCGGGATTTTGAATGTCCAGTTGCTCCATGATTATTCTTCTTTCTTACCTGAAAGCCATTAAGGATAAAAAGGTGTCAATTCGTCAACTTCAGGATTTTAAGTAAGGAGAAGAATCCCATAAGAACAGTTATACCACACACTATTTTGACCTACAGGAAAATGTGAATGACAACTAAAGCCGTATATATTGTGGTTCTTCCAGCGTCCTGAACCTGAATCGCTTTTATCCCTAATGAGCAATAATCATTCACACAAGAATCCAGTCACCCCTAATGTGTATGAATTCATAAATCATAGATTATCCTAAACCGAACTGCCCTTATAGCAAAGAATTAAAGAGAGGCTCCGCACATAAGCAACTCTCTCCATCAAACCAAGATCTACCTCTATTACTTGGCCTCAAACATCAACATTCACACTCCTCTTAGACCCTTCACACTTCATTCTGTTTGTAAAAATGTTGACATAAACTAATTTGAACGAACTGAAATGCAAAACCTGAAGCAGAGAAAATAACTGAAATCTAACTTTCCAACGCACGTTCAACATTTACAACGAAATTGTAACAGATAAAATCTCGGTCATTTTCATGTCGTTTCTCTATACATCATAAATGTATCCCAATTCTTGAAGTTCAATAGATCATATGCAAAGGGCTCAAGAATGGAAGTACCCCAAAAAAAAAGTAACAAACGATCAGGACGAGAATGATTTCACTTTTAGAACCCAAAAAAATTGAAAACCCACTTCAGATATGGCAAAAAGAAATCATAACTTTGATACCACAAAGATCAGAATCCAGTTCTTCCTAACCTCAATAGATATAACCGAAAACAAGAAAAATAATACTAAAAAACACAAATGGGAATTATAATAATGGGGATTTACTTGGAAATCGATGTATATCGAGAAATGGGCCTTACTTGGAAATCGATTTTACGTCAACGGGATGATGCCAATTTGGGGTAATAAAGAATTAAACTGGTTAGAGGTTTAACAAACTAATCTACAATTAAGAAAAAACTGGGTTAAAAAAAAAAAAGGCCAAAGTTGTTGCCGTTAGTTAAGAAGAATGCAGTGAGGTAAGAAATGCAGGAAAATGGGTTTGGTGATCTGAATAAAATTTGGTAGATTTATAAGTCGCAAAGATGATGAAAAAAGAAGAAGAAGAAGAATGGAAGGTGGTGATGATGATGGTGATTTGGGAGGAGCGGTTGCATCTGTTTTTTTGAGTTTGTTGGATTTATTCATAGCACTTTTCCTCTATTTCCAATGTGCCCCCTGTGGAATTTTTAATTAAGTTAACGTGTCCTCCAATTAGTTCTTTCTTAGAAAAGTGGCTCGAAATTTCGTTGGGTCGGTAGATAAATAATCGTCGAAGACAAAAAAAAAAAAAAAAAAACACTCTTCTACTTAATGAATCATCCACTGAATTATCGATCAATTATGCAAAATGAAAGTAGTTTCTATGGATAACATACACATTCTTTTTTTTTTAGTGTATATATACATATCTTATAATGAATTTTAAAACTACTTCAATTTTGGTTTTTATCTTGATCGATAGAGGTGATCAGTTATCAATTATGATTTATAAGTGTTATTACATTTAACGTCCAAATATAACAAAAATGACTAAAAAATTATGGTTTATTACCTTTAGTACTCTCTTTTTTTCTCTAAAAATCTACCTCAATGGGCTCCACTTAAATGTGGGTAAAAACCCTTATAACTCCTGGTGAGAATCGAACCTTAGTTTATTACCAGAAAGGAAAGCAATCTAACTATTAGACTGTCATTCAATTCCCATAACGTTTAATAGTAGGTAGTAACAATGTATAACAAATCAAAGCAAGTGACCTTATGTTTGCCATCTCCAATAGCGATTGACATTTCTTTGTTTAGAGGGATAATTAATGGTGCTAACTCACAACTTTGAGTTTTCAAGATAAATAAAAAGGTACTCCTCCATTCCAAAATAAGTGTCGTCCTACACTATGCACATAGTTTAAGAAACTCTTAAATAAGGTAATAAAATTACTTGAATATCCTCAACCAACCCCATTATAAAATTGTCCACTAATAATATCAACTCTTTTGAGAGTAATTTTGAAAACTTTTGATAAAAAGTGTATTGAAATGTGAGAACGATACTTATTTTGGAATTTCTCCATTTTGCTAAAACGATATTTATTTTGAAATGGAGGGAGTATCGAGGAGCGCAAAAAGTATGCAATAAGGGGGATGATCTGTTAAAGCTAACCTTTAAAAAGTTTGGGATCTATATCTAATAGACATAGAATGGTAATAATGTTGTACTATTAAGTACTAATACTTTTTGGTTTTAAGGAGATTAGATAAAATAATTCCTCAGATGATGTTTACACTTTAGAAGGTTTATATGTACTTTAGTGAGATCATAACACTCCATCTTTTAGAGGAAACCACATACTTTTTACTAAAAAGATCATTTCATCATTGGTTTTCAATAGTCATTATTTTTTTTTTAAAAAAAAAAAAAAACTCAATCAATCTTGATTGGTTCAAAGTTTGAGCTCAAACAATAACCCAGCTGGAAGATGTAGTGGGGCTTCTTTTGGGTTACTAGCTTCTTTTGTCATTGGTTAATTAAATGCCTGAGATATCTAAGCTCTTTTTTTCCACTGTGGAATAAAGCTTATTTCAGGAAATTGATGATAAAATGGCTTTAAATGGGAAAAAATTAATAAGCATAATATTAAGTTTTAAGTTTCTAACTCTATTTTTTAAAAAAAAATAAAAATAAAAAACTTAAAACCCCCAGCAAACATCCTTACAAAATACCAGCTTCAGAACACCAATCAATAACACCCGACAGCTAATAAGGCTTTTTTTAGAACCAAAATGAGGTTAGTAAGCAGCAAAAGGTAACTTTATTTACAATATTCGCATATGTCAAAACTAAGTTCCGGCAGTAGGCAACGCTGCCATGAATGAATTGTAAGAAGACTCCAGGTCAAAGTGAAGCTGCCGAGCCAGCTGCTCAGTCAACTCATCCGCAGCACCCATCTTCGACAACCTTGCTATCCACTCTCTCATCTTGGTCTTGCCCTCAAAATCATGTGGCAGAATTGAAAGTTTATTGAGTGAAGCTGAGAGATCCGATAATAGCGGGTGTACCTGATCAACTGCAACCATATTCAGCTTCAAGGAGTCCATCGCCGTAATGAAGTTCTGGACACATTCTGCAACTATGGCAGCAGAAGTAGTGGCCGACAGAACATTGCGATGTTCAACTGTTGCGGGCACCCCAGAAACAAGACGTTTAAGGGCAGCAGGGCAATCCATCTTATAAGTGTCGTGAAATCGCTCAATACTAGGGACAGTATCTTTCAATGATGTCGACAGTGTTTTGAACTGGTTAATCAGCTTTTGGCATTCAGTTTCATACTCTGCAGGCGACAGAACATCACGAACATATGCCCTTTCCAGTTTCTCGGTCGCCTTTATAATCGCGAAAAGCTCAGCGAAATTCTCATACATTTCTCTTTCACGTTTGTCATTCCATAGTTTCTCTTCCATACTTATATGTTAGATTTATGAATTTAGGTTTTCTTACAATAATTTTAAGGCAGAATGGAGAAGAGAATGGGACACGCGCAAAAGACCAAAGCTCGGTACCTGCAAAACCAACATATCAAAGTACACAAAATTAGACCTGGATTCAACCTGAAAAGCTATTCAATGCCTCCATATCACACTGGTTACAGAGATGGATTGTATTTATGTCAATTGATCCATCACTTAACTTATAAGTTAGAATGAATAAATCAAAACCTTAACAAAAAGTACAACCCGAGATATCATTCTCTTTATACTTTTCACATTGTCACTTTAATAAATAGACACACTCATTTCACATTATCACTCTGGCACATTAGCACAAGCAATCACATTTTCACTTAAGCACATTGCCACAATCAATCATTATACACATGTCATTTATCCCGTAGTGCTAAAGTACACTTCCGGGTCATACATTGTCATGCATTCATTCATGCGATCAATTGTAATACCAACAATACTTGAAAGTAGAAAAACTCTATTAAGAAATATAAACTCTCTATATACATTAGTATATCCTTTTCCCAAGTTCCAAATAGGATTTCAAGAGGTCTTCATCCTGGAAGTCTATAGGCTACATCATATAGCTTGATGGACAGAGAAATAAAGCGAAATAGCTCCATTAGAAAAGGGTTTCGGGTCGAGGAGAAATGAGGCTTCAATGTTAACCTATAAAATCTTCTGTTTTGAATTTTCAGCGCTAATGTGACTAAGTGATCATATTCAAGTAACATTTTTGAGCAAACCATTAATCCTTTTTGCAAGGCGTCAAGATAATATTAAACTAGCATAAACAGGGATGAGTTTCATCAAAACAATTCAGAGAAGAAGGTTCAGAAATCAGAAGAAACAGAGTCTCCAAAACAGAAGCTCAGACCAGATTTTCTGACAGAAAATTACAGATTTTCAGTGACAGACATGTCCAGTTCAAACTGAACTTTTTCACAATCCATAACTTAGTTTTGCAGTCCGTAAAAACAGCATTAAACTATACTAAACTTAGAAGAGTTTCATACAAAGAAATTCAAGAAAAGTGTTCAAGACCTAGGAGAAGTAGGCCTGTTAGCAGGAGGACACGGATCTGATTTTTATGCTTTTTCAGCAACATAAAGTGGACATGTCTTGTTCAAATCAGATTTCCAGACAAACCAGGAGCCCGTTTAATAATTCGTAAAACTACATTAAACTAGATTTAATATCGAAGAGACTCATATAAAAATAAAATCCTAGAAAAGAGTTAGAGAAATAGGAGCAATGACCCCCTCAACAGGTGGGCTCGAATCTGATTTTTCTGTAGTAAACACAAAGTAATCGTCTCATTCTGATCACATGCACTCATTTCAAAACCAAACCTTTACTTCCAGATCATCCATTACACATTTCCAAACCATTCCAACAACTAAACTCGCAGGGAACTAAATAATTAGCTGCATAACATTCTTCTGTACTTTTCGCCGGTTCCCACCCACGCACTCAATCAACCCAAGAACAGAACATAATCACCCCAATTCGTCTCTATTTATCTTATGCAAATGACAGGTTTATCTAGAGCACTTAATGGCAACGACAATTAGCAGCAGCTTCAACACTTATGCAACTAATCAGGAATAACACAAACAGGGGATAACTAGCTTTAATCTTTCTTCACCCCTTTGTTCATTTTCCTTCCTTTCATTACCTTCGGCCACATCCCTTTATTTCTTATCTAAATCAATCAATTAAGAAACTAAAAATCAAACGACATCATCATCAAACCCGTAGCAATAAACATGAGATTTGGAGAAATATAAAATCTCCATAAACAACGAGCTAACCCTAATTTCCCCAATTCAATTTCACTATTCCTTACACCGATTAAATACCCAAAATAGAAATACAACTCAACAGTACACATCAATCAGTACAGTAATTAGAAGAATTAACGACGGCTAGAACCCAATTACCTTACTAGTACTTCTGCCCTTTTCTCTTTCCCGTCGTTTCTTCCCTTCTTAGGTTGATTAGGCCTCGGATTTCTTTCTCCCACTATTTATTTGATTATTATTATTATTATTTTTTATTTTGGTGAAGTTAATGGCAAGGATTGAGCTATTATGAGTTTTCTAGGTGATGAGTTTATATCACACCCATCTTCTTTCTTGTAATAAAATACGTACAGAAATATTGTTCTTGAACAACATTAATACGTGCATGAATTCGATTAAAATAGAATTGAAAAGATGTTTGTAACCCGTGGAGATCATCCTTAATTTTGTTTACAAACTCTAATAAAATCAAATATCAACTTCTAGATCGAAAAGACGGATTGTAACACGTGGAAATCATCTTAAATTTTTTTTAAAATTCTCAAATCAAATATATCAACTTCAAAATCCAAGAGAGTTTTAGAGATACAAACGTTTTTTTGGCACTTTTTTTTACTGAATTCACGTGAAACATCAAATTTCAATCAATTTGATAATTGACTTACGGATTTAGGAATTCTCTTGATATTTTCTTAACTAATAAGAATGCTTTAGATAATCATCTAAATTTTGAGGGTGTTTTTTATATTATAGTTTAAATGTACTATTATTTTTCATTGAAAGCCATCAATTTCCTTAAATCTTAGTTATCTGTTAAAAAAAAAATTGTTATTATTTCAAAGGAGGGGTGCCCTATTGGAGCTGTTAGTCATAAGTAGCACATGAGAGAGTTCATGGACCACCTTTATTCTCAATTTGTAGTACTCAATTTAATGCTAAACATTTCTACCGGTCTTTTGATTACAAAAGTAGCATTTTCAAAAGACTAAAATCGAAACAAAATTAAAACATTCTACATAAAATACCTTACAATGTTCATAAAAAAGGTCAAAGGTCAGTGAGTAATTCTGCTACACCAGAAACATAGATGATAGATTATTGTTGTATCACAACTATGATTTCTCAATCAACTATGATCGCTATTGTGTACTCCCTCCGGTCTTTAATATAAGACATTTAATTTGTCTAAAGTTTCACTTAGTACATATTTTTAATTGATAAAAAAACTTAAAAAATATATTTTCACATTAGTTGTATTCTCTTGATTGTTATAAAATATTTTTAAGGTTTTTTCGTCAATTAAAAATGTGTACTACAAATCAAAATCCATTATATTAAGGACCGGAGGGAGTATGTACTATCTTTTAATATTTACTCTGTTCCAAAATTAATATTATTTTTATTTTACATAGATGGTAGATTATTTTCATATCACAATTATGATTCCTCAATCGACTATGATTATTGTTGTGTATTTTGTAATGTTTACTCTGTTCAAAATTACCGTCATATTTAGATTTTTTTTATTTTAATATAATTTAAACTATAAAAATAAAAATTTAAACTGGACAATCATACCGAAATAAAAAGGTACTATGGAAAACCAAAAACTTTCCCTATTTCTTGTACAAATAGTTTTTAGCTTTCATCACCAAAATATTCAAAGCCAAAAAAGAAAATAAAATTGAATTCCAACCATATGACACTCCCAATTGTCGAATTTACAGCTATTTCTAAACTGTCCAATTTTTTCGATGAAAACCAGGTAGCTACTCTATTGTAAGTACCAACAAACAAACAAAAAAATAAAAATAAGAAATCTCTATAAATATTGTTCGGGAGTCTTCAATGCTGTTCACTTGAGAGAGTTGAAGGGTACATATATACTTACTCTTTGCCCTCTTCCCATTCCTACTATACTCCCAACAACACTCTTCGTGCTCTCCGCCCCTTTTCTTCTCTCTTTTCAGATCCATTTTTTTCTCTTTTCTTTTTCTTGATCCAGCCATGGCCTCTGTTACAGGATCATTCACCGCTCTTTCTTGCTCAATCAAGCCTAATCAGGTAATAATCTTTTGTTGTATTGTATCAATTTTCCAGCGCTGTTTATTTAAATTCTCTTTTTCTAAGTATTTTGAGATTCAATGTTTGATCTTTGGATTCTGGGATGTTTTAATTTAACTTTTTGAATTGATTTATGTTGTTATGTCTGTGGTGAGTAAAGGGTTCCATGCATGTTGTTTGATTTGATCTTTTCTGTTGTATTTTCAATCTTTGGGTTTTGAGTATGTTGAACTTGTATTCTTATTCTAATTATGCCGAAAAGAAATTAGCTTTGTAAGCAGTGAAGGTTTAAAGTTTGGATCTTTTCTTATGTTTCTTGTGATATTAATTGGTTTGTGATTTTGTGTTTGGTGTCACTTTAACTGTGTTTCTGCTTTTACATTTCATTTGTGATGCATGAGCTTAATTTGATGTGATCTGTGCTGTTAAGGAGAATAAGGGTACTAAACTATAGTAAAAAGTTGTTCTTTGGAGGTTTTTCGTTGGAATGGTTAATTAAATTTGAATTGTGTTGCAGGCATTCTTTAACAGGGCCTCCAGATTGAACTCTGTTTCACTCGCAGTTAGTGGGAAGAACTTCCCATCTCTCAGGATGCAGCCAGCTCGTTTCCGCATCTCATGCGCTGTATGTTCTCAACCTTGCTCCTATTTATGGTTTTAATTTGTATCCTTTAGTTTATGGTTCCATTATATGTTTAAATAGATGATCTGAAAAACAATCTGAGCTTGTTCAAAATTGCTGCTTTAATTGTGTAACCCTATCATTTTCGCCTATTTAGAGATTGCTTGAAATTGGGTTAGGGTTATCAGGGGTGTTTAGGTTGCAAACTTGTTATTTCTTGAGCTGGTACTAGTAGGGATATGTGATTTGGTAGCTGAACTAATAGAAGTTACTTGTGTTTGAACAGGCCAAGTCAGAGACAGTGGAGAAAGTGTGCAAGATTGTAAAGAAGCAGCTTGCTCTTACTCCAGAGACTGAAGTTGCTGGACATTCAACATTTATATCATTGGGTGCCGATTCTCTTGACACAGTATGTTTTTTTTCTGCTTTTGCGAGTCCTTTTGATGCAGAGTATCTTTTGCCAGTAGTCTTCTGTTACTTTAACATGATGTGATCTTACAATAAGTGTTCATGCACCTGATCCATGCAGCCAATCCCACATTGTAGATTGCATTAAGTTTCCCATTCCTTCATCTGTTTGATATCATTACTCTGAAGTTTATGAAGTACTTTGCATGCGCTTACTCATCCAAATGTTTTTCGTTATACATTATTTTTAGTCTGTGTTGGCCTGAATATCTGCTTATCTCTGCGCTTGTACTCTGTAATTTTCACTTACTGATTTTGTATTGGGGCCTTGATAATCTGATATTTGTGGGGGCTCTGGGGGTCTATGAAAAGGGTCAATACATCGATAAAAGATATATTTTCTTGATTTATATGCCACTTCTAAATGATTGTAATTGGCTGATGACAATTCTGGTTATAGGTTGAGATTGTCATGGGACTCGAGGAGGAGTTTGGAATTAGCGTGGAAGAAGAAAGTGCTCAGAGCATCGTCACCGTTCAAGACGCTGCTGACCTGATTGAGAAGCTTGTTGTCGAGAAGAACGCTTAAATAATTTTGAGCTGCAAAAATCGCACATTAGGTCTTCATATAGGATTGTTATGCTAGTAGCACCTCCTCGGGATACCGCTACTTGGTTTCATGGAGGATTGTATGCTGCTTAGGTCGAAACTTTATGTAGGTGTTGTTTGTGCTTGTTTATTTCGCCCCTAAAAAAGGAACCGGCATTGCTTTGTTTTCTTTTTTCAGTTTTTCAAACATTTATGAGAGATCTTCATCTATCAGATATATCATTGTTTGCTCTAGTCTGTGGCAGCTTCATTTTGTTTTCTGCTTCTTACTTTGTTTTAACTATCAGGATGAAAACTTGTTTTAGTACGAGGGATGATCTTTTCTACCAACATCTTCACGAACGAAACAGATTGAAAAAAGTGAGCAAGGAAAAGAAAAGCATTGACCAAATCCAATATCATTGACAGGTAAACCTCAAAGAAAATACAATGAACAAAATTTGAAGAAGAGCTGCAACTAAAGATGTAAACAATGATGGCCTAATGCCAAACCCTTGAGCTTGCTGCAGTTGGCCCAAAAAATTGGTAGTTTCAGCAGATATAATCTCCACAGGAAAGACGCAGTTTTTATACGTAGGCTCTTCGGTTACGATCACACCATATCCTCCATAATCACACGAATTATTCCCTTGCACCTTTTGTCTCCTGCCCTGAAAACCCATGTTGAACCCATACGAATAATTCGCCGGAAATGGTAGGTTGCCGCAGGATCCTCCAGGCGCTGCTGCAGTACAATCTGCAACGCTACATGCCTTCTTATAGTATGGATCCAGATCTGCAGGAGTAACATCTTTAATCCTGTCGTCGAATACGCACCAACGCCGGGGCATATGAGTGATTCCGAGGCCGGAAACAGGGTAAATCTTCCGTTCTTTCCCTTCAAAATCAAGATGCAGTTTTGGTTTCCCATCAAAGTGGTAAATGCCCCAATGCCTTGTGAATTCACCAATGGTTATGGTCAATGCATTTTCATCAGCTAAATTGTGTATATATGCATCAATACTGATTCCAGGGCGTTTGGGAGTTCCTTTATTGGTCTTGGCGAATTTGATCAATCCCTGGAGAAATCTCTCCGCGTTTTCTGTGCTGGCGCCGGGGTGTCCATCGGTTGGCCACCCGACTGAGCCGAGAGACACCGGGATATCGGGGAATCCTAGCTTTTCCAGCGCCCAAACCACCGAATCATACATTGCTTCAAAGGCATTGGAGTATGTAAGATCCCCGTCTGTGAACTTGGTTGTTGAGTTGTTGTCGAAGAACCCAAATTCGGTATCGTTGTTGTAACGTTCCTTGAGAACGAGAATCGGGAAATAATCTATCCAGAATGAAGATTTACTGGCTCTGATGATTCTACAGGACTTAGTCAGTAGATCTTTTAATTCAGGCTTGAATTCTGCTTCTGATGGTTTTGTGAAATCCTCCTGAAGAATGTCAACGTAATGAGACATTATTGCTTTAACTTGGGGGTAGGTTTCATCCAGTTTTCTTTGAATCCTTTCATGTACATCAACAGAGTTAATGTATTTTTTTGACTCCAAACTGAATTTAGTTGATAATGGTTGTGTACCCACCATTACATACCTGAAAAAATACCAAAACAAAGCAACTTTGTCAAACCCCAAGACAAAAAATGAAATACAAGATAAAAATGTAACCAAATTTTCAGGTTGCCTCCTCGAGGGTCTGGTTTTGATAGAGTCCCGTCACAGGTTCCCATCACGTGGGTACCTCTTGGACGTCTTATCTTTCAACCAGTCAGAAAAACCCTCGAAGAAATGGTTTTTACTTTTTACATTCTTTCCATGTACCTGAAAATGACATTCTTGTCCATATATATTTTGATATTTTCATTTATCCACTTTTTGGCATCTTCATCGTTTTTCACGTATTGGAGTTCCTGATTAGTCAATGTTATTGAGAGTTTAATGTTGGTTCCTCCAAATGGTGCCATGACATTATCACTGGAACTGTAAAGCTTGACATCACTGATGTTGTTTTGTAAAAGCATGTCAACCACCATAGATGGAATCATCCTTTGTGTAGCCATTCTTCCCCAATTGAAACCTATAAAACCTTCCACCACCAGAAGGTTTGTTAACAAAAAACAAGATGCGCATACTAACAAATTGTTGTGGTTCATTACCACTGGTTTGATTCTACTAAATTATCTTATGACAAATTGATTTTGATGATATTGGATTTGGTTTTCAAGTTTCCCCTGGTGGGGTTGATGGAAAAAACTTGAATGAGAAATGACCAAATTTGGACTTTTAGGGAAGATTTGGACAAAACTTAATAAGGAAATCACTGGTTTATAAGAGGGTCTTTTTACAGCTATGATCTAACAGACAAGGACTAATTTTGTCCATTAATTTTCTACTTTTGGCCAGTAGTTTACGTTGGTTAAAGATGGCCAGTTAGAAATGAATGCAATGTAATAAAAAGATGGACACTCATTTGGACAATCAAAAAGTTACTTTCTTTGTACATCCCTTCTTCCAAATTATGAACCTCCAATCTTGATCATAAATTATAATACGATTTAATTAATCAACCAAAATCTCATATCCACATAATGTAGTTGTTTTTGTTAGACTTCTAGCATCTTCTATTGTGCTAAACAAAAAAATAAAAATAAAAATCAATCAAAGTCTATTATTTCATGAAAGTATTATATCTTCCCCTTAATTCTTGGGTTAGTTACTACCTCTGTCCCAAAATTATTATCCAGTTTGAGATTTTACTTTTAGTACAATTTGAACTAAAACTAAAAACACCGGACAATAATTTTGGGACGGAGGGAGTATTTTTCTTTTATTATTAAACAGATGGATTAACATTAAGGTATTCCTATTTCCTAGGAAAAATTATAATTCCAATTGTGTGTAGTAGGATGGATGATTTTTTTTTGGGTCTTTCTTAGTTCTTCCATCAAAGAGATTGCTTCAGTTTTGGAAGAGGGTACGTGGCTTTGATTAATTAGATACACCTAAATTATTGCATCGCATTTTACGGTACGAATAACCTGATTACTAATTTTAATCAGTTCACAAGATTGAAAAGAATCTCTAAGCGGAATTAACAAAGAAACTATTTCTTGGGAATGCAATGCTTCTCTTTCAATATGGATAATGTGTAGCTTGACGTTTGTTGTTTTATGAATCTTCTCAAGAGAAATTTTTTTTTTCTTTTCCTTAATTAAGATCTGTAGTTATTGAATCCGGAATCACATAAAAGAAAATCTCGATCTGTTAAAGATATAATTTTTCTTTCTGGACTGTTGCATTACTTTTCCATAGTCTGATATTGATTTTAATACGCTTTGAGATTCTTATCGACACAAAATGAAAAACATCATATGCAGTATGAAAAATCATTCACACAGTTTTTGTATAAACACAGACATTTACAGAGCCAATGTGAACAATAAGATGAACAAAAACTGAAGAATGACAGTGAGTGATGATGAAGAAGGCCTAATTCCAACTGGTTGAGAAGAAGAAGTCCGCTGTCCCAAAAAATTACTAGTTTCAGCCGGTATAATTTCCACAGGAAATATGCATTTACCCGTGGATGGATCATCAGCTACAATGACACCATAACCACCAAAATCACAAGAACTATTCCCCTGTACTTTCTGACTTGTGGCCTGAAATGCAATGTTGAATGCAAATGAATAATTCAGGGGATACTTCAGGGAAGCACAGGATCCTCCAGGCGACATCGGCGTACAATCCGCGCGTTTACATGAGCTATTGTAGAATCTGTCCAGTGTTTCGTATGGGATTTTGTCGCTGTCGATTTTCAAAACATCCAAAATGCACCATCTGGTAGGCATATGTGTAATGCCAATGGCTGAAACAGGCATAACAGGCCTTTGCTTTCCTTGCAAATCAAGATTGAATTTGGGTGTTCCGTCGAATTTGTAAATGCCAAAATGTCTAGTGAAATTCCCTGAAAGCGTTCTAACGGAGTTTTCATCCGCTAAATTGTGTATATATGCATCAATACTGATTCCAGGGCGTTTGGGAGTTCCTTTGTTGCTCATCAGGAAATTAGCCAATCCCTGGAGATATCTCTGTGCATTTTCTGGAGTGGATTCTTCGGTTCCATCCGTCGGCCATCCTGTCGCCCCGACAGACACCGGTAGATCAGGGAATCCTAGCTTCTCCAACGCCCAAACCGTCGAATCATACATCGCTTCGAAGGCGTTGGTGTAGGTGAGGTTACCATCTTGGATCCTGAAGGTGGAATTGTTGTCGAAAAAGGCGAATTCGGTGACATTGTTGAAATGTTCCTGGACATTCAGGATAGTGAAAATGTCAATCCCAAATGTGCTGTTACTTGATTGCAGGGTTTTACAAATCCTTGACAAAATGTTTTTCAAATCAGGCTTGAATTCAGCCATGGATGGTTTTTTCAAAGTCTCGTAATTCAGAATGTCTGTGTAATGAGACATTGTTGCTGTGATTCCTAGTTTCTCTTTAACAAGAGCTTTCTGCATCCTTTCCAACACATCTGCAGTTGTGTTATATATTATCGGGCCGAATTTCGTCGACAACGGCTGAAAACCAATGTATAGATACCTGTATATATATACAACAAATCAAAATCAAAATCCAAAAACCAAAACAGAGAAAGAAAGAAAGAAAGGAAGGAAGGAAGGAAAGAGTTTGTTTTTAGACATATAACATACTTGAAGTTGACATTAAATGTCTTATACTTGATGAATTTAAGATTGATCCATTTGTTGGCATTGTCAAGATCAGTTATGAATTCGAACTCTTCATTAGGCATGGTGACAGCCAAGCTAATGTTGGTTCCTCCAATGGGCTCCAAAACATTGGAGCTGAAACTGAAAACCTTAACATCATTGATGCTGTTCTGCAAAAGCATGTCAACCACCATGGATGGGATCATCCTCTGTGTTGCTACTCTTCCCCAGTTGATGCCTAAATACCCTTCTGCTAAAAGGGTTGTTAAGAAAATGTAAGTTGAACATACTAAGAAATTAATGTGGTTCATTACCACTGGCTAAGCTAAGGTATATATATTGTTATTATTATTATTATTGGGGAATAATCAATGAATTTTGATTTGTTCCCCAATTTTGGGAGAGGAGAAGGGGGGAGAAAAAATGTACCAGATTTTTGGATTCATTTGGATACAAATGAATGAAGAAGTATGGAGGGAATCATTGATTTTACCAGAGGTTTTTACAGCTAGAGAAAACAAATTTAGTCCATTGATTAGTCTTCTTCTTTTCTTTTTTGTTGAATACCTGAAAGGTAGTATCTTTTACTAGTCTGTTTTTTTTTTTTGTTTTGTTTTCGGACATTAAGGGCAAAAATTACGGTTATCCCTTGAGGTCAAATGAACTATGATGTTTATATAACTACAAGATTCAAGTGAAAAGGTAAAACATTATTTTCATCAATCAAAGAAAGGTTAAGCATTATTTGCAACCGTTTGATTAGTTCGAAACATCAAATTAAAATTTACAAAAAGCGAGCATATTGCATACTCGCAGCCTACAATCCACGTCCCAAACTTTAGGTTATCAAAAACATAATCTTTTAAAATGATTTTTTTTTTTGAATGATTTTTTTTTTTTAACGCCGGAAACCCTATCAGAGATGGGTAAAGCCACGCCCACTGAAATAACTTGCAAATTACAGTGGGAGGTAAACCCCTCTAAGCAAGTTTAGGTGCGAAATTGAAGATTGATTAGTGGGTTAGCCATAAAAAGCCTCTAGAGGTACCAATAGGCAAGGTGAGAGTCTAACCCCTCACTTTTTATGGGAGTAAGGAATTGAATTCATGACTCTCTCTTAGAGCAATGGTGGTTTTACCCCGAACCAACTCCTCGTTCACTTTTTTTTGAATGATTTAAGAATTATTAAAAATCAGAGTTTGTGTCTCTTCTCTTGGCCATGATTTTTCCAAGTGGGGGATCATATGCCCTCATTTTAATATAAGTATATAAATCTGTCAGCCATAAACAATAAAGCAAAGCTGGTGAATTTGGTGCTATATACTCACTCCACTCTCAAACTTTCTTGTAGTTTATTTAATAAATAATAGAGAAAGGGGGTGCCTTTACTTATTTCTTTTTTCTTGAAGAAGAGGGAAAGATGACAATATATTGCACAAAATTGGGTTTGCCACTTTTCCATGTGCTCATAATGGATCTTTTTACTCACCTCCAGCTACTTGTTCCTATACAGGACAAATTAGTTTTTGCTGGAAAGAAGCTTCAGAAAATCAGGCTTTAATTTAATTTCAAGTGTGAATCTTATACAGATTCTGCACAATTTACCACCAAAAACAATAAAAATGAAGCACTTTCAAGTTTCAACTTGAGCTTTTTTACACTAATTTTCAAAATTACAGCAATAACATTGGTCATCCAACCAAATCAAGGAGTCATTTTTATCGTTTAAACTGATTAACCTGAGTGCAAGAATGTAAGACTAAAACAGGTTGTGAAGGTTAGATGTTGACATTTTCACTCCTGTCTTATTTGCATAACAGATTGATCAAGAAAACTGAAATCAATCAAATCGGTCATCCTGAAAGTTTGCAAGAAATCAAAGACAGAATTACGGTAACCAATGCAACTAAATTTATTTTGAAGGTTAAAAATATCATCTCATCATTTGAAGCAGTATTTCTACACAAAATTGAACTCTATGGACTTAAGATGGACATATCGCATATATGATCATCACAGAAGTTATGGTAACCAAAAAAGACTACTACTATACATTCAAATTTCCGCAATTCTACAAACAAAAACCTTCAAAAAGCAGCAGCCTGAACCAAACAGAGGACCAAAAAACAGAGCAACTTGATAAGAACCACAGACTGTCTCAAAAATGGCATCCCTGATGAAGATGAAGAAGCCTGCAATAACCCTTGTCCACCTGATGGAGCAAATGCAGGATCAGGGCCAACTGAAGAAACATCATCGGGATTCGGGGTCCGGCTTGACGGGATTGTAGGAATGGTATTGGATCCAGGATGAGGCAAAAGGGGTGCAATATCAGGAGACAGTTCTCTAACTGGAGACAATGGAGGATCAGGCAAAACTGTTGGAGAAGCAGCAATTGTTGGAGTATGCATCTTTGGCTTCAAAGGCAAATTATCAGAAGATGATGATGATGATAAAGAAAGTACTCCTTCTGAAGTTGAAGAAAGCCATAAAGCCACAATAAGTGGCACTACAACTACAAGAGTTGAAAAGTTGGCCATTTTTTGTTCCTCCAAAGTGAAATCAATCAATCAAGTGGAGAATTGTGGGAGAAATGAGTGCCCATATGTATATATATGATGATATAAAATGGTGATGATTATTATAATTTTGTTATCATGACCAATGATTCAAGGATGTGGGCTCATGTAATATTGTATTATGAGAATGGCTTTTTTTTTTCACTTTTTTGTCTTTTGAAAATGGTTTTGTTGTATAATTGTGTGATCTACATACAGGTTGGCATATTTTGACAACAAGAGTCTTCTCTTCTTAATAATTAACATGAGAGAGTAGTTAAGTTAAATATATATATATATATATATATATATATATATATATATAAATCTAGAAACAAACTAACTCCCACATGATTAGAAGAACAAATGTCAACAACTTCAGGCCATGTTCCAACTTGGAATTTCAAGGTTGATTTTTTATTCTTGTACTATCATTTTAATTGCATGATTTTTCAGTGCACGTTGGCTGAAACCAATACAACTTAACTTAATACTGCTAACAAGATTCAAATTCTCGACCTTTAAATAAACACAACGTTCAACCTCTTTGCTAGATTATGAAATTGAGGGAGGATGGGTTTGTATGTGCATTAGATGTGACCTAGATAGAACAAACAAAAGAATAGTAACAATGGATGAGTAAAGGTTGGGTTAACTTTATAGTGAAGGGTCTTTTTATAAAAGAAAAAGTTTATTAAATAACAATCGATAAAAACAAAATAAAATGAAAAAGGTAACTATGTGGTCCGTGAAAGCTTTTAAAAGTACAGTATTCAAAATCATTGCCCTTTTTTAATCCCTTTTTTTCCCTAACTCCAATGAAGAACAAAGTTAGCCAAGATTGATAATATTGGTGTGCTTTTCTTATAACTACTTTTAAGGAGAAACTGTGTCGCTCTAGATTACATATTTACAAAAAAAGGTTGAACTTTATACATTTTTGTAGCCATTTCTTTACATAAAGACACTAAAACTTCAACTGAACATATCTTCTCAAAGACTCAATACTGGAATTTTCACAACTTTTCTGTTTTGAGGTTTTTTATGAATCAGTCACCATCAAGGCCTAATTCTAATATAGGTATCCTACTAAACTAGAGTTAAAATCATCGGTACAATTAACGATCAATAATTTAGTGATGGAGTAATAATACAGCCAGCAAAAAATCATAATAGAAAATAATAGTGACTAATGAAAAGACAAACTTACAAGTTTGCAATTCTAATAATTACGCACTAATAAAACTCAACATTGTAATTACATGTGTGACACATCATTCACTATCTCATTTCACTGTACATATCATTTTCCTTTAGTTAGTGACGATCTATAAGAAATTATGGGCAGAATTTTAGTCATTGATTAGTTACATAATTGAACAAGCATTTGGATTCTCATCGCTGAACATATTATAGACCTCATTGTCCCAACAAGGATGATCAAGCAACAAAGATTGCTGAATTTGCAAATATTGGCATGGAGTTTCCTGTAATGCTGCTGCAGCCCCTTGATCTTTTTTGCTGCCATCTTCTACTTCTTCAATCTTCAAGATTTCAGCTCTCTTCCCTGCTTTCTTTTTTATTTTCTTCACAACTTTCTCAGAATTGATTCTCCCCTTTATCACCACTCTATTTCTCGGCATATCCGTCATAAAAGTTTCCACCCCTTCAATTTATACGGTAACCATGTCACCAATATAAAGATACATCAATTAAAAACGTCATGAGATTTGTAAAAATTTTAGAATATTCAAGCCATAATCCGTAATGGTTGAACAGAAAATCAAGACACTTAAAAACGTAATCCAAAACTTGATTGCTTCACAATTGTTTCTCTTATTTTCTCACCAGAAACATACTTAAAAAACACAGCTTATAAAGAGGAACGAAATACAAAAAGTAATTAAAAAGGCTGATTAGGGAAGAACCTTTAATTTTGGAAATGGCTTTAGCAACACTTCTTTCGCAAGCATTGCAATGCATTGAGACTCTGAATTCTGCCACCAAAATCTGTTTCAAAATCGACCAACTAAATTTAGCGAATCCAATAACGTTCATATTCTTTCTGTACCAAAATAATTGTCATATTTGTTATATTCAGAACAATTATTTTGACGCCAAGAAAGAATATGCATGTTTCTAAGGACAATTAACGAATGATTGAACTTCTTACTTTGTTCTTGTCGTCTTTGTCTTTCTTCTTCTTCCCTGTGCCCATTGTAATCTTTCGTATGGAGAGGGGGGAAAAAAACGATATAAACTTTTGTTACTGTGCAGAAAGGTAAAAGTCATCAAACGACAAAAGTAACCGCTGAGAATTAGTTATAATTTAATTTCACACAGCCAGCAGAGAGTCACCCGCAAAAATTGGGTCCGAAGCAGCATAAATGTTTTCAGTTTTTTTTTTTTTTAATGAAGAAAAACTATTTTATTTAGCAATAATTTAAATAAATAATTGAAACATCATTACAAAAGAAGAAAGTGTTATAGACCATTCTAAGTACTAGTCAACGAAACTATGAAAACTTTTTATTACATTTTTTCTTTTGAACACGAGACATATGGTACATTTGTTTCTTTTGAGATAATACATGTCAATTTAATATTGAATTTTGTAATTGTTCCTAATCACCGACTTGCGAATGAATGTGTTGGTCAATGATGTTCAAAAAGTACAATAGGTTGAGAAGTTGAGTCGATCATTTGACACTTGACAAATCAAAACCAGTAAGCATAATTAATTAATAATAATCATCATCAGCAATATGATAACTTTTGTTCCTAGTATTATTAGAGTAAAACAAACCACAGTATTATTATTTCGCTGAAATTGCAGAAATTTCAAATCACTTTATGGCTCCTTACGAATTCACTAAAAATCAAGACACTGAACAAAATGTAATCCTTGAACCATATTCTCACCGAAAAAACATACTTGGGAAAATGCTTTATAAAAATGAAATGACTTACAAAAAAGAAAATATAAGATGGAGATTTCGGAAATGGTTTTGGTAAATTTTATTTTTTATGGCTCTTGCCTCTTATATTGTACCAAAAAAAAATAATAAAATAAAATAAAATTTTACCAAAGCCATTTCCGGAATCTCCATCTTATATGTATATTTTTAAAAGGACACAAGTGAACGCTTAGAGAGTTAGTTATTGTTATTTTGTTTCAACTTTCAATAGCCGCAAAATTTGGGTCGAAGCAGCGCACCTAAACTGAATTAAAAATTAATAAACAAAGAAGAATAACATGTAAAGGGGATTGTTAGTTGTTTTTTTAATGCCTTTGACAAATTAAATTTAGTGCATTGTATCAAAGATTATTAGTGTACAAAACCAATATGTTATCACTGGCTTTTGCTATATGTATACATGTAGCATGTAATCGTGCAACAGATACATTGAATAATTTCTTATGCTTTTGTGGTATATTTAAAACGTCAAGATATATCGATCGAGCAACTCGTCATTATGAATGAAGATGGATGGAATTTGACAATTTGATACTACCTCCGTCCCAAAAAAATAGTTCACATTGAGTTTTAAGTTTTGTACTTTAGTACAAATTTGAAAAGTCAATGTGGACTATTTTTGTGGGACGAGGGTGGTATTATAATTGAACACTATATTAACGATTTCCGGACAAACTATTTTATTCAATACAAACAACATAAACAATGGGAAAAAAACACGTACATGGTAACAACAAATTCTGATAGGTATATGGTATCAAAAGGCTTAATTTTTATTTTTTTTTTGCATTAACCTTTTGACAAATATACCTAGAAAGAAAGACAATTAGTACATTTCGACAAATCAATAGCAATACAAATCAATCGAGACCACTAGGGAATTAATTAATTGACAACCCGACAATTCTTCCGGATTTCTCCATCAGCTCCGGTGATGACTCCGATGGATCCCATATTCACCATGGATCTTGCGAACGCACCGAAGAAATTTCCCGGAAACTGTAACTGATTAACGATTGAAGTCGAAGTTGGATCAGTGAGGAGGGCTGCGTCAGATTGGAAGAGGCCTTCGTTTTGTTTAAGGATTCTGAAATAACTATTGTCGAATGAACCGGGGCTTCCAGGATCCATGCCCACAACGGTTGCCGGGTTAGCCGGGTTCGGGCATTTTTGCTTCAATGTTTCGGCGTATACCGGATCTAGGCTCGGGTCTTGGTCACCTTTGCCCGTGAAGTTGAATAGCCTTCTTGAAAATGCTCCGCAATGAGCTACCCCAATGGTGTGCGCACCTAGTTTAAAAAAATTAAAAAAAAAAAGTTCGTGTTAATTCATTTTGCCCGTGTCTAACTTAAAAAATGAGTAGTAACAGATACAGTGAATTCATCCAGTAAAATAACTCAGTGATTTTGAAATGATTCGTTCATTATATAATTGATCTTTTAAATCGCGAAACTAGTTGTTTTGGAATTACTGAATAAATTCAGTCTTTTATCATTTTTGTAGAAGATTATAGTACCAATATATTTGGAGTTGCAAATTAACAATAAATTGATTTTGTGATGGTAATTACCTGATAATGCAACAAGATCATTAACATCGAGATTTTTCTTGGCGAATAGTTGCTTAAGGGTGGTGAAATCTGAGAATGGCGAAGGCAAGTTTCCAGTCACATCACCTATGAGGGATACCTTACCGTCTTTTCGTCCGGTAGGCACAGGCCAAAGATCCCTTCCAAACTGCACAAAACCATTAAGCCAATTTCAGCAACGAAAATAACTAAAATTCAATTCAATGTTACCTTAATTATACTTCTTCGATTCAAAAAATAATTAAGAGTCTCTTGTTTATTACACATATTTTAGTTTAACGGATATTATTCTTAATTATTTTGGGACGAGAGGATCGCTAGTAACTTTGACGTTACATGCAACTTCTCCGTGTAGTTTAAATTATGCTTACAGGGAAAGAAACCGCATCTCGAGCAGCTAGAGCAAGAATATCTGCACAGGAAACGACTCCAGGGCAAGCTTGCTCTACTTGTGCCTTAATATCATCAATGGCTTCGAAACCTCCTAATGTTAGGTTAGGTCTTGCATCCTTTTCCGATTGATTAGTCCCAACTGTGTCCAATAGTATAGACGCATCACATCCCTGCATGCATTAAAGAAAAATATAAGAAAGGAAAAAAGTTGTAAGAAATAAGAATAATTTTGTAGAGGGTTTTACGTGCATAAATGCACGAAGAAGTTAGGACTGTTGCTATAATTTAATTGACTGATAATATATTGTTTAACAGATACGACTCTTTTTTCGAGACATAATATCAGGATAGCCGTATATGATATGTATGTGGTACCCTAACGAAGCAGTCATGGTAATGGACACGAAGAATTTTGGCAGCCAAGGTAGGGTCACTTCGGACTTTGCTCCTCGTGGCTTGTCTCACAAGGTTTTCGGCTTGAGGACATGTAGTTGAACGATAGAAATTCATCCCAAACACGCCACCACTGCCGCCACCATTTCCACCACCACGGCCACCACCACGACCAAGACCACCTGCATTGGTAACCCCAATGGTGCTCACTAGCAACAAAGCAAGGGAAAGCAAAAGCATAAAGCTTAATTGCTTCATTTTCAAATTCGATATCGAGAAGGGTTATGAAGGAATGTTAAAAGTATAAGAATAAAACAAAAAAGAGATGAACTGAATAAGCTAAAGAGAAGGCTCAATATGTAATTTGAAAGATTGGATATGATGAAAAGTGTATAAAGGATGGCTCCTTTTATAGGCGCAATCAGATCAAGGCATTCAGTAATAATTTGAGGGGGAATTTCATGAGATCATCATGAAAAAAAGTTAATCTAAAACAATGCACTTGGTCCCTTTTGCATTGACTTGTTTGTTTATTTTCCCCAAATAAGAATAGTCAGCTCTAGCCGATCAAATCTTTACAAAGATATAATTTAATGTGTTCTTCTTCTTATTCTTCTTCTTTGTGTTGTGGAGAGAGGATTTAATGTGTTCTTGAGAAATTTCCATGAAAATGACATCAAAAGTCCAAAAATTCAAAGATCTAGCTATGAACTTTATTGAAAATGTAGTAATCTAAGTAGTTATCTCTTGATCTTGTTTAAGGATATGTTCGTGCAGTGGAAGTATTATTCCTCCGACATTGATCTGGTAAAGGTTTATTTTACTCTCTTCATGGCCAGCTTGAATTACAAGTAATTGAGCTGACTTTTGCCCTTGGTTAGCTATATATGCCCTTGCAATTTTTAGGAACTTACAGCTAAGATGCACTTAAATTGTCAACTTAGAGTTGATTCAACTCGGTGTTGAATTAACTCATATACGTACACCTTAGGTTGAAGAACTAAATACGTGTCCCTTTTATGTGAGGTGGATTTTTAGTGAAAAAAGAGTGGTTTACTTAATTCGTTATGGAGGAAGATCGTCTATAGTGGCGGAGCTAGAATGAAAATTTAGTGGGGGCACATCGATTTCCTTACATTAAAACGAGCTAATGAATTAAGGAAACAACCTTCTAAAAAAAATATGAAAATAACATATTAAATTTTAACATCCAAAAATCGATCAAATAATCCGAAAATATGTAGCATATTTGATACAACTGGGTGTTTTTTAATGTGTCTTCTTGTTCACATCGGAACACAAATTTTCTTCTTCTTTTTTTCGGTTGTATACAAATTTTCTTTTAATGTATACAACCGTAATGAGATAAAGAAAATTTGAGGGAATTTTTGAGATTATTTTTCTAGTACTATAATTTTTTGATTTTCGAGTTTGATTGTCAAATGTTAATTCATGTTATCCCGGATTTACTTGAAAAATAGAAAGTGGAAATGTTGAAAATATTAGGAAAAAAAAATTTGATTTTGGAAGATTAGCAATAAGGTTGTGGGGCCCAGGACAAAAATTAGTGAATTCAACCTTCAAAATTAGCCTTATTATGCTTATACGTACTCCAAAGACTGCATTTTTTTTGTATCTTTAATTCGACATCAGGCTGCTATCATGGGCATTCCCAAATTCCAGTGGGGGCACATGCCCCAGTGCCCCCACTGTAGCTCCGCCCCTCATCGTCTAATCATTTTTGAAAATAAAATTGCTACATCATGTCTGATCACAAAAATATAAGAAAGTTTTTTAGTGGTTTGAACACTAATCAATATTAAGATTTCTAGGTACAAGCATAACAAATAAAATAATTATTTTGGGACGAAAAAAAGTATATATATATATATATATATATAATTACACACACCCAGCCATTTTCTACAAAACGCAGAGTCTCTCGTAGCCAATATAACATGTTTGTCCCAAAATCTAAACATGCATTGCCTTTAATCGCTCACAATAACCATACATTCTAAGGTCTTCTCTCTGAGAATTTGAAAACCTCAAGAATGTTTCTATTTTGTATTCTTTTCTTTATGTGGGCATAGAGAAGATCATTAAGCATTGAATCTAACTCATTAATAAGAGCACCTCAAATATCTAGTTCTTCTTTTTTCCTGAAAGTGTCCAAACAGATGTATGGCTGTCTGAGTCCGGCACGCGTCGCCATAATTCTCGGTGTATGTTAAAATTATTCAAACTTCAAACTGTATTAAAACTGTGTTGGCTTTGTCAAAGTTCATATGGCTTTTAGGGCTTTTGACTTTGACTTTACCTACCTCAATGTCTATGTATTTGTTTTCTTCTTACATGTTAGGGTTTATCACCTAATAATTGGGGTAAAGCAAAGCACATTGACTATAGTTGGGATTTTGGATTGGATAAAATCAAAGGATAAGACATTATTGGCCTTCTTATTGCTATATTCACCGTCTTTTCTCCCAAAAGAGATTTACATGACTCGAATTTGAATTAGTCGTTCATCGAGAAAAAAAAAGAGATAAAAACTTCACTTTTATTATGTCAAGTTAATTCAACAAATTATTTTCACTATTTTTATGAGATTGAGAAAACATTTTAATGAAAACAATTCAGCACCAGTGTTTCCTAAAAAACAAATCCCCAAAATTATTGTCGAATTTGAAATTTCATTTTAATTAGTATAAATTTAACTAAAACTAGAAATTCAAACTTGACAATAATTTTAAAGCCGAGAACGAATATTCATCATACATATCTACTTTTCTTTCAAACACTGCTGTATCCCTCAACCTAATTATTAACAATTGACCAATTGATGATACACATATAGCGAACTAGTAGTGGTGAACCATAAGAGTTTGATTACTTGATTTATATGGCATCTAATTATACTTCCTCCATCCTAGCTAGCTAAAATCATTTTCCAATCTCGGTTTTTACTTCTAATATACAATTTTATATTAGTAATAAAAGTTTAAATTGGACAATCAGTACGGAAGGTGTAGAAAGATTTTTAGTGTCATTGCTCCAATACTGTGTATGATCATAAACATGAATGCACGTGTTTATATTATCCCTTTCTCTTTTCTTTTTTGGTTTTTTTTTTGGGGGGGTTGTTTTACTTTTAAAGATTTTAATTTTGTGCGAGTGAACCATCATGATGCCGCTAAGAAAAAGGGTTTAACGTAAGTGATAGCCAGTTTCAATTCTTTCTTCTTGTTTTCAAAAAAATAAAAATAATAAAAATTCTTTCTTCTTCTTCTTCTTCTTCTTCTTCTTATCATTCACGTTTAGACGTTGTATCTATCTCGCCAATTTAATTTTGCAAAACAACCTTATGCCACACCTTCACATTGATAGTTAATCTAACCAATCTACTTTCAGGATTTAACTAATACACCTAAAGTACTTAAATTAATCATGTTCTAGGCCCTTCAGACCTTAATTCACCTAAATTAGAGTCAGTGCACAGTCCATAAAAAAAAAGTGTGGAAAACCCACTAAAAAGTTTACGACAATATTTTCCTTTAAAGGAAAAGGAATGTAATTTTGGGACATTTTCGTATCGTGTTGGGCACAAATAAGGAACAATATATTTGGGATATTTTAATTTAATAATGGTTGCAGTCTTGCAGACTGACAAATGTGTAACTGCTGTACTCCATCATCGTCTAATTTTTATAGTTTTCTTTTGTTATACAAATTTGATTTAATAAGAAAAAATACGATAAAAATAAATAGGGCGGAAAAAATGCTTATCATGATGAAACTCTACGAAGCACATTAGTATCAAGTGCGTACGTAGAATAATCAATGAGATTTGACAGGGCAAAGCAGCCAATTTAAGTAAGTCAAGGAGGGATTATCAGGGGAGATTATCATTAAGATAGAGGACTAATCACTCAAGTACTTCTCATATTGTTTACCAACGTAATTGGTCAAATGTACTTCAAAATATTTTACATAATCCAAAAAAAAAAAAAAAAAGCCATATATTTGAGCTTCTTTTGTTCCCGACCGTTCAAATATATGATAGTTAAGGGATCCTTTCTTGATCAATAACGCAGATGATATGTTACTCTCCAATAGGGTTCCGTATGGTGGAATATAGGATTTTTGAAATATCAAAATATGATAAATAACACGATCTGATTTGTAGTGAATTTCAAAACATAAGAATTATGGCGGATCATTGATAGAGAATAGTGACATGCGAATAGTAAACTATAAACAATAAAATTATCAAGTGACAGGCACTGTGATTGACAAAATAATAAATGAACAATAAACTTTATTTGTATTTTTCACTTCACATATTTATCGCTTGTTTGGACATCTACTCATTTTGCATTTTCAACTCATTTTACCCCTTAAACACAAAACTTAATGCAAACCAAACTGACGTCCAAATAACTTTCTGATTTACATTTTAAAATCAAACTTGAAACATTTTGTTAATGCAGTAACTATTTTTTGAACTAAAAATAATTCAGTGACTAAATTCAAAACTTTGCACATTTATTTTAGTTTGTCTCTAGTCAAAAAATCGAGGCCCAATCGGATGGTGGTTAGGAATTTTTTTTAGAATATGTATTGAAATATCAAGTACGAAAAATATCACTAAATAATCGAAAAGTGTTAATTTTAGTCAGTGTAAAAAAAATTTCAAAAATAATCACTAAACAACGAAAAAGTGTCGATTTTGGTCACTGTAAAATATTAATTTTAGAAGTTATTCCGTGATTTTAGTGATCATTTTATAGTAACCAAAATCGACACTCTCCGTTGTTTAGTGATCATTTTTGAAATTCTTTTTTATAGTGACTAAAATTTACACTTTTCGATTATCTAGTGATATTTTTCGTACTTGATATTTCAATACATATTCCCAAAAAAATTTTCCCAATCACCATCCAAACAACTTTTTCATCTTCCATTATGTTTTCCACTTAAAACATTTTCTACATTCAAGTTGAAATGAAAACAAAACTGATGTCCAAACAAGTATTTACGATCTCATTTCACATGTTTTTACTTAATTCCGTAAATGTACTAGTACAAAATTCAACTTGTCACATATTACATCTTTTATTATTCTTATGGGCTTAGAAGCTATTAGATCCATATTCTTATATCAAAATTAACCCAACATTGAATGCAAGAACCTGATGGCAAAGGAATCAGGTTGTCGAATATTTGCTTCGCAGACGACTTAATGTTATTCTGCAAAGTGGATGTTCCGACTGTGGAGAATCTGATGGCTGCTTTTAGTGAATTCTTTAAAACCTCTGGTCTGAAAGCCAATTTACATAAATATGAGATTTTTTAGGGGGAGTAGATGAAGAAGTCTAGAATAGCATATGTAAGGTCACTGGGATGAAGAAAGGGGATTTTCCTAGAAGATATCTAGGGCTCCCACTATTCCCGAAAAGATGGAATCAGTTAGGATGCCAAAGTCTCGTAGATAAAATTGCTGGCAAATTGAAATGATGAAGTTCACAGCATCTGTCTTATGCCGGAAGACTCCAACTAGTCAACTGAGTCTTGATGAACCTACATGTTTACTGGTCCTTAACTTTCATACTTCCACATAGTGTCACCGAAGCTATAAACAGGAAATGCGGAGTTTCTGTTCGGGGGAGGGGGTGAGAGGATCAGGGAGATATGCTGGATTAGTAGGATGGGAAACAGTGTGTAGAAGTAAGGCCGAAGGAGGTCTCAGTGTTTATGATGCTGCCATATAGAATGAGGTAGCATTTTAAAACAAGTTGGGTGGTTAGCAAGTAGTAAAGAAAGCCTATGGTCTAAATGGATAAATGAAGTGTACCTGGATCGACATAGCATATGGGAAGCTAAGCCAAAGCAAGATTGCAGTTGGGCATGGAAGCAAATTCTAAGGATTAGAAACAAAGCTAGGGATGGATTTGTTGATGGTAAATGGAAAGGGACCAAGAAAGGCAACTACACTGTCACTACGGGATATAGATGGTTACAGGTAAACAAGGATAGAGAACCTGCTGCCGCTGTGATTTGGAGCAGAATTAATGTGCCAAAGCACTCCTTTATTGCTTGGCTAGTTTGGAAGCAAAGGATATGGACAAAAGATAGATTGACTCATCTAAATATCCAAGTCCAGGACCCTTTCTGATGTTTATGTGGTTTGCAGGAGGAATCAAACGTCCATCTGTTTTTTGAATGTGAGTTCTCTTTTGAACTGATTATTTTGGTACAAAGATGGTTGGGAATTAGACAGTTTACCATTTATTAGGAGAAGTGGAAGAAAGAGGTGTTGCACCTATGGAAAAATACACAACTTAAGAGGAGGATCTTGTATGGAATTATAGTGACATGCATCTACCTTATTTGCGAAGAGCGGAATAGTAGAATTTTCAGAGGATAACAGAGGAGTATGGATGCCATTTTCTTGAAAATCAAGAGGATTGTCAAAGCTAGAGTAATGCATTGCAGGAAGAGAAATCTATCTATACAAGAACAATCTATTTGTGATGGACTGTTCTAATAGTGTTAGAATTTTGGAAATTGTCTTTTGTAATCGTTTGATGGATTTTGTAAATGGCTGTAAATTGGTGTAAATAGTGCAATGGTGGATGAATTGTACTGAACGTTTTTATACCTATAAATATAATGGATAATGATTCGTAAAGGGAAAAAATGACAAGGAAAAATAACAAGGAATTGATCATAACCATTCATTTTTAACACTTTTCATTTAGGATTTAAGCATTTAAACTTAGAGTATAATTTAGATGATTGAAAACTCATTTCTTGTAAGTTTTTCTTGTAAATTTTCTCAGTATGTATCATTACTCAAATATAATTAACAGTTTTCACAAAAAAAAAAAACCATTGAATGCAAAGACCAAAAGCTAAACTTAAAAGTTAAAGGCCCACAGCTGGGAAAGTATTGGATAAAAAGAGGGAAAAAATAAAGGCCCATTCTGTTTGGCCCAAATAACACATGCTTGACACGGGATGCAATAAAAAATTGCAATCAGTCAGCCATGTCTGCCAGACTTTTTTCTTTTGGCTACGGTTCTATCGGAATAGATTCTCTCCCTTCTCCTATCCACGCGCGTCTGATGCCACGCAGCTTAGAAACATCTAGAAAACGGAATTTTGGTTCAATAAAAGATCCTTTTCACATGTAGGGGGAAAAAGAAAAAAAAAAAAAACACGTAAACCAAAACATCAAATTCAATTTCAGGTTTCCAAGCATTTAACACTAGTATCATTTTATAAATTAGATATAAGAAATCAGATTAGATTGTGAAATTATTTGACAATGACAACACTGACAATCTCACAGAGTTAGGGGATAAGCAAGTGGTGTCGTGTCTTTATTTTTTTCTTATTCATTAGAGATATGTTAAAATTTTCATTAAGACTTTACATTTTTTTTTGTTTCCATTTTCTCATGTTTATAATAAAAGATTGCCATGTCATTAATTATTTTATAAAGTTCACACACATTCAGAAATTCGTAGCTTTTTCATTTATTTAAAAAAATCTCCTTTGTTATTCATTTACATTTATACATGAGTTTTGATGTAATGCAACAAATTTATATCGCTTTACACAGCGAATAGGCTTTTTTAGCTCTTGGTGTAAGCCAAAAAATAAAAAATAAAAATCTTCGATTATGTTAAGAATATAGTTGAAAGTGTATAAATTTTAGAATTTATAAGTGGTGACTACTGGTGACTACAGTTTTATTCTATGTAAGTGCATGAACTTTATGTATATGGAATATATATATATATATATATATATATTACAAGATGGATACAATATTACAATAATAATTTATCTAAATTCTGTAATAGATATACTAACAATAGTAAGTGTTGCTTTTTTTATGTTGAAAAACTAGGGCTATGAAGCACAATTCATTTATTCAATTTATTCCATATTATTGATAGTACTAAGTAATAGTAATTCGTAAAGGAAATAAAAATCGGGAAGTGAGTAAAAATAAAAATAATTGACAATGGAGTTAGAGGGAAAAAGAAGCGCGTGAAGAATCCCAAAAAGTCCTAGAATATTTGGAGCAATATGATTGGACAATATATTATCATCACTCATTGGTCAAATTAACTGACTACAATTATTTATTTATTATTATTTTCCAAAAAATAATTTTTTTAAAAAAAATACAGAGGAAAAAAATTCACAGCAAGGCAGCCACCTACCCAATTTATTTGCCCAAGTTCACTCCCCATACTTCATTCACTAGATCACAAAAATTCAGCAGAGAGAGCATTGTTGACTTGATCATCTTCCTTTCTTCAGAATCAACAGAGCACTTTTCAGGGGTGTCCTGAGGTGAGGTGATAACTGCATCATCTTTGTTTTTGTTTTCTATTCTCTGTTCTGTTTCTGGGATTCTTTTGTAATCGGATTTTGTGGATACCTGTGTTATTAATCTGTGGGTTTTGTTAGATTTTTTTTGTTTGATGTGATTTTGAGGTTCTTGTGGTTCAGGAACTGTAATCTGCTGTTTGATTTCTGATGGGTTGTTGAAATGATGCCTTAAAAATTGGAGCTTTTTTGAAAATGCTATGTCAATGGAATCATCATGGTTTTTTGTTGTTTGTTTCACTTCATGTTGTTGCTGATCTTAGTAGGCATAACTGGTTATGTTTATCTTCCTGAGTTTTTGAGAAAATGTTTTTTTTTTTTTTTGGGTTTGAATTCTGTGTTGACGATGGTTGTTTTGTGAGAGTGGAAGTCTTTTGATTGTTTGGGTGAAGGAGAGTGGAGTCTGAACAACAAAAAGGGATGGAATTTGAAAGAGTATGTGGCCTGATTATGTACTGTTTGCTATCATTTCATGTTTGAGCTGAATTCTTGGGATTATCTGCATGGGATATGTCTGTGTGTGGAGTAATTTTGTAAATGTTTGTGATCCTGGAATGATGATTGTAGCCTTGTGTATAATGGAAAATGCTTCGCGATGGTAGTTATTTTATGCTGAGACTGAACAGGTTTGTTTGATGAATACCTGGTATCCGTCATCTCTTTTGGTCGCGTCTATGACAAGAGGACCACCTAAATTCATATAATCTTTTGGTTGGGGGGTTGATTTGTTAAAAGGTTCCTATCTCCTTACACCATTCTTGATATGCTTGTGATGTGTTTCTTATCATATTTCTGGGCCAATGTGTTTATTTTTTCTTCCCTACCTAATGTTGAGCTTATAGAGATATGCTTGATTGTCTAGATCACAAAAACAATGGTGAAGGCAGTTGCAGTTCTCAGCAGCAGTGAGGGTGTGAAGGGAACCATTTACTTCACACAGGAGGGAGATGGTATGTTAATATGCTGTCTAGTCAATGTTCTACTCATAATCAATAAAGATTATTTTTCCTAGTTATTTGATTTCTGCCCGTGGTCATTTATGTTCTCATGTCTTGCTTAATGGTGTAGCTCCTACTACTGTCACCGGAGAGGTTTCTGGCCTTAAACCCGGACTTCATGGCTTCCATGTCCATGCCCTTGGTGACACCACCAATGGCTGCATGTCAACCGGTACATTATCTAATTGAACTCGCAGGCAAAAGCTTAAATTTTTAATTTACTCGGAATCTGCTCTTGCAATCTATTTGTTAAATTATATTGATTGATTTGCAGGACCTCATTTCAATCCTGGTGGCAAAGAACACGGAGCTCCTGAAGATGAGCATCGCCATGCTGGTGATCTCGGAAACATCACAGCTAATGCGGATGGTATGTTCTATTTCTTTTTATTGTTATCTGAAAAGAGTTTTTGGTTATGTTTTATGACATTGATCTTTTGAATTTAGAAGGATTTGAACTTTTACTGTTTAGGTCTAAATTTGTTTAGTTGTTACTGCATTTTAGAGCTACAAATTCTATGGATGCTTAAAAATCTACATTTCTCTGTAGACATTAATACGTCTCTAATTCTCGCTTTCTAATTCATGAACAACATTTCTGACACCCTTTCCAATCTGACCTCAATAATGTCACAGGTGTTGCTTCTTTCACCATTGTTGACAAGCAGGTGAGTCAGCTACTGGCCTTCTGCTATCACTTCTCTTTAATTCAATCTTTTGCCTCTTAAATGCATAACCACAATTTACATTTTTTAGATTCCTCTTTCCGGAGCACACTCAATTGTTGGAAGAGCCGTAGTTGTCCATGGTGATCCCGATGATCTTGGAAAGGGTGCGTATCTTCTAATCTTTGAGATGTCTGTACTATGATGTTTAGCTAGACCTCAATATTGAGAAGTTTGTTAAATATATTGAATGTACTGAATTTTATTTTGGAGCAATTGAGAGTGTTTAATCAAACTTCAACTCTTTAACCTGAACAGGAAATTGTCATTTTTCTAGTAATGGTTGGTCTTTAGAAAATACAAGGTTGTCGATTGTAACTTGTCATGGTCCGATTTCAGCCTCAACTATCTATTATTCAATCATATCATAATAGCGTGTTTCTGAGGCAAATGCGGCTGTGGAAAAAGGAACTGACATTTGTTTTCTTTCTCATCATCCTAAATATGGATTTCTGGAAGTTATGTTATGAAACCAAATCTTTGGATTTGTGCATATTTTTTGGGGGTTTGATGGCCTTATATAATACATGTCTTTGTTCTTTGTCAGGTGGACACGAACTCAGCAAAACCACTGGAAATGCTGGGGGAAGAGTTGCTTGTGGTAAGTGTTATCTTTACCATCTATCACGCTACAACTACATACTCTGATAGTTGATATGTATAAGTTAATTCTAGTTTGAAGTTGTCTTCATGTATATCACTTTCTCCATAGACTCCATTACGACTCTGCAAGCAAATTTTCTTCAAGTGGCACCTAACTGGCTGAGCATCTCCTGTAATTTCTTAGTTTTGTGTTTCCAGATGTGTCTGGAATTTATCTTCTTTGTACCTTCTAATTTCTTTGCTTGCCGGTATCTTATTTGATAAATTCGTAACTGGTTTACCTGTCAATGTGTCATGAAAGGCGACATAACCCACATTCGCAAACATTTGCAGGTATCATTGGTCTGCAAGGTTGAATGGACATTCTTGTGTTGGCTGCTACCGGTCCTGTCTGAACTTGAGTTCTTTTTTGTTTTGAAAATCAGTTACTAGCAGACAGTATATGCAGAATAAAGAATTGGCTTGTCTTGTTGGTAAATTTATGCATTTCCATATCTGATGTAATTCAACTGGCTACATGAGGGTGAACTAAATATATGGTTTTGCAAATAGTTTGGGTGTTCACTTTCTGCATGGGTCCTTTAAATGAAATTAATTATATTACTGATACTTGTTTGCCCATGCACTATTGAATTGAAGTTATGCACTGCATTTAGTTGTCCAATTTTGTTGTTCATTCGAGACTGTTTCCTTCCCATATCCAGCAAACCCATTTAGTGACCCGAGATAATTGAAAACCTATTTATACCAGCATTCAGGTGTCTAAACTCAAGACAAAAGGGGCAAGTTTGAAGTAAACCCCATTTCTTGTGTTCTAAAATGGCAGTTCAATTCTGGTCACCTGTTGATGCTGCAATTCTAACCAAAAGGCATTTATCTTTAGCTATAAATAACCAGAGATTAAGGTTTAGAATGTCTTGCAAATTTTAACCTTTCAAATCGACTCTAGATTGCATTCTAAATTAGTTTTGTGGAGATTGCATAAATGTGTGATCCTCTGCCAGTGATTGGTTGTTTTCAGATTGTCCGGTCTGCACATGTGGAACATGGCAAGTTGGTGACCTTCAGCTAGGCAGGTTGAAAACTGCAACTTCTATTGCATACCATTTAACACCTACATTCAACATTCACAAACCTTATTTGCCCTATTCAAAGAAAGTTCCCCAAATGTTTCTGATCATTGAAGGAATCAAAATGTTCAGAATAGATTGGCAGATCTGAGAATAGACTATGCTAAAAATTAACATTGTTTTTTAGACATAATGGTCACTCTGAATAGACTATGCCTTCTTGCTCTACCTGGAAAATGATACAATCACCAACTTGTTATCTAACCACAAGCTTGTTGGGAACCATGAATTGAACTGTATCACAGTTGTGAATGAATCAATTGGATCATGTTATGCTAATAGTAACAAACACACCTGCATTCTACGTACCTGTACTAGGAAGCATAGGAAACCAGTATCCAAATCTTGTCAAAATTGACACAAGGGAGACTTTTTGGTACCAAATTCCAATCCAAACTCCATCACCATAATGTACATTGGAGGTTTTTATCTCCAATTAGGAGTTTGCATTCCAACGAGACTGCATTCAGCCGATCCATCACTCTCTCCAAAATGCTAATAACATTATAACATTCCTGGTATTCAACCATTTTGTTTTGGGTACAATTCGAGCAGTGTAGAATGCTAAACTAAGAAAGTCCAACAACCGCGCATATATCCTTTCGGCTAGATTTTTTTGAATGAAATCCACTGCAAAATCAGGCTCTAACATCCCCTAAATAAGGCCAAAAGTGTGGCACGACCCCAATCCACGAACAACCCTCAAAACCTACCAAGATGAGTTTGGTTTTTGGGACCCTTTGGCAGCTGTGATGCGACAGTGAACATAAGGGCTACGAAACGTCCCCAAATTTCCACGTTAAGGAATCCTTAGCCATCTTTCTCTACCATATTGGCATCAAATTCCACAAAATTCCAATTCTCTCATCCATCGGTTAGGATGGATTTTGACCTGAGCAAAATAGCCAAACTAGTGACTTCTCCCAAAACGTTCACCATTTTTTTATACTCCATCATCATCCCACCAACCACCCCTTTTCAGCTTCATTCTAAGTTTCAATTTTTCAACAACTTACTGAACTGTATACTCTTCTTATTGGCTTTCACCAACCTCCCCACCACCATTGCCTGCACCCCCCCATGATTTTCAATCTCCTTAATAGAAAAGAAGACACCAAAAAGTTGGGTCTTTCCTAAATTCTCTACCCCACAAACCCACCTTCCTCTTTCAGTTGGGGAAAGAAGTATCAAATTCATATAGTTCATTTTAAGCAAATTTAGCTGCCAACCAAAAGTTTTCTCCTTTTTCCTCCTCCCCTGCGCCAACCCTTCTTTGTTATCATTTCAAAGTCCAAGAATTTGGAGAAAAAAATGGAGTTGGTAATAAATAAAATATAAGAATCCCTCTTTTTTTATTCAATATTATTTTATAGTCAGGATTGTATTCTCTTGCTTTTAAAATTATTCCTATGCTGACTTGGGGTATTGAATATCAATAGAATTTGAATAAACATGAATTCATGAAAAAAAAGAATGAGATGCCTTGATTTTGCATAAGGGTCTCACATATTTTTTACTTCTGTTCAGTTGGGCAGTTTTGAAAAGACGGGTTCTTTAATACAGGCTTGACTTAATATTTTTTTCTGTTTCGTTGGGGAAATTTGGTTGGATTAGGTTGCATCTGAAGTGGGTCTGAAAATGGAGACCGGAACAAGGAGGAACCAGACGCTCATTTGTGCTCCATTGATGGCGGACACAGTCGACCAGATGCTGAGTTTAATGCAGAAAGCCAAGCAGAGTGGTGCTGATCTTGTGGAAATTAGATTGGATAGCCTGAAGAGCTTTAATGCGGCGATTGATGTTGAAATTCTTATCAAGCGTTGTCCTTTGCCTACCCTCTTCACTTACAGGTCTCATTCATAAATTGCATTCCTAGAAGCTGCTTTTTTCAATCCAGCTTATTGCAAGATGATTTTTTTTTACCTCTTATTCAATTTGAAATATTTGCTCTGGCCTGATCAAATAGAAGGAGACAGAGTAGAAGCGATTATAACTGTACAACTGATTCTGGCATTGGGAATAAGTGCAAAGTCTCAGTTTAGGTTGATCAACTGAAAATGACTGTTTTTGGACTAGTGCTTGAAAGTAAGAACTTATGATTGTTAACTGGATTTGGGATGTAACATATGGTACGTTAGGCCTACGGAAAGTAGGGAAGGGGAGCCATTAACTGATGTGACAGGTGATGTTGTGGAAATGGTTTCTTGTAGAGAGTAAGGTACATGCTTGGTTGTGTGCATTAGGCTAGGAAATGCTCAACCCATATTTGTGGGCATATATAGGCTCTATGGTGCTCTTTGATCTATCAATTGAAAGTAGTAGTCCTCTTGATGTATTCCTTTGAAAAACTTAGAATCTCTTAGTGACACGGGGAATATGTTAATGCACGTTTGGCATCAGATGGAGTTTGTTGTAATGCTTATGGTATTTGCTATTTGTTCTGGTCACTGGTTGTATAACTTGTTAGTGTGCACTTCTATTTCTAAACTTTCAGGAGTAGTCTTTCAATGACGTTGTCATCATTACTTCCTTTTTAGGCCTGTTTGGGAAGGTGGTCAGTATGAGGGTGATGAAAAAAGTAGACTGGACGTACTTCATCTAGCAATGGAGCTGGGAGCTGACCACATTGATGTTGAACTTAAGGTTGGTTTCCACCTCTTCTTTTCATCTTTCATCAAGAAAGCTGCTTGCTTGCATCGTACTATCTAATTGTAAGCAGTAAATCTTCATCATTATTAATTTTTTTTTTTCCGGGGTTTTCTTTTTAACCGTAGATTTGTATTAACAGGATGAATGTAGAAGTTTGTAACTTAAGCTATGTTCCTCGTCATACTACTTTTATATTCTTGAAGTTGAAGATCTACTCTCACATGTGCCTTTGTTCTTTTAAAGGCCGTCGAGGAGTTCTACAGTTCTTTCCATGGAAACAAGCCTGCCAAATGCAAACTCATTGTTTCTTCTCATAATTATCACAATACTCCATCTGCGGAGGATCTTGGCAGCCTTGTGGCCCGGATTCAAGCTAGTGGAGCTGATATTGTAAAGTTTGCAACGACTGCACAGGACATTACGGATGTTGCCAGAATTTTTCAGATCACTGTACATTCTCAAGTAAGCGGCGTAAGTAGTGTATTTAAAATTTCTTACTTGAGTTACTTGACTACAAATGAACGTGAAAGACGTTGTCACTTTTAAGAGCAGTTGGATTTTGACACAGGGAAGTTGGGTTGACTTTTAATAGGAAGGTTGCTCTTCATACATAGGACTTAAAAGTGACTTTTTTCTCCTTCAGATTCTAAGTATCTGCCTTGCCTTCTTTACCATTTGGTGCATGATCTAATCTTCACTCATTTTCGTTTCCGGTTTTTTCAATTTTTTTTTTTTTTTTTTTTTTGTTGCAGGTTCCCATAATTGCAATGGTCATGGGAGAAAGAGGTTTAATGTCTCGGATACTTTGCCCAAAATTTGGTGGATATCTGACTTTTGGCACTCTTGAGTCGGGCAAGGTATCTGCGCCCGGGCAGCCAACCATTGAGGATTTGCTTAATTTGTACAATTTCAGACAGTTGGGGCCTGACACAAAAATATATGGGATTATTGGGAAACCTGTCAGCCACAGCAAATCCCCCAAGTTATATAATGAAGCTTTCAAGTCTGTGGGTTTCAATGGAGTCTTTATGCATTTGTTAGTGGATGATATTGAAAAGTTTTTCCAGACTTATTCGTCCACTGACTTTGCTGGCTTCAGGTAGGTTCCACAATATTTGGAGTCTAACTAGTCCTTCAATGTCTAAGTTCGTTGATGTAATCTGTCAACTTAATTTTGTTGCAGCTGCACTATCCCTCATAAAGAAGCGGCACTCAAATGCTGTGATGAGATAGACCCTGTTGCAAAGGTATTGTTGTACGCATTTGTCTGTAACAGTCGGCCAATTTTTGTGATTTAACCTTTTCTGACTTATTACGTTCCATTTTCCAAAATTTCATAGTCAATAGGGGCTGTTAACTGCTTAGTCAGGAGACCCACTGATGGGAAGTTGTTTGGCTGCAATACAGACTATGTGGGTGCAATTACAGCCATCGAGGATGGATTACGAGGTTTTTCTGTGATGATCAACTAGCTTTAAATAATTGCGTTCTGGAACTCACAAATGAGTGATAAAATATTTTCCTTTGTACAGATTCACATCATGCTTCGATTTCAAATGAGTCACCTTTGGCTGGTAAGTTATTCGTGGTCGTTGGTGCTGGTGGTGCTGGCAAGGCTCTTGCTTATGGTGCAAAGCAAAAGGGAGCAAGGGTTGTGATTGCCAATCGAACATATGGTTAGTTTTTATATCTAAGGGTGCAGTGGCTAAGTTTTTCTGTCATATAAAAGAATGGTGAAGTATTCATGATGTGTGGGATGGAGCTTTCATGTTACACTCTATTGTATGTATAAAGGACTCCTTTGATAAGGTCTGTTTTCTCGATTTTAACAGAAAGAGCGAGAGAACTTGCTGATGCAATTGGAGGGCAAGCTGTGTCTTTATCTGAGTTAGAGAGTTTCCACCCAGAGGATGGCATGATTCTAGCCAACACAACTTCAATTGGGATGCAGCCTAAGGTTGATGAGACTCCTGTTGCTCAGGTAACTTTCTTTCAAATATAAATGTTAACTGGCTTGTTTTCAGTTGTAATTTCATCTTCAAAAACGGTACTCCCACCGATTATAGGGGATTCTTATTAAGGTGTTTGCACGTGGCTCTTGTCGTCTACTGTTGACTATTGTGCAATTTCTATCAGAGCAAACTTTGAAGTTTGTGTTGATGATCCGCTTTATGTGGAAATGTTTTAGGCATTTTCTTTTTTTTGTTAGATCCACTTTTTGATACAAGAGTGCTGCTATGAGTATTTGAGGAAGTAGGAGTGAACAGTGGATTAAGAATGCCGCCTTCTATCAAAAATCTGTCATATGCTATTTAAAGTTTGGATTGCTAGTGCTCCTGAGACTGGAATATCTTTATCTAAGGCTTTCTCATTTTTCAGGAAGCTCTTAAACATTATTCCTTAGTTTTTGATGCTGTGTACACACCAAAATACACTAGACTACTACGAGAGGCAGAGGAGGCCGGAGCTCAAATTGTAACTGGAGTGGAAATGTTCATCGGACAAGCATATGAACAATACGAGAGGTTCACTGGGTTACCAGGTATAACCAAATTTACCTTGTTCCTTGGTTCTTTTTTTCCCCAATTTCCTGATCCCATTACTCGTCTACTCTGACGACAATTATTCATTTTGAATTGCAGCGCCGAAGGAGCTATTTAGGAGGATCGTGTCGTGATATCCAGAGTTTATCTGCAATCTAGATTAGAAAAATTCAGTATTCATATCATTTCCTTATCCACTTGTGTCTGTCTCTGTATACCTATCGGATCACAAATTTCTCATGGCTTTTCTTGCTTTGACAAATCATGTTAGGAATGTTGTAGTTCTGAGTTAGGACATCCTTAAAGATCTCCAGTAGTATGAGAACAATACATTGTCACCATTTTTTGGAATGTTTCCTTCATATCTATCCTTCAGACTTCAGAGACACATTAGAGCTGTATTCTTTGGATTACACATTTGTTGCAATGTAATCATTTTTTCCCTAGGATTTTGTGGGTTTTTGTCCCCTTTTCTTCTTCATTGCGTTTACATTGACTAAATTCATTAAATTGCTTTGGTAACATGAAAACAAAAAAGAAAGAAAAAAATAAAAAGATTGAGCACCAACTAGGTGTTGTATTTCACTACAACATATAAATAACCATCAGTCCAAAAATGCTTGCAAACAACTCCATAGGTCTGATCGAAGTAAATTAAACTGTTTCATGTCCAAAGCAACATTGGAATACCCAAAGTCCCTAACACTCATTTTTTGGGAAAAAGAACAAAAAAGGTCAAATCTTTACAGGAAAACAGTCAAAACACAAACAGGTTTAGACATGGGTCCTTAAACGGTTAAACCTTGTATGTAGTGTAATGGCTTGAGGCTCAACCTTATTTGTCTTTGTGCTGCCTCTTCTGCTTTCAGTCTCTGATCGTTCATGCAATCTAATTTGACTCAAATCACCTCAAAGCTCTCAGCTTTGGTAAAATCGGGTCTCATACAATGTGCCCGAAACCTGTTCGACGAATTGCCTTACAGAGATACAGTTGTCTGGAATGCTATGCTCACTGGATATTCCCAGTTGGGTTATCACAAAGATGCAATTTTGTTGTTCTCCCAGATGAGACTCAGCGACACCAGGCCCGATAGCTACACATTCACCTCAGCATTGAGTGCCAGTGCGGGCTTAACAGACCTCCAAAGTGGGCAAATGGTTCATGCTTTGGCTGTTGTTCTTGGATGCACCGCGTTTTTGCCGGTAAATAATTCTCTGATTGATATGTATGGAAAGTGCAAGAGCAGCTATGAAGCTAGAAAAGTTTTTGAAGATATGGTTCTTAGGAATGAAGTGTCTTGGTGCTCTTTATTATTTGCTTATGTAAATGCTGGTCATTTTGATATGGCTAATAGTGTGTTCTCCACTATGCCAAAAAGGGTTCTTGTTGCTTGGAATACTATGATATCTGCTCATGCAAAGGCCGGCGAAGTCGAATTATGTTTTGAACTTTTCAGGAAGATGTTAGAGGATGTTGTCAGGCCAGACCAGTGCACGTTGAGTGCCCTGATGAATGCTTGTGCTGAAGGGAGTGATAGTTCTTATGGTTCTATGATGCATGCGTTCATTTATAAAAGCGGTTGGAGCTCGGCAGTCGAGGTGAGCAACTCGATTATTAGTGCGTACACGAAATTCGGCAATCAAAATGAGATTTTGAAGATTCTTCAGTGCATTGGAGCTTTGAATCAAGTGTCGTGGAATGCTATCATTGATGCTCATATGAAGACTGGAAACAGCCAAGCCGCGTTTCAGGTTTTTCAGCAGGCGCCTGAGAAGAATGTGGTTTCATGGACATCAATCATTGCTGGATTTGCGAGAAACGGAAATGGGGAACAAGCCATTAGCTTCTTTGTCAAGATGATCAGAAGTGGTCTTGAGCCGGATGACTTTACATTTGGGGCTGTTTTGCATGCTTGTTCGAGCTTAGCCACCCTAGCCCACGGTAAAATGGTTCACGGTTGTGTGATTAAATCAGGGTTCTATTGCTATAGTTATATCGGCAATGGTTTGCTGAACCTGTATGCTAAATGTGGGAATATAGTTGATTCATGCTTTGTATTTAGTGAAATTCTTGTGAGGGATTTAGTCTCCTGGAATACAATGTTGATCGCACTTGGATTGTATGGTTTGTCTAGCCAAGCTTTTCTGCTCTTTGAGAAAATGTTAGCTTCTGGTTTGAAACCCGATAAAGTAACCTTCATCGGTCTATTGATGACTTGTAGTCATTCAGGACTTATAAAGAAAGGCCGTGCTATATTTGAATCAATGACTGCTGTTCATGGTATCTCCCCAGATAATGATCATGTCGCTTGCATGGTTGATATGTTGGGAAGGGCCGGCCATCTGAAAGAAGCCAGAGAAATGGCGAAGAAATACTCAGATGATCTGGGCGACAGGATCAGCTCATATGAGGTACTATTTGCAGCATGTTCTGGTCAAGGTAACACAGAAATGGGAGGAGAGCTGAGTGAGCAACTGCAGATTCTTGAACCGACAAACGAGATGAGTTATGTGCTGCTATCCAACATGTATTGTGCAAGTGGACAGTGGAAAGAAGCTGAGATGTTGAGAAGAGAAATGGCTAATCAGGAAGTGAAAAAATTGCCTGGAATCAGCTGGATTGAGCTGAAGAATGAGATGGCATATTTCTTTGCAGGGATACAATCAAATGCAGAAATGAGAGAGTTCAGTGATGTCTTGTCCATTCTTGAGTCTGAAATGAGACACCCAATTTCCATGCCTTGCCTGGGATGAGACTTAGGTTAGCCGGTTTTAGGTCAACCGACCTTGGCAGTACATGTAGTTCTGCCTGCTGTACAAGAAATATTACTCGAGTCAGTGTCACATATTCCTATCTTATACTCAACGCTTATTAGAAATTTGTCGTTACAATATGACTAGTCGACTAAGATGATATACTCCCTCCGTCTCAAAATTATTGTCCAGTTTGAGATTTTACTTTTAGTACAATTTGAACTAGAAATGAAAATTCAAACTGGACAATTATTTTGGAACGGAGGGAGTAACTAACATTCCAAGACGGAAAAACTTATTTGGTCATTTTTTATCCCAACAAAGAATGTGAATGAGGAGAAACAATATTCACCATAAATAGAAGAGTTATTGTAGATAGTGGTCGGATTTTGTGAAACGACCCTTTTCTATAATTTGGAAATAAAACGTTGGATAAAGTTATAAACTAAAACGCAATTCTCCGGATAACTGAAATTGTTAAGTGAAGAGAGACTTACCAGCTATGATGCATCAATGAGCAGTTTTGGTATAGAATATTAGAATCCAAACAGAGAAAATCCACAAAACTTGTTTTACTAAAAAAAGTGAGCATGAAAAACTTGTGTTAGTTTGAAGCTTTGAATGTCCTATGAAACAATAGGAGAGGGTAGGACTTTGGCAGCTTTTAGTTTATACATTCTTTTCATTAAAGAACAGTCAAATTGTCAGCAAGACATTGGAGTTGGGTGATCCCCTGTGAGCTGTGACACCCAAAATCTTCCCTATAATTTTTGTTCTTCCCAAAATGCCATTCTTCACAGTGAGAAAACAATAGAGTGTAACAAATCACATGGATTCCTCCAAATTCCTATCAATCCTCAATTTGTGTTGTAGTCATGACTGGTGAATGAGACCTTTCACAATCAAATCTAATCAAATAAGGTTGAAAATTTTATCATTATAAATACACCAAAACTATATTACTAACGTCAAAAAGTGGTCGACAACATTAAAAAAAAAAATTGGCACGTATTTTATTAGTAGTAATTGAAAAAATACGCATTAAATAATGAAGAGTATCATAGAAAATACTACACAACAAGTGACGTAAACGATCCGAACTGTGAGCTGTGATGATAACAATGAAATTATATAAAGATTTTGAATTGAATTACATTAATGATAAGTCAAGACATTAATGCGTGACGTACTAACCAAAATACATTTGAAATACAAGAGTCTGAATGGATTAGTATTTGAATTTGGTGCTAACCTGTCATTGGCATAAATTACTTGATAAATAATGCTAAATACATATTGCAAATTTAGTCCAAAAAACGGCTAAATATCCAAGTATGCTAAATGGGTAAACAATGCATTCACGACCAAGATTGACTTGGGGTATAATCGGAAGCGAAGAAACTATTATAAGATACAAATAATATCACTTTAATATTCGATATGTATTTCTATAATTCAATCCTAACACTCTAAAAATTGTCTTATGAAAACACCATATAAAGTGTATGGACAAAGTTATTTTGCCCGAAGATATTTTGATAACATACTCACTCATATGATAGATTCAAACAATCGGCTTATAGTCACTATACGAACTAGAGGATTTAATCTCCAAAGATATGTGAAGCACAAAAATATGTGAGCATGAACCGCTAAATTGTTTGTCTAGTCACACATTATAAATTTTTTTTTTAGATGATCCCACCCCCAAATTTTGTCACAATCAAAATATTAATAACATCACAAAAAAAAGTAAATGTAGCACCAAAGTGATATAGGCTAGACCTGAAAATTTTTAGGTTTTTGCCTTTGGACAGGGGTAAAATTGGGATTTCACATTGAATAATTTGCCCCTGAAGTTGACCAAAATTACAATCAACTCACCACATAGAAAATAATGTTGGACTAGTAGAGTAAATAACCCTTAGTCAGGGACTTGTTCTTCCCTCATTCCTTCCATCACAAAACTTCCCACCTCTTCCTCTTCTTCCCCATGGCCACTTGATGCTTCACAGTCCTTCTGCCCTTCCGAACCCTTGACCTTTGAGTACTTGTCCATAAAAAAGCTGGCATTTTTGGTTCAAGTAAGCTCTATCACTCTTCTGATTGATCCTGGATTGCATGATTGTTGTTTTATCTTTCTTTCTTTTTTGGTTGCAAAATTATGGGTCTTTTTCAGTTTGGTTCAGTCAATTTCGTGTGACCCTTCAAGGGTTTAGCAAATTTTTTTGTGGGAAAAAATGGGTTTGTTTAAATTAGGAGGAAAAGTGGGCGCTGGAGTTTGGTTCTGTTCCTTGTTGTTGACTTTAGACTGAGCCCATCAGGATTTAGATATTTTGGATGTTCTTTCTGGCTTCCACGGCTTATCTTCATTTAAATTATTCTTTCAGGTGCTAAGATCACGTTGTTTTGGGGGCAGACATGGTTTGCTTCTGATCTTCGAGGGCTGAAGGTATGAAGGTTACCATGAAACGGGCATTCCATTTTGGCCTTTTCCTTTTGAGCTTCTTTTTAATCGAAATTGTGTTCCGCTTATGCTTATTCATACCTTAGTAGATAATTGTTTTTGATGGATAGTGAGCAAATTGTTGTTTTGATTAGCTTATTCATACATCAGTAGATAATTGGTTTTCATGGATTGTGAGCAAATTTGTTGTTTTGATTCATGATTCGGGGAGAATGGTTAGTTAATGTGACATTTGACGAGATTAGATGGACCACATTTGTGAAAAGTAACTCATTTTGCGTATTGTATCTTGCATATGATAAAAAGTTAGTTCCCTGTCCAAAAATTATTATCTTTGGGGCTCATGGGTGTTTATGGACCTTTGGTCCATTTGTTGTTTCCTTACTGATTTGTGTAATGAAATCCAGTCATGTTGCTGTTTTATGTTAACCATTGTGAGTTGAGATTCATAGTTATTGAACAACTCACTTTAAAATCCACTGATGCTGACCGCTTTTTGTCGACTGTTTATTCTATTAGGCAGCTCTTGAATGTCAATGCAGTTATACTTTCTCTTGTTTTCATTGCATAAGGCATAATAGAAGCTTAGAAGTTCTCTTTTTGAGCGATCTTCTAATCAGTAAGAAGAGAAAAATGAGAGAAATATCTTTAAGATCGTAAGAATCTGCGTGCAGAAAACTCTTAGATCACCTGATAAATCTAGTTGAAGAGGACTCTTGTGAGTAGAAAGGATCAAAATCATTATCTCAAATTTAAATATGTGATGAGAACATACGTAATGTCAAAGTACGATAGTAACATATGATCCACATAGCCAAACTATGTGAGGGATAAAAGCTTAGCAGTTGTTTTTGGTGGTGGAGTGGAAGTTGGCAGAAAAGTCGGTCACCTTTTGTATTCAGGTTCCATGGGATAAGTTTTAGTTCTTTTTCCATGGCTGACGTTGTCAGGGACAGGTCAGGTATGAATTGTTTTGGAGGATTATTAAGGTGCTCAACGGCATATGCTTTCCTAATATTTATATGGTTTGAAATGGGAAGTTTTTTTCTTCGGGCATGCATCGTAGCCTAATTTTTGTTGAAGTTTTTGTACAAAGAAGAGGCTAAATATATATTATGAACAGGAATTTAGGTCATGTAGTTTATTCTATAATACGATAACTATAATATGATAACAGTAATCGAAACTTGTGGTTGTTGAATGTCATTGATTTAAATGAGAATATTGTATTGTGAGTAAGCATTCTTGAAGGCCACAAGGGTGTTAATGTGCTACAATATCTTGGATTCTCTCTTGTGCTGGCCAGTTGCTGTAAAACTAAAATTGTTAATTTAATTTTTGTTTGAATATGGAAAATATTGTTTTGTCTTGGAAATATATGCTGATGCACAAAATATGTGTTTCTCGCTGATATATTGCACAGTCGTATCTGCATTGTCATTCATATTGTTGCAATTAAATAGTTAACCATACCGTGAGAGTCAAGTTGCAGGCTTTCTTCCTTTCTAGTTTTGGTAATTCTTTTTAGTCCATTTCAGTACCTTGTGGTTGAGCTAAGGTGTTCTTCATTTGTTTTATGCTTTAGGTGAGAAGGAAATTTCTCTGAAATATTTGCTGGAACATTGCAACGTAGTTTATTTCCTTAGAGATGGAATGCAACAAGGAAGATGCAATGAAAGCCATGGATCTGGCAGAGAAAAAGATGGAAAAAAAGGATTTCCAAGGTGCAAAGAAGATGGCGGTTAAGGCTCAGCAGTTGTATCCTGACCTTCTTAACATTTCTCAGATGATCTTGGTTTGTGAAGTGCATTGTGCTTCTCAGAGTAAGCGCTATGGGAATGAAATTGATTGGTATGGTGTACTCCAAATTGAGCCAACAGCTGATGACGCTGTAATCAAGAAGCAATACCGTAAGCTGGCTCTCTCGCTTCATCCTGACAAGAACAAGTTTGCAGGTGCCACAGATGCTTTCAAAATGATTGGTGAAGCTCAGAAGGTGCTACTGGATGGACAAAAGCGATTGCTTTATGACAGCAAACGTAAAGCTGCAGGAAGATTTCAAGCTTCGCATCATCATGGTGGCAGACAGACAAATGCCAGAGGACATCCCTGGTTTCAGAGTGCAAATGTGGGCAGTGCTGCATTTCAGGCTGTGAATCCACAGGCCCAGCAACCACAACAGCAGACGCAACCAGGAGGTGTAAATGGTAACCTCTCCACATTCTGGACTGTCTGCCCATTTTGCTCTGTTAAGTATCAGTATTATCGCAATGTGATCCAAAGAAATTTACGCTGTCAAAACTGCCAGAAAGACTTCACCGCTTACGAATTGAACCCGCCTAGTGAGAAGCCTCCTACCAGTTCATATCAGCCTGTATTTCCCGAATTTACTGGTGCAGTGAAGAAGGGCAACTCTTCCAAACCTGTACGTGAGAAAAAGATGAGTACTAAGACCAAGGATACAAATTCATCAGTTAAAAGGTCCATGCCCGAGGCTGTTGAAGAAAGTACTAGAGGCAGGGGTCCTAAAAGGAGCAATAGGAAGAGGAAGAAGTCAAAAGAATCTAGTGAAAGTAGCAGCACTGATTCCAGCTCTGATTCTGATGAGGACCTGGACATCAACGAACATGGTAATTTTGGAGTTAGCAGTGATCAAAACCTCCGACGATCTGCTCGTTCTAAGCAGCGGGTTTCTTATGATGAAATTCCCAGTGACGATGATGCCTCCAAAAGGTCCAAAAATGATGAATCTTTTTCTGCTGGAGTCGACGAGGGTATGCAGAATACTGGTAACAAGGGAGCTGGAGTTACATCTGGCTCAGAGAAGAAAAAGAATGAGACGGCGCGTGAGAAAGTGTCTTCTCCTGATGAGATTTCCAGAAATGGAGATAAAAGATCTAAGAAGACATCTGAGGACATGGTTGTGTCTGAGAGTGAAGAGGAAATTTCTGAGGTAAAAGATTTTGAGTATCCTGACCCAGATTTTAGCGACTTTGAGAAAGGTAGAAAAGAGGATTGTTTTGCCGTCGGACAACTCTGGGCTGTTTATGATACCTTGGGTGCTATGCCTAGGTTCTATGCTATAATCAGAAAAGTCATATCCCGTTCTTTTAAACTACGAATCACATGGTTTGAGCCACAACCTGATGACAAGGAGCAGAAATTGTGGGTCGGTGAAGGGTTGCCAGCATCCTGTGGAAAGTTTATTCTTGGAGATTCTGAAGAAACTGATCAGCTTGCGATGTTCTCCCATCTGGTCTTGGAAAAGATCAACATAAGTAGAACCTATGAGATGTTTCCAAAAAGAGGGGAAACATGGGCTCTATTTAAGGGATGGAATGTAAATTGGCATTCTGACCCAGAGAAAAAGAATCCTGATTATGGGTATGAGTTTGAGTTTGTCGAAGTTTTATCAGAGTATGATAAGGAAAGTGGTTTGACTGTTGCATACTTGGGAAAGTTGAAAGGGTTTGCATGTCTGTTTTGTCGGATAACGAAGGACGGTATTGGCTCCTTCCTGATTCCGGCAAAGGACTTATACAGGTTCTCACACAAGGTTCCTTCTTTTCAGATGACTGGGGAAGAACGAGTAGATGTTCCCCAAGGTTCTTTTGAGCTCGACCCTGCTGCCTTGCCTCGCAACATTGAAGAAATTGATGTTCTCACCGCTTTTTCTATGGATCCAGGGCAGACGAATGCTAATGGTGCTGAGAAATGTACGGATAACTCCAGCAACCATGCACCTTCAGTACAATCTGAAAGACGAACCATGAGACCGACAACTTCGGAAGAACCTTCCTCAGGCAGAAATGTTCATGTGGCTGATGTACAACAAAAGAAAGACTCTGAAGGGTCCTCATCATTAGGGAAAGCAACACAAAGGGACTTTCCTAATGCTTGTGGTAATGGCTCCGAGAGTTTTATGAAGGAAACCATGGACGCAACAACCCCGCTTTCTGAAGCTTATGAAATTCCCAAACCAGAATTTTACAACTTTGATACTGAGAAGTCAATGGAAAAGTTCCAAGTTGGCCAGGTATGGGCAGTGTATGGTGATGAAGATGCCTTACCGAAGTCCTACGGTATAATTACGAAGATTGACTCTTCTCCAAACTTTGCTTTATATTTGACCTGGCTTATGAGCATTCCATCAGCGAAACATGTAACTCGTTGGATTGACAAACAAATGCCTGTTTGTTGCGGGGACTTCGTGGCTAAAAATGGAAATCCAACAATGTTTGCTGACCTAGAACAGTTCTCTCATCAGCTTCGAGTTCGCAAAAATTCTGCGAAGCAAGTTTATGGCATATACCCGGAGAAAGGCGATGTTTGGGCATTATACAAGAATTGGCATGCTGGCATGACTTGTTCAGACTTGGACAACTGTGAGTATGAACTCGTTGAAATCCTGGACAAGAATGATGCGGAAATAACTGTTTTAGCGCTAGAGCTAGTTAATGGTTACAAGACAGTATTCAAGCCCGAGGGGCAGTCAACTGGGAGGAGGAGGATACCATTTGCTGAGCTTTTCAGATTCTCTCACCAAATTCCTGCGTTTCGCCTTACCAACGAGAAGAATGGCAGCCTGAAGGGTTTCTGGGAGCTTGATACTGCTGCAGTTCCAGTTCACTTTTTTAGACCAAACTGATGATAACGAAGGACGATCAACGACGGGTTTTTGTATTGCCCTAAGTTTCTTCTTGTATTTATGTAGCTTTCTTTTGTAGATGGGCTGGTTTTAACGGTAGATGGGTTATTCAAGTCGCCAAATATACATGAACAGGATGTCAGTATGGTAGTCAGGAGATTGTACTTGTGTTCTGGAGTTTAATCATTAGAATCTGCCTATCCAGAATCCTGGATACTTTTGAGACTATATTGCCTGGTTTTGTGGTTGCATTTTTTTGTTTTTTTTCTCTTTTGCATTAGATTTTGTTTCTCAGTTGGCATTTGGCACGGTAGTAACATTTGCCTCTTTGGATAAGACACCTCTCCTGTCTCAGCTAGCAATCGAGAGATCATGTTGTTGATGAATATTTCTTTTTTCTCATTTTTATTTTTACAATGAAGGAGGCTATTGCCTAAAAAATGAAACTACTACTAAACAAGTAAATTAAGTCTAAAAATAAAAAAACTATAAATAAATGCCTGAGACTTTTTTCATAGTCTTGTGATATCTGTAATCCAAATAGTGTCACCTCCAGTATTCAAATTTATGGTCTTTTTTCTCATCTTAATTATTAACAGTTTACTTTGTTGAAGTGAAAGTCTCATAGTCTTGTGATATCTGTAATCCAAATAGTGTCACCTCCAGTATTCAAATTTATGGTCTTTTTTCTCATCTTAATTATTAACAGTTTACTTTGTTGAAGTGAACATGTTAGAGATTATGTATTCAAATTTCCTCCGTTGTGAAATGAAATACTCCCTCAGTCCCTCTGTCCCAAAATTTCCTCCAGTTTGTGATTTCACTTTTAGTATAATTTGAACTAAAAATGAAAACTCAAATTGAACATTAATAATGGGACGGAGGGAGTACTAGTTTCCATTTCTTACATTTGTAAGGTGTCGCAATCACATATTCGCAATAGGAAATTCCAATTATTGAGCCTTTGTAAGGTTTTTGTTTCTGATTAGTTTGGCGTATCTAAAATAGTTATTCTGGCGTTCACAAAAAACCCAGTTATTCTAGTGTTTGATCACTCAATTAATATGACATGATGTGACTCTTTTATGTGGTTTGTGATTAACTGGTCCTAGATAATTTTTTTTTTTTTTTTTTTGAAAGGGAGTCCTCTATAATTGATATTGTGGATATCTAATAGTTTTCTAGCTAGAATTGATTTTTTTAATGAGTTTTTGCGCTAACAGATTTACATTTATTTTCTAGCTTTTTGGACATGGCGGGCATTTGGTCTAGTGGTATGATTCTCGCTTTGGGTGCGAGAGGTCCCGAGTTCGATTCTCGGAATGCCCCAGTCGCAACTATTCTTTTATTTATTTTTTATTCCCAGCGCTTTCAGTTTAAGACAAACTCCACCTCTGCGATATCAACGCTTTCAGTTAATTAATCCAATAATTTTTGTTTTATTACCAACGATTTCTATTTGGAAGCCCAAAAGTACTGACTACTGACAACTGAAAGCTTACTCCAACAAAATCCCTACTTCTTCTTTTTCCCCAATTTAATTTTCCCTCCAAAAATATTATTATTAACCCGCGAAAGATTTCTCTATCCCCGAACCCTAACCGATTTCCTTTCTGATGAATTGAGAGATGGCTCGGCTTGGAGACGATTCAGAGAAAACCCAGCCGGTTCAATCCGAATCCGACACTGATTTCAGTGATGCCGAGACTGTGGATTTCGATGCTGAGCTTCCGACTCATGAATTACCTGGCGGTATTGACTTTTAGTTTTTTTTTTTTGGTTATTGCCTATTTTCTTGAAATGTCCGTCTGATTGTTAGTATGAAATTGGGTGGGTGATTTAATTAGTAGATTTTGTTGTATATATATTTTTTTTTCTGACATTACGTTTACTTCTAGGATACTATGTGAGTTTTATTGTGAAAGTTTGTTTCTTTCCTGATGTTGAAGTTATTTTGTTGGAAGAATGTGTGTGAGGGTTGATTTTGAATTTGTTTGAATTGAAACTAATAAGCTAATCGCTCCCAATATGGGTTTTCTTTTGTGGTGTCAGATGAATTGAATGATGATGATATTGAATTGGAATATGATGGGCTGCAGTATTTCCAAGATACTGTGCCCGTGGATGATAATGCCTTCCCGTATGAGGATGCATTTGACACACAAAAGTTGGATCTTGATGGCGAGACCCAAGTGATGGATGTTTGCGATGGTACACAAGAAGTGAATCTTTACGGTGATACTCAAGTGGTAGATGATTGTGATGGTGAAATTCTCCTCCTGGGTGAAGATGGTGAGGAAATCCATGAAACTGAGGTCTTGGGTGGGACTCAGGAGCTATCTGATGATGACTCAAAGAGAAATGGTGGTGCAAATCCCGAAGTACTATTGGGTTCGCTAAGCAATGAAGGGCATAGCTCAGGTTAGCTTTTATTAAAGGAAATGTCTCTCCACTATGTTAGATTTTTGTTTGGCATCATATGTGATGGAATGACATGAGCTTTTTAGAGTACAGCTACTATATGGTTTTGGACTTGTAACGATGATATGTTGTTGCAGGGTCTACCATTCGAGGCTTCACTTCAATTCGTGTGGCATCTCTCAGACAATCTGGGTTGGCTGCTCGCCAAAATGGAATGCTTTGTCGCAGAGACTCAACCAAGGCTGGGAACGATGCCAATCAGAAAAATGATCCAGAGCAGAATGATCCACAAGTCAAGGAATTTGGGAATGCATACAAGTTGGGTGGATCGGCAGTCAGAAAGCTCTTTAAGGATGATGTGGCTCCTGAGTGCCGGCAAGGAAATGATGCCACAGAGACTATTGATGGGACTGGAGGTGATTCCCTGTTTGCATTCCGACAGGAAGCCGGCTTAAGTTATATAAGTTCACAAGAACCTGGAGACCTATCTCAAGCCGATGCATTGGACTTCGTCGACAAATTTCTTAAACTTAATGCCATTGAGAGTAGTGAAGAAGTCACTCGGACAAAAACATTTGGAGAAAAATCAAAACCTGTCTCTGTTGCAAAAGGAACTAAAAGTTTGGCAAAAAAAGCATCTGCTAACAATGTTGAAAGAGAAAGTAAAATTTTTAAGTGGGATGATGATGTCGAAGATGAAGGTGGGGGAGAGTTTTTCCAAAAGAAAAAGGATTTGTTCTTTGATAGTGGTGCTCGGAGGAGGAGAACTGTTGCCCAATGTAGGAAACGACCCTGTCTTGACTCAAAACATAGCTTGACATCACAACCAATTGGGGAGAAGAAGATAATATGCTGCAATGGAAAGCTTAAAGATGCTAGCTTTTCTGATTCAAAGCTGTTGTCGAAAAACAGCAGAGCAACTATTGAAGTGCTAGAGCCAAAAGAGCCTAGCTTTAAGAGGAACCTTCTCAATGAGTTGAATGAAGAGATGGATACTACTGGGGATAGGCTAGTCGATGTTGGTACTGGAGAAGGTTTGCCAAATAATCAGGACGTGGGTATTGATACCCAAATGGCTGCTGATGCTATGGAAACCCTGCACTTCGCAGAGCATATCGGAAATGTGAGGAACATTTCTGAAAGAAATAAAGTGGATGAGTTTCAAAGTTTAGACAGAAGCTCTAAGAAGAAAAGAGCTCGTCCTTCTAATGTGAATGTTGTGACTAGACGATCAAAAAGAGGAAAAGGAACAGATGAATCAAGTAGAGGATCACCTCTGTCATCATTGAACCAATCTAAGCATGGAAGTAAGCAATCAGGTGCAGAGCTTTCTAACCGAGAACCAAGGGGCAATTGTGAAAAATTGAGTCCTGTACCCCAGTTTGTCAGGCAAACAAAGAAAGACGGCATTCCAGTTTCATGTGACCAGAGCGGTGAGACTCATGCAACTATATCATCTCGTAAGAAGTCCTTGAGGGCAAATTCTTTGCAGGAGGAACTTGGTAGTTTTACGCCTGTTTCTCACCGAACTAGGGGTTCAATTAAAGTAAGCCGGTCAAAAGTTGAAAACAGCCAAAGCAGTTCTATTGTGGGCTCTGAGGTTGGTGGACTTGTTCAACCAGATACATTTTCTCGAGGGAAAAGGACCCAATCAAAATTGTCAGTGGCCAATGCTGAGAAGAATTCTAGTTCCAAAAGGTCGAAAATTGATTCAACGAGCTATTCTGTGGATCTAGTTCAATGCCAGAAGGAACAGCCATCTGAATGCGGAGATGGAAAGATCGTTGAAAAAACTGTTGATAATGGCAAGTCTCTTGATGTGAATGGTTCTCGTATTAACGGCAGTATGGTTAAAGGACGGAGATCCAGACACTCTGGTGCAAAGAGAGATGTGGCTAATACGATATCTGCTGATGTTGGGAAAGTGAGTTTGAGTGAAAAAGCATCCCCAACCAAGAGATTGAAACAGTCTGCTTCAGCTAATACTACTCCTACTGGTTCTAGGACACCAAGAAGTAATGCATCACCAATCTGTATGGGTGACGAATATCATAAACAATCATGCAGGAAGAATCTATTAAGGTCATCTCTCATGAAAGAACTCGATAGCATAAAAACTACAGATTGTCATGAATTTACTGGCGCAATGAAACACTCCCGGAAACGGAGGGACATTACTAATGTACGAGCACTGTTCAGCCGCCACCTGGATCCAGATGTAATGACTCATCAGAAGAAGGTAGTCTCTCTCTCTGTTTTTTTTTTTTTTTTGTTTACAGAAGAAGGTAGTCAGTTTACTTTCTTTTGTTTATGCATTTTAAGTCGTGGGAATATATTCAACATAATTTCGATTTTCTCATTGCAGATTTTGGCTAAGCTTGGAGCTTCTGTAGCATCATCAATGTCAGATGCCACTCATTTTATAACAGATGCATTTGTCCGTACGAGGAATATGTTAGAAGCTATTGCTTATGGAAAGCCTGTTGTGACACAATTATGGCTAGAAAGTTGTGGACAAGCTAATTGCTTCATTGATGAAAAAAATCACATCTTGAGGGATGCAAAAAAAGAAAGGGAGTTTGGCTTTAGTATGCCAGTTTCATTGGCTCGGGCCCAACAGCACCCCCTGTTGCAGGTAACGTGACTTGTGCCTTTTTGGGGGGGGGGGGAAAAATCTGACTTGTGGTTTAAGATCCCGAATTTAGACCAGTTAAATGATCTTTTTGGTTGTGTTCTTGTCATAATTTACATACAGGGACGGAGAGTTTTCATGACCCCGAACACAAAGCCTGGTAAAGAAATTTTAGCGGGCTTAGTCAAGGCTGTTCATGGTTTGGTGAGATACTACTCCCTTAGTTGAATGGCTAATTACTGTACTATAAAATTACCCATGATATAACTATTAACTCTCAAAATCAAATTGGTACTTGCTCCGGTTTTCCATATTAACTTGGATTTATTATACTTGTAGGCCGTGGAGAGACTTGGAAGATCTGCACTGAAAGATGAAAAACTGCCCGATGACATTCTGATTCTTTCTTGTGAAGAAGACTATGGAATTTGTGTGCCGTTCCTTGAAAAAGGTGAGAATGGGTTTTAATACAACCTTCAGCAATGTAATAAAAAGCTCAATAGAAGTTTACAGATTACTGTTCTTTGTACAGGTGCAGCGGTCTACAGTTCCGAACTATTACTGAATGGAATCGTTACGCAGAGACTGGAATATGAAAGGTTGGTAGTTGTTTTCTTCATTGGATCATCTAACGGACGTTTCATTATTGAACCACTTGAAATTTGAGCCTGATTTTGTTCATATCTAAGTTGAAGATTATTTCCAGTTTCTATTTGTAGAGAAGGAAATGTGGAACCTGCTGTTGTTATACCTCTTCTTCTGCATAGTCTTGTGCTATTCACTGTTGTCCTGAATCTCCTGATGGAACATGTCCTTGTTCTGCAACTTTTAGCTTAGCATTAGTATTTGTAGATAACATTTTCTCCTGTTGGAACAATTTTGCAGGCATAGGCTGTTTATGGAGAATATCAAGAAAACTCGTTCAACATTATGGTTGAAGAAAAATGGTCAGCAGTATACCCCTGTTTGTAGAAGTCGATAAGGAGTTCTCCATTTGTGTTGTTGCCCTTGTTAAATACTAGCACAATTTTCTTTTGTTGTAAAGAAACACCCCGTCCTTTTTCTATATGTATATAAAAGATCTGTGTGCATCACCATTTGCACAATCAATTTGAGAATGGATTTTCCACTGACCAGTTTCTCTTGAAGAATGATTGAGCATGGAAAATAAAGTAGTACAAGGGAACAAATCTACACATGTATTTTACAGATGCATTACCAAATTTTGGTGATTCAAAAAAGAAAAAGAATCTTTTGGGAGTCTAATACATCCAGTTATCCAGGAAGAACAAAATTTACATACATTCCTGGAGTATGCTTTGCTTATGCTCCAACTACATACAATTGGAATAAGTTCGTGAATTTGGTCACACCAATTGTGGTTGTGGTTGTGGTGGTGGCTGCGGCGGGTTTGAACTTTGGGTTAGTACTTCAGCTCTCCATGAAAAGTATCTCATATAAAGAGAGTTAAGACCCATAGCCAGTCCAAAGGCTAAAACAGAAGAAAGTAAGATAGAATAGACTGCCGACAAGCGCACCTACAGAAGAGGAGGAAGTGTCAAGGAAACCTTGAAAAGGGCAGCTTCAGATATAGAAAATTTTGCAATCAATCAAGTAAAAAATGACGGGGAAGAAAAATCCAACTTACTAAGGAATAGAAAAAGTGAAGGATAATGGCGAGAAGGGCAAACTCGAGAGCAGCATATGTCCATATATATTCTCTGATAGCTGCATGGAAATGAGGCAATGCGTTAAAAAAAAAAATTAAAAAAAAAATGAGGCAATGCATTAGATACATTGTATTCTTGTTAAAGATGGACAGCATCCCAGGATGTCCTGACCTAGTATCACAGCAAATATAGATGACAAAAGGCCCAATGTAAAAGAAAAAGGTGCTGCAATTACAAGCGCCCGAGTTTTCATGTCATGAATCTGCAGAAAAGGCAAATGATGTCAGGATTAGTACTAGTTGTCATAAAGAGGAATGCGCTATTTTTCTTGTTTCATTGTGTTCACAACCTGTGCCTGTGGCACTAGTTGCATTTCAGGGTTTCAGTGTTTCGGCGCATGTATACAGGTCTAATACCAAACCTCTGCAATCCCCAACCAAACTTTTAAGATAACAGAAAGCAGCAAAAGGCATAATAATGACAGTTTAATTATCTCATACTAGGTTACATTCATGTACCCCCTTTTGTCCCATAAAAACATTCCACATTGTAAATTATACTAAAAACTATTTTTGTGGGACAGAGGGAGTATAGAAATGGATTACTTACCAGCAATTGCTCAAGGAAGAAGAAATAGCAAATTGTGCTAATCAAGACAAGTACAACAAAATCCTGCCAAGCACTGCATTATATAAAAGTTGATTTAGATCAACGTAACAGACCAATAGAAATGATGGCGAGAAATAAAAAATCTCAAGAGTAAAAAATCAAATCCAGAGAAAACTAGGGAGTGTAACTTTAGAAATCAAGTACACGAAGTAAATATTCGGGGACTACGACAATATGCACCTTCACACAGAACAATAAACCTCTGATTACCTTATAGCCTGTGCATTTGAACTATTATGGCCATCCATCCTGTAATTTCTCTGAGCATCAGTTGGCAAGCGAAGCAAAGTTACAGGCAAATTCTTTACTTCCAGTCCACAGACGTCACAGTTTTTACTTCCTTTCATGCTAAACCATTTGACCGCACACTCTTCATGAATAAGTCTCAGAGCACCTTTGCAGCTGCACTCCATTTTGAGTGTATTTCCTTCTTCACATGGATCAAAGCAGATTCTGCATATTGCTTCCTCTTCAGGAATCTCTTCATCATCATCAACTGGGGCTGGAGTTATTTGGTCTGACTTGCAACAAGAAATAAATTTTAGTAGTAGAAATTAAAATTTTATAACTCAGTACACTATAAAATCCGCAATAGGGTAATTTCAGGAAGATGCATGAGACATACCACTATCAGCTTTTGAAAGATTCTCGTCACGGTTAGCAAAGGATGTCGATCTTACGATAACAAAGTTTTTTCCAGACAGAGACCTTGAAGCAGTAGCTTTACGTGCACCAACCTGCTATCCATAAGAACAAAAGTGAAATTGATGGTTTAGTTCGAGTATACTTGACAAAAGGGGGTAACTGTGACAATAGTTAAGTGACTTAAACACCTGTATAAGGTAAACCAACAGCAATGATGATATCACATGAGAATACAGCATCGACAACCAAGAAACACAATTTATTGCGATGTGCACATTTTCAAAACCGAATTTCCCAATTTCATGTCTTGTCAGCCAGTTTTGAACTAAGCAGACAGTAATTCATTAAAATGAGTATAGTTCACATGAATACTTACGTTTGATCGGTGCCTTTCGTTAAAGGTCCTTGCTGAAATAGGTGTGGACACGGTAGGGGTTGAGTTCGTGGCGTGGTTTACAGGAAGAGAAGTGCTTCTTTTCCAGTGGATGTTGGTGCGCAAATTAGACAGAACAGGGCTTTCAGGGGCAGCCTTGGGATCAGAATAGAGGAGAGAGCTTCTTTCACCATCAACTCCTGTTGGTTTCTTTTTGAAGCTAAAAGCTCGAAGAAATCCAGCAGCAGAGGAGCTAGCACCTGAGACACCAGGAGAGTAGAAACCCTTTCCACTGCGAGAACTTCCAAAAACAGCAGGTCTAGGCGGCACTTGGAGGGACAGATCCGCACGCCTTGAACTTGGTCCTGAATTTCCAACAGTATCAAGAGATTCGTTGTTATCACGCTCATCCTGCATGGAAAACAGTTCTAAGGTATCCAGCAATGTGTGCAATCAAATTGTATTTGCACCGGAACTAAAAGTCTAAAAGTAATATCACTAACAAAATGTACTAATCTCATACATGCTAATCTGAAAACCGAAACCATCAGAATTGATGCAGCGTTATTCTTCAAAGGCTCTCAATTGTAAAAAAGGGAACTAATTTTTGTACTAGATTTCAGGGTTAACAGTTAATTAGAGAACCGAAACCGGAACGATTAGAAAAAGCTTCTGTTTGATCTTCAAGAAGCAAAAACTCAACTCATAAACTAAGGCACAATGGTGCACAACGCATTGGAAACATCCAAACAATAGAGTTCTAAATATGTCCACTACAACAGGAATCAAGCATCAAAACAATAACTTAGATGCAATTTAATTCTAAAAAAGAAACACTAAGGCCAATTCTTGCAGAACTTAAAAGCATCAAAGAATGTTAATGCAGAAAACTAGTTATAGAACTCATGGAAAAACCATAAGTTTATCAACCAAATTAGAAGCTACCTCTAAACTGTTAACCATAAATTGCAAAGGGAAAATGAAGCAGCATTCAGCAACACTAAGAAGTAAGAAGTGGCACTAGTATCAGTTGTTTTAAAGCTTACATTAGCTTGTTCATCAAATGCTCAAAGATGCACAAGAATCAAACAAAATCCCAGTAAAAAAGAAACGACCTATATTTGCATTAAAACAAACCTGAATTGTTGGAGAAGCATGTAAAGGATCATCATCACTCCTTGAGATTGTAATTGTCACAGCCTCTGATGATGCTGTTGATGTATCCATTTTCCTTTTGTAAAACTCAAATATCAAAGACACTACTTCAAAGGATTAAACAAAGGAAAACAAGCAAAAAAATAAGATCAAAGTCCCTATCTTTTTACCAACAATAGAACATTATTTTAGCTCCTCTCTGGGGAAAAAAACAAAATCCCACAAAAGGGTTGGTAGAATTCACAATGCTCATCACTCTAGGAGTATGTTTGAAGTTGAAAGTCCATCAAGACTCAATTTTTTTCCACCCACAATTAATGGGTCTAAGTAAAATGAGCGGCAAAATATCTAGCAGTAACAAAAAAGGAAGGATTTTTAGGATTAAAATTGAGGCAGATGAATAATAGAAGAAGAAGGAGAGAAGAAAACAAAGACAAGAAACAGCCTGAGGACTGAGACTGAGGCTGAGTAAGCCGGTGGTCAGGCAACGTCGTGGTGGTGGGTGCCATCATCAGCAAGCAAAAACTACCAAAAGCTTTGAAGCAAATTGATAGCAATGGCCCCCACGTCACGGCAGAAGACAAAAATAAAATTGGCTTTTTTCTTCCTTTTAAATTTTAATCCCTTTTTCATTTTTTATTGCTTAGTGAAATTGGTGTATAAAAAATGAATTTTTGTTCACAAAGGTATTAGTATAATCTATTAATATATTTTTAGATAATTTTTATTTTAGAATAAATTCGGTGACTAAGCCATCGATAATCTAAGCCATTTCATTATCCTTTATGTTTTCATTAGTTTCTTCGTCTCAAAATTATTGTCGTATTTAAATTTTAACTTTTAGCTCAATTTATACTAAAAATGAAAATTTAAATTGGTCAATAATTTCGGAATGCTACGTTGACATGACATTGTTTAATTTGGAAAACAATATTCATAACGATGGAAACGGGTCATGATACAAGTGACTATTTTGCACTTGTTAGCTTTTGATATGATTGTCAAGTTAGTTAATTACTCTTTTGGTTGTTTTATAAGATGGTAGTAATTGAATTTTCGATATCTATGAAAGTAATCAAAATGAAAGTTCTTTGAATTATTCCCCTGCCTTTAGTTACCATTTTAATTTTTAATTGTTGTAGCTGATTTTTTTTTTTAATTGGATAATATCAGTGAGAATCGAACCCTCAACCTCATGATAATAACCGTCACCCATCTTAATCCCCTAATTATCCTACCCAACTCTCCTACTCCTAATTGTTCTAGCTGAGAAACTTAAGAATCGAGTTGATTTGTAGGGAGAGAAAAGTAAAAAAAATAAGAATACTAAATGGTATATATACGAAATTTTACTTAAGTACTCCCTCTGTCCCAAAATTATTGTCCAGTTTCATATTTCACTTGTAGTATAATTTCAACTGAAAATGAAAATTTAAACATGACAATAATATGGGACGGAGGGAGTATTTTACAAAGAATTAAATCTAGGAGAATATTTCTCAAGGCTAAACACCATGTGATCCAACTTCAATATATCAAACTTTGAACATGTTTAGTTTTGTCTCATTGAGAAAAAAAAACTTTTTTTCGGTGTGTCGGGGAATGGTTGATGAGTTTTTGAGTTTGTGGCTTTAATTTTTGAAAGCTAATAAGAAATACATATGCATTAATTGGGAAGCCGAAATAAAGGCAATTTTGAAGGGATAAATGTAGAAGAACCTTAGTCATAGAAGTGTTTGGTGAGAAGTCTGAACTACATTATTAGTATGATTCATGTTTTGGACTCAATTCATTTTAAACTAACTAGTATTATTCCCGCACAACGTGCGGTGATATAATATATTATATGTTAGTTTAATAATAAAATGTACTATTTTGGTTTGGCTAATAATTGAATATAGTCTCTGGTTTATTTTATTTTGTATCTCTGTGTGAAATATTTTTAATTTTGTGTATACGTATATATAAGTTTAAGTTTTTAGTTTTTTAAGTAGAGATTTGATGGCTAATTTTGATTTAATTATCCTATTTTAGAGTGATTTGTCCCCGCTTTTTTTTGTGTTTCAAGAATCAAATGAAAATGATAATGCACAGTTAAATTGAGTATTATATAAACTGTTAATCATGCATGAAAGGAAATAAGACAAATATTTGTGTATAATTTCATGTACAAAAAAAAAATTAAACCATTTTTTGGGATAATAATAATAATATAAGTAAATAGTATCAATCTGTTTCGAGGTGTAGTCCTCCCGCCTTAGAGCTCAACAAAGGTTTCATGATTATGTTTTTATTATTATAATGGTAGAAAAAATCTTAGTCACGCAGCTAAGAAACCCAATTCTTCGATTAAATTAATCTATCTGATCACTTTTTCAATGATTACACAGATTCAAGAAAAAATTAAACTCTGAAAAATGATATATATAGTGAATAAAAATAGTGACAAAATACAGTGACTAAACCTTTGTAGTAAATTACCCAGCCTAAAAAGGCAAATTTATAATAATTCTACATTTCTACTGCATTTGATAAATATCAAGCAAAAAAATTTGAGGTTTTAAAAAGAAAAAAAAAAAAGAAAACAAACTTTGACATATAAGAGATAACATAATTAAAAAAAAAATATTAACGTGCGGAAATTTGATTTGAAAAAGTTCCAAATGTTGAAGATACCGAAGGAAGCACATAGAAACTTTTAACATATTACATATCTTTTTTTTTTTTTCAGTGTCGATCTTCCCTGTTTTAGAGTAGCCAAGAATTTGCAAAGAACATAAAAAGAAAATAACAAATCAGTAATTGATATAGTGGAGTATTGCATATTTTCACCTCATGTCTATCCGAAGCGTATGTTCTCTTTCTTCTTGTTGATTAAAAACTGTTGGCGCTACAATTTTTTATCAAATAACGGCCTCAATTGAACATGGAACAATTTGAAATAATAAGCGTTATATATTGACATTGTTTGTTTAAATTCTACAAATTTGAACAGATCATAAAAATCAAATGACAAAAAGGATATACTGTAATACATCATCACAAACAAAGATAATTATTTGCTTAGATTCTAAGGAAAAAACCGTATTCATGAATTCATTTACATACGAATTTGCGGCAACATAGCTCCAATTGCGTATTGGTATGCTACAGTCCAATAACTTAGTTCGTGTCCGGAGGAAACAAACCGGCACTTATGCTCCAAAAACTTTGATGGGTTTCGGAGGAGGGGTTAGCGGTGGAACGTGTATATGATATATGTGTTTTCAAGTAAGCACATGTGCATGTGCTTCTCTTTGATTTTCTATTTAACTAAAAAAGAGCAACCCATAAATATTATCAAAATTTACTAAAATATCCAAAAACGGATCAGTGAATCATAACAAATGCTTTCCAGAATCCCTACATCCAATTAATTAAAAGATGCAACAAAAAGATAAGAGAAAGAACCTAAAGAGTCCAAACCCAAAAAAAAAAATTCATTCTTTTGTTATTACTATTATAAATATTGAAAATGGAATTGAACCCACTTTGTGTTTAAGAGATTTATGCAACTTTCATACTGATTAAAATAATCGTCAAAGGAAAATTTTCAAATAACTGGTAAAAAACCTGTGCAACAGAAAATCTTCACCCTAAATCAAACAAATATAAAGCCAAAAAAAAAAAAAGAGGAAAAGAGGGTGACCACTCGTGATAAACTTTCTGATCTTTTTCCTTGTTCTGCTTTCCTTTCCAGACATTTTTGACATGTTCATCTTATCCTCTCTCTAATTTTGAGAGAAAGAAGATGAGTGTGGTTGTTAATAGAGAGAAGATGATGGTACTCCTATGTTATTGTTTGAGTGAGACCTTGAGGGTGTGCTTCTTCGGGAAAATAGCCATTTGACATATATAGCACAACAGACCAAAACACAATCGCGTTAGGGTTTTTTTTTTTTTTTTTCATTTAGCAGCCAAATCAAAAGGAATGATATATTGGTTCAAATTTTGAGATGCAATTTATCGGATATAATCACGCGGGATATCTTTTAGTTAATGAAGCTTATCAATCAAATAAATGAAAGAGATAATTCAAGATAACTTCCTATTCAAAATATTATTTTAAATTAATTTCTTATTTCTAATTAGAATTGGATTATTTATAATTAAATAGATGACATAATTAGAATTCAAAAAACTCCAGTGTTCTAAGCTAATTGGTCAATGTTTATCAGAAATCTCTGGCCCCAGTGTTCTCGGCAAATTGGTCTCTATTCATCAGAAAACTCTAGCTTCCGATCATCACATGAGGGGGCATCAAAATTGCAGGAGCTGGCTTTCATTCATCATAAAATTGTGGGCCTCAGTTCATATTACAACTTTCAGCCAACGAATTACTTTTAATTCCGTTCAAATAAAGTCAATGTCAATCTTCATCTTTAAGCCATCGGAGTCATGAAATTGGAGTATTTCCTGTTTGATGTGTTTAGGATTTGTCGATCTGGAATTGGTCGGCCAAAGGAATGAAGGATCCGTATCTGGAAAAAAAAAAGGCAGAATAAGATAGCAAAATAAATTTTATAACTTCGGATGCTGGCTGCTTTGGTTCAGAATATGGCATGGTGGATAAAATTAGGCATGGTGGTGGCGCTGGGGGAATTAGGGTTTGATGATGATGATGAAGATGAAGATGAAGGCGTGGACTGATATGTTAAAATCTCATAAATGTTTTACTATGGAAGATTATAGTTATGAAGTGTAGTAAAAGATTAGTAAAAAGTAAGAAGCCAATAAAATGTTGACACATGGACTACTTAAGTTTCTGAACGAATGAAAACTGGACACGTGTTTTTGGAAATTATTAGTGATCTAATAGTGCGGCATGTGTTTTGTGAGAAAAATTCCCTTAATATATAGTAAGATTCAGTTTGATTAACTACATAAAATTAAGTTAAATTTGAGTACTTTAGCTTCTAACTCAATTCATAATATTTTAAAGAAGTCTTAGATACTATCAATACGTACTAGATGCTTGCCCCAAGCGAATGCCCGGGGTGGTCCCTGTATTTTTAAGTCGGTTAAATAAAAAAACAAATCATCCTAAAAAATAATAATAAAATTTAAATTATAATACATGTATAATAATGTTGAATGACCAATTAACAGGAAGGGCACTTGTACAAAACAGATCTACATTTTGGACTTCCCCCCTCTTACTTTAAAGCAAGAAGATTTAAGTTTTGTATCAATTACTTGATCAACTCCCTCTTGATCCAGAATAGTGCAAACACACTTAACTAAATCCTTCTCGCCATAGGATCAACTGGAAGCTTTTCTATCACCAACTTAAGAATAAGTACACCAAAACTGCATATATCACTTTTCTCATTCACTCCGAAAGTATATACATATTTTGCAATAACCAAATGGACCCCGAATTAGCATTGAAACCAACAATAAAATTAACACAGTCATAAAATAAAACAATTGCAACTTAAAAATAAAGGAATTCTCGATGAATGAACTAAACTGGAGTACAACCTTGTAAACCTTTCCAAAGGCAAAGTTTCCAATCGCATTATCCTCATCCAAAGCATCAAATATTCGCTAAAACCCAATTTGTAAAACGACATCAAAGTCCATTTCAACTTGTCAATAGCCATTTTCACCTTTCTGAAACTGGTGTACTTTCCGTAAAACAAAGCGACACCAGCAATGAATAGCAGAATTGGGTTCAAGAGTATGAAAACACTACACGGAAGTATGAAAACATTTCGCATCTTCCACAAACCTTTATTAGAAGTGAATTCATTAATCAGAATCAAAACCTCTGTTAGAATCATATGTGAATGTTGATTTTACATAGAATACATGTAAATTTGAAAACGACTCAATGTGTTCAAAGCATATTTAAAGAAAATACATCCAAACAACTAAAAATTAAAAATTATTTACTTTTTAGACTTTGCTTTAAGGTAGTTTATAAATCTCTGAATCTCAACAAATGCACCAAATTGTCTTCCTACAGAAACTCCATCCCGAAAAAACATCCAAGTCACACCATTGAATTTTAAACTTGTCAGAAAGAAATTAAATAGGTGGCAGCCAATTCTTCGCAATGTCTTCCTAATATAAGTTAAAATGAAGCTTATGGTATGGAATGATTACTTAGAGAGATTAAGATTAAAAGAAATTTGTAAATACTGTATCATAAATGATGTAGTCAGATTTTTGGTAAACTATAAATGAGTGCCACTAAAAATATGCTATTTCGTATGCATGATGTTGCCACCACATTGCCCTATTCATATTCCAGATAACCAAACATTTAAAGGACATGTGAACACTAATCTTGATACTAAAGATTGCCTATTTAATCTCCAACAGTTAATAAATAAGCAATGTCACATTGTTAATAAATCAGAAAACATAGAGTTATCAAATGCATGGCAAAACTCATTACCACTTTGAATTTCTTCTATTGCTGAAGCATCTACGTAGTCATATGTAGAATAATCTGGAGCAAGACCAAGTTCTGAAAACAAAGGCCAGCAAATTAGATACAAATATGAATGTATCAATGTTCCGGCACCACACAAATGTGGGTTTACAAAATTAATTCAACCTAGATTAGATTGTTTGATCAATTTAAACATTAACTCAACACAAGTATAACCCCTACCTGGTAGGAGTCTTGAGAAAATGAACGGTGTCCTCGTATTATTTTCCGATGACGATAATTCTTCAATGGTGAGATTCTTTCTTCATAATCAGACCTCCTTCATTTGGTCGCTTTGTCTTCTATTCCAATTCACATCAAGTAGTAGAATTTAGAATATGAACAAATAGGGTTAACAACATAGCAGAAGCATCAGAAATAATTCTCGTCAATAAAAATCCAAACAAACAAAAGGATTGAAAATTAAACATTGTCCAAGTAATCCTGTTCCAGCCGAGTAATCACCTTGTCCTGATCCTAATAAGTTTCGCCAAATTCAACCCATATTTTCTGAAAAAATAACAAAAATTTGTTTCAGAATAACCAAAACCCAAAATCCAATTTGAAGAAGATAAAAAATACATAAGAACCCAAACCTCAACAATTGTTCATGTAGTCTCCTTGCTCTCCCAACTTAAGATATTTCCCAGGTTGTAGCAGCTCGCACATAATTCTATTAGGGTTTGTCAAATCTTTCTCAATCACATGAACCTGGTATCCATCCTATACAAAAAATAATACAATTCTAAGTAGCAATAAAATCATAAATTTGCAAGCATGAAGAAAAGAACAAATATCAAGAAAGCACATTTCAAAAACTTACTAATGGTTAGAGCTACTCATCCAAACTACTCAAATATGACAGGGCATTTTAATGATATCAGAATAATACTAATTCTATATAGATATGAGTTATTCGGAAAATATTTTGAACAGATGAGGTAATCAAACAGGAGATTAACGTACTGCATAGTAAAATCTATTCAGTGACACAAAAGGTGTGCATTCCTTTTCAACCATACTTCTTCGAATCTTCATAATTTAAATAAGGAAAAAGGAATATAATATTCACTAACCCGTCTTAAAAACCAAGAATTCATCAATGAATACTTTAGAAGATGACCAACGTTTTCCTTTACGCTTAGGGCGACGCCCTTCCTCTTCTTGCCGTGTTGGCAACTGGGGAAATATTACCAAATCTACTGCGTCCACAGTAAAAGAAGAAGAACAACACCAGATGTCGTCCAATGGTTGGATTTCCATTGAAAATCCTCAATACGAATCATATTGTAAAAATAAGGAGGAACCCATTTAATAGTTAATTAAATACCTGGTCAATTTTATCTGGTTATATTTTTGTTTACTGCTATTATTAAGATCCAATGTAGAACTACAAGTGGCGTTGGGAACCTACAATCAAGGACTAAGGAGAACGCTGATTGTATAGCAAAGTAAGAGGCAAAAGGGCATCAGAAATTTTTATTCCATTTTGGGGCTTGTACAAAATATAAAATCTTAACAACCATAAGAAGAAAAATATAAAAGAAATCAAACCTGATAATTGAATTCAAACCCTATGCTAACGGTTTCTGTAGATTCTGCTTTTGCCAACGTTGGTAGTTTTTCACCTTCAATGAATTCCTCATATATCAATGACAGTCTCACGATATTTATCAAATCCGGAACTGCCCGTCGATAAAGCTCGAGTCTCGCCAAATTTTGAGCTTTATCTTTCACGAAAAAGAAGGGGGCAAATAAATTGATTAGGATTTTTTAAAGTAATGCTCGAATTCAAAAAGAGATGCAGACGATTTGGGAAAGCAAATCATATTTGAATTTTGATTGAGTTTTCTGATTTTGTGTTTTGGAAACGAAAATTATGGAGGGCTTGTTTTGGACCAAAAACGATAGAGAAAAGGAGTATTTGTTTTGGCCGAACTGTTCAAAACAAACACAAGGAATCAAGAAAAAAATCAATCTCTAATCAAAATCACTACTTTTGGACCAAATTCAGTTTCATGAATTACAATAATTTGATATACGAACAAAAAAAAAAAGTCAGAGATGATGCGGGAGTTTACCCAAAAAAGAACTCTGTGGCCTCCTCTCATCGCCCTTATTCTCACTTGCTGAACATTGAAATTTTTCCTTTTTGCCAATCAATTAAAGAAATCCATAGGAAGAGATGAGAGAGGAGAATAGGAGCGACCAATTTTGTATTTATGGAGATTGGGATTTTTCGCGTGATTTAAGGGATTTAAGGATATTTGATTTTATCAACTGGATTGTGTTGTTTTGAAAGATTAATATATAGCTATAATTAAGGATTAATATGAAGTTATAATTAAGAGATCTATTTATTTATTTATTCTTTTTTTTCTGAATAGTTAGAGTGCCACATGTCAAAACTGATTTTGTATTGAAAATGACTTTTGGCGGGAAAAAAATGAATGTGGAGCTGATACATGTCCTTCGTGTATGCTGCTTTAATTAAGTAAAATAGATTTGATAAACGAATATCGACTCGTTATGCAAATTATGATAATTTGGTCAAAAGTCATCCATCCAATGAATAATATTACCACTTAAAATATTTGCACTTGAGAGAAATAAACATCCATTATCAAGACTGAAAAATAAAAATAAAAGTAAAAATTTATTTTCAAAAGTTGGATAGCATTTCTTTTTCATCAAAAGGTTCTTCCTTTTAAGTAGATAATATTGTGCCTTTTAAATAAAAGGCTGATCATATCTAATTTACAAACCCAAAAATCCTTTTTTTAAAAAAAAAAAACCCAAAAATAAAAAAATTATGGTCTAAAAATGAAAATAAATTTCACCAAAAAAAGAAATGAAAATAAACCAAACAAAATAGTTTATTCTTAAAAAAAGAAAATTACAAACGTGAGTAGATCTTCTTAACTCAGACACAAACCAAAAACGCTGCCACTGTGCCACCAGAATTTCATCCCCCCACCGCCGCCTCAGTCAACTCTGCTTCTTTCCGGCCGCCGGATCCACATGATTATTACATAATTTGCATTTCTGGGTAAGATTTTTTTCTGGGCTAGTTTTAATTTTCTTGAGCTAACAAGTTGGGATCTTTAATCAGTTCTTCCACTTCTTTGTGCGCAGGCAGGAATTGAAGCAGAAAAGAAGATGAAGTTTTTGGGTTGGTACGCGAAGATTGCTCTTCTCTCAGCCATGGTCGGTGGTTCCATGGAATTGTTCATGATCAAAACTGGCTTCTGTAAGAAAAAATCACTCCTTTTCCAACTAATTTTTAATGTTTCTGTTTAGGCCAATTCCCCACTGAATAGATTATATAATTTGAGAATGTCGATTGATAGTGTAGTTTAGCTGCTCAAAAAGCTGGTCTTTTTGCTAGTAATTCAAGAGATTCTGAGATCTTCTGGTTGTTTCAATTTCCTGCCCTTTCAAATAGCACTAATACAGTTTTACTTATGTTGGTAATGAATTTTGTGGATGACTAATAAAAACCAGACTGTATGCAAAACTTTAATGTTAAAAGCAAAGCCTTCTCATTTGCTTCATAATGCACTGTTGTTTATACTGCTCGTAATATAATGTTAACGCTGAGCTAGAGGATTAACTTTTATTTTCGGGGATTTTAGTTTTGCTTGGTTTCTTTATGTGCTAATGAGCTAGCCTTTAGTTTTTGTTTTCGAGCCAATTCATTGAAATGGGTAATTGTTGTTTCTTCTTGGCTGATTTTAGTATAGAAATGGCCCGTTAATGACCAACTCTACTGCATATATTTTGTTGCAGATGTCTGATATATGAGTTGATTGATGCATTGCCATCAAGAGTTCTGATTTCATTTTCCTCCAATAATGTTGCAGATGATAAAGTGACTGTTTTGGAATCGGAGAAAAGGGCTTGGGAGAATACTGCAGAAGCTCAGGCTATGAGGGAAGCTTTAAACCCTTGGAGGCATAAAGATGCAGAAACAAGAAAGAGTTCTTAGGTCCCAATCTGACAATTTTAGAGGTTTGCCATGCACTAAAATCTTCCCTTGGGAAATGCTTGTATAACCACTTGTTTATTAGGAGATATTACGACTTCTCTCCCACTCTTGAAAGTGGGAAAAGATGTTGCAGTGGCTTAGTCCTTGCCTTTGAGCTGCTATTTGCACAATGCCAGCACTAAAATTTACCCAAATCATGTCTTTTATTCACACCCTATGGAAATTCAACTAAGTGGAATTGTAATGACATGGTTAATATTATATTAATCAGATTTTATTTGTCTTTCTACAAGTTGGTCCTTTGGATTATGAAATGGCTTTATGTTTATGTGACATTGCAATGACAACTTTTAAGGGAAATAGTTCTTTAGAGTGGCTTTTCCCTTGTGTCAACTTAAAGCAGCTCCTTCAATCTTATCAAATCTTGGCCTAAATCTGAAACTGATGATAAACTGTGAAACTTCATTGTCAAAATTGGTTGAGCTTCAGAGTTAAGTGCAATTTGATAATCTATTCTGGAGCTTATTGTCTAAATGGATATTCATATCTAAATTATGGGAAATATCCAATTTATTATGCCAGGGTGGATACTATGAATCCTCAACTTCTTGTGTCTGATCAAGTTAGGTAAACTGATAAACCCTACAGTTAAACCTTTAATAAGTGGACATTCTTTTGCTTTATGATGATGATGTGCTCAGCATGACTTGAGATTTCTGCTAATCTGATGTGGTAAATTGGTCGGTAGAACCCAGGTTTTATAGTGGCGCACCAAAAACAAGATTTTACAAACCACTGAAAAATCTTGAAAGTGTGGCCATACTCTTGGAAGCCCTCCAAATCAAAACCAAGCCAAGTGTGTTGGTCGAATTTCCCAGATGAAACTAGCCAAAAGTCTGAACCCAAAATTGAGTAAACTGTTGACTTAATCATTACCACTCAAAAGGGCCATTAAGAATGTCATGAAAGAAAGATAAACATCTCACTAATCACAGACATCATAGTACTAATTCTGCTTGTTACCTTGAACTGTTCATCATCAATCATAAATATAAATAGCTAAAGAGCACCCCCAAAAATTTTAGGAATATCGGGCTGTTACGGGTGCCACTTAAGGGGAATGGATTTCTGGGGTCTCAATGATAGGCACTGTTTTTGTGTTCTCTTTGAAGCCAGTGGAGATTCTGATGGTCATTCCAATTCCCTTGAAGATTCAGAAAGCCTAATGTGGCTAAACACTCACGGAGGTGCCCTTCCTATCGCTAATGCTCAAGATGATGATGCAGAGTCATCTAGTTGTGATGATTATGGTTACATGCTGATGACGGATTCTCACATGTCTAATGAGTTCAAATATCAGTCTTTTGGTACAAATTCAGAGGATGATGATGTCGAAGATGGAGCTATTTCATCAGGGATGTTGGTTGAAGGATCAAGTATGAGAAACAACAGAGAAGTGGATGAAGCAGATCACATTGGAGACATGCTTTTCTGGATGATGTGTTTGGAGGGTGGATATCCATACTAGTTACTTCTACTTGTGGATTGTTGTTCATTTACAATAAAGATCCATGCTTGTTTAAGATTATTGATCTCAAAGGACACATGAAGTAGCAAATAAACATTTTTTTTTTTTTTTTGCTTTGGCCTTTTAGTAGTGTTATTAAGACAAATAAGATGAAAAACCTTAGCATACATAGTACCGCAAGAAGAAAAAGTAATAGATCAAATGTCAGTTATCGTGCTAGGTCATGCTAAGCATAGTTAACTAAGTCGACACGGCTATGGTTTGAGCTAATGCTATTGAAGTGTCAACATCATCTTTGACATTTGTGTAGTCTTTGCTGTAATTAAATCGTGTATAACTAGTTTAATTTTCATTTCTTTTGGAGGGTTTGACTTTGGTTTAAATCAATCATGTAGCTGTCTGAACCTGGTATAATTTTAATGGAAGTTCTCGGTTTCATTTGATTCCAATTATGTACCGTTTTCTGTACCGTTTAAAAAATAAAATAAAATTGGATGGCTTCGAACCTTCGATCTTTCGGTAATAAACATTCCCTATCCTAATCTCCTAACCACCCCACTCAATTCTTTCACCCTTTACTGTAGGTAAACCGACCTAATTCTCAATATTAAAGGATTGGAACATTCCCAATTAGACGTGTGCATTGCTCTAGTAGTTGTACTACTATATTCTTTTTTTCTCTACGGAATTTGCCAGAAAACACCAAAAAACATTATCCATGATTATCTGCCGGTGCCCTGTTTGAACTCCATCGAACACAAAAGTCAAATGCCAATAATAATGTTGTTATTGTTAACGGAAACCAAACGGAATATTGATACATTAGTGAATATTTTAACTCAAAAGAGAATCATATTGTGATCAAGATCATGGATAGGTTCTTATGGTTGCCCCAAACAGAAAAAGAGAGTAATTTGCCATGGTCAACAACCGGTTTGTTGAGACTTGAGAAGACAAAACTATTAATAATTCCAATTTTCAACCATGCGTATCTTTAACACGGTTTTTAACTAATGATGGTCAACTGAACATGCCAAGAAACCGTATTTCTGTCTCACTTACAATGTATCAGATATAATTTGTTGGTAAAATAACATTAATTCATTGATGAATAATAAGATTCTTTAAGCTAAAAAGGTTTTGTTATACTTTTAAATTTAACGTAACAAGGGCGATTTAAGGCCCTATTCGTGTTTATTAATCAGTGGAACGGAAGATCTCATTTGTGATCTATTTTATTAAAATTAGTTGAATCTGTTGTTCGAACATGTTTGAAATGAGAATGTTTGATCTCATTTGTTTAGTTATGTAAAAATAGGAGTGATTTGTACCATGCACAAAAAGTCTACTTTCCTAATAATTGGATTACTTTCTCTGATGTATCTTCAAAAATTCTTCATCCCACGAAGTTTGATTTGCAAATCCTACCAAGAATATATTTTTGTCTGAGTTTATGTTGTTCAGTGTTCATCCATTATAATTTAAACTACCAAAATTCAATGAATCATCTCATCCTTCGACCAGAAATCTGTATAATTGAAACCCAAAGCAGAATTTTTTAACATTTGACTAAACAGCTGATCATTCTTGTACTTGTTTGGCCTAATCATTGAGCTGTCTCTGAAACACCTCGCAGGAACATTCCAGCTTAATAAATTCAAATGTGATGGCTATAAATAGATTCTGAAACAACCCTGAATCTCATTCAAACAGGTACATTGTTCAGAGTTAAAGACAAAATTTAAGGTCTATACTAGAAGACATTTACTGAAGATGAGAAATCAAGTAGTTTGGTTTGTTGGTCTTGTGATTCTTGGGATCTTTGGGAATTGCAATGCAGGAAAGAAGGATGGTGGTGGTGGTGGTGGTCTTAAAATGGGATACTATAAAGTTTCCTGTAAAGGGGTTGATGTCGAAAACATGGTCAGGGATTTGACATGGAAGAATGTCAGTGTTAATCCCAGATTGCCGGCTCAGCTACTAAGGCTGTACTTTCATGATTGTTTTGTCAGGGTAATGTTCAAAACTCAGGTTTGAGTTCTGTATAGTCTGAATTCAAAAACCGGGCGTTGTGATCAAAGCAGCTCGATTTGTTCACAGCCCTAATGGTGTTTTTGTTCGATTTTTGGGTTTTTTTTTTTTTTTTTTTTTTCCAGGGTTGTGATGGATCAGTTCTCCTGGATTCAACTCCAAATAACAGAGCTGAGAAGGATGCCATACCAAATTTATCTCTTGGAGGATATGATTTCATCGATTTCCTGAAATCAAAACTCGAATCAGTCTGTCCCGGAATCGTTTCTTGTGCTGATATTCTTACTCTGGCTACCAGAGATGCAGTTTCATTTCAGGTGAAGCATCATTTTAAATGAATGGAATTGATTGAAATCCACCATTTTTCTTCACTCATGGAAAATTGACAAAAAAAAAAAATTGCTTGCAGTTCCAGAAACCAATGTGGCCAGTCTTCACAGGAAGGCAAGATGGAAGAACTTCACTCCTAACTGAAGCATTAGATGGCTTACCATCACCATTGTCGGATTTCCCTACACTTCTTCAGAACTTCAGGAGCAATAATCTCGACATTGTCGATCTCGTCGCCTTATCAGGTCCGACAAACAACAACGTTTTTCGTTAAATCTGAAAACATTTTTTTTACATTGGTACTAACATGAGATATTGTTTTGCAAAAACTACAATTTCAGGGGCACATACAATTGGAGTCACACATTGCTTTTTAATGGCAACAAGGCTGTACAATTTTACAGGAAAAGGGGACACGGATCCTAGATTGGATGTTAGTTTTGCTCAGAATTTGAAAACAATTTGTCCACTTCCAATTAATCCAACCAAAACTCTTGAGCTGGATTTCGGAAGCTCCACATCTTTCGACAGCAGTTACTACGTGAACCTGAAGCTAAACAGGACAGCATTTCTATCAGATGCTGCCCTGTTGACGGATCCCGAATCGGCCCGGATCGTGACAAAGTTGCAGAAACCTCGTCAGTTCTTGGATCAATTCGGACGGTCAATGGTTAAGTTAGGTGCCGTCGGAGTTCTTACCAACGGGCAAGGTGAAATCAGGAAGAACTGCAGAGTTGTTAACTAATGATGACAAAGTTTTCTTCTTCGTCAAACATATTCTGATTTGTCTTGATTGATACAAGGTTTGACTAATTTTGTTCCTGATTGATTCTTTGGTTGTAATTAAAACTACCTGATCTGGAAAGTTGACTTTATGATCCCAACTAATTCATCTTGTACTTCTTGAATGATAAAACGTTTGATTAACTATATTTGTTCCTGATTTGGACTTACAAGACATTGTAAGTTGACTTAGGGTTGAATCTTATGGTGTTATACGTATTTGATGTCAGGATCCTAAAAGTGGTCCTAAACCCAAATCAAATCGTAATTGAACTCATAAACTTTAGTTACATTAATTCTCAGAAATTTAGAAATTTCTCAGAACTGATAAACCCAACCCACAAAGGAATTGGTAACCGTCACCATTGCCAAAAACCTCTATATATATATATGAAGAGAAGCTTTTACTACTTAATTAATCAAGCAATTTGGTTTTTTGTCCTACCCTCCTAATTACACATTCTCAAAATTCTGGAATATTACATAAGTTGATCTGATTTCTTCTATTCAGAAAGGGTTCTTTTCCGGGAAATAAACGCTCTCAACAAGTATTATTTTAATCATCTCGGAAATTTGGAAGCCTGATCATCATAGTGTTAAATGCCGACTTCTGGTTATCTTGACAAGATGATGTCAATCTTTAGCTGCATTGTACGCAAGAAGAGAAGTACTGTCTCAGGGACCCAAAACCCAGAACCCAATCTCAATTCCTTCATGGAGCAGAGTAACAACAGCCGCCATAAGATTGCTGATCAGAATGTGGCAAATAATACAGCAATTGTTACTGATCATCAGGATGAAAATCGAGAATCCGGCCATATTAAATCTTCGGCCCAACCGAACAACATTGATCATCAGGGCGATGATGGGAATTCGGGTTCTTCTTCAATAATCAGTAACAATGTCACTCCCGGAGAGCCTAGTAATCAGGAAATCCCGAAAAACGGAAAACGAAAAGCTAATCAGGCGATCTCTCCAAAGCCTCCAGGATCAATCACCAGAGCTAGATATGAAGTTGGCTCACAGGCTGCAAACATAATCACAAGATTAGAAAAGGATGATGTTAATTTACTGCCTGATTCGACGAAAATCACAAGACAGAGGCTGGAGTAACAATTTCAGAGCCTTTAACAAGTCCTTCCGAAATCGATCAGGGAAAATCAGAACAGAAGGAAAAGGCGAAAGAATCGAATACTATTTCAGAGCATAAGACAAGAAAGAATCCTGAATTGCAAGAACAGGGGAAAGGTAAGAAAGCTGAATCTAGCAACAGAACAACTCATCCACCAACCAAAACTCCTTCAAAATCCAATGAGCATAATAGCGGAGTCGAATCGCCTGAACCCGTCTACTATATCACATGGAATGGTTACGAAGACGAATGTGAAGCAGTATCAGGGGAGATCTGCTCCTTATGCCAAAGAGATATATCTTCCTCAGATTCAGGAACAGAGGGAAGCCAAGTACCTGGTGATGAATATGGTTTTTTCTTTGAGCATATGAGTCTTCGTCCAGTTGGTGTTTTAGCTTGTGGTCATTTCTTTCATGTTCAGTGCTTGGAAAGCATCACACCTGATGATCAACTTACTGACCCTCCATGCTTCTTGTGTTTGAGTTTGAGCTGCAGTTGAAACTTATTTGTTGCCCCCTTCCCAAGTTCTAAATTGAACTGTATTGTTGATTGGAAATACCTTCTCCGGTCCTTAATAGAAAGCATTTTAATTTGTCATAGATTTCATCCAATACATATTTTTAATTGATAAAAAATCTTAAAAATATTTCATAACATTTAATAGAACACAAAGAATATGAAAATATATTATTTTTTTTGGTCAATTAAAAATGTGTACTAAGTAAAATTTAGAACAACTCAAAGCCTTATATTAAAGACCAGAGGGAGTACCATACTTGTCGAGAGAGATTTGCTTCCAAAAAGAGACCACCTGGTTGATTATTAGAATGGAGATCATAATATGTTTCTTCTGATTAGTATCTGTATCACTATGCAAACCGTGATAAGAGCATGACGTTATAAGGCTAGCATAATCCCATGATGTAATCATCTAGTTATAAGTATCATGCTTAGCCTCCTTCATTGTATGTATAATAAAATACATAAATAAATAACAAATTATCAAGTTAATCTCCTTGTACGTACCTACCAAAGAATCGCAAAACAATGTTCCGAGACCATCTTGAGTGCGTCCGGTACCACGGTAGACCCCTTCCTATTTTTTTGCATTTTTAGTTCTTATTATACTTTTTCTAAATAACTTTCTATATTTTACAAATTTAGTCCCTGTTACTTTTTTTTTTTCTCTCCTTTAAAAAAACATCTCTTAATCTTTAAATGAGCATATCTCATGATCCGTGAAGAATTTGTGAACGAATAATGCATGAAATTTATAGTACTCGTCGAGATCTATCCAACAAGATCCATATGATTTTTTTTTTGACTTAAAAATGATTAAATTTTGATGGGCAGAAATAAGGTGGATATCCAGTTTAAGAAAATGGATAACCAACTTATTTTACATTCATATTGTTGTGTTCCTTATATCTCTTGATCCGTGAATAATTAGAAAACAGAGAATACATGAAATTTATAATACTCGACGAAATCTATCCGATAAGATCAATATTGAATATTAATTTCAAAAAATTAAAAAATTAAAATACTTCGGGCAGAAATGAAGAAAGTATTTCTGTCCATTTTTTTGTATTGACTATTCAACCATTTTGTATTGGTTATCCAATCATTTTCACTGATTATCTAAACTGGATTTTTTTTCCTTTTGAGAAAATATCTGTCCAATGTGTTCATAATGATTATCCAACTTTTTGGTGATGGTTATCCAACCTTCTTTTACCTTTTTTTTTCATAAAAATGATTGTCTAATTTTTTTTTTTTTCTGATTATCCAATCAGTTCATACTGCTTATCCAATTATTTTCACTGGTTATCCAAATGATTTGTAATGGTTATCCAATCATTTTTTTCTGAAAAAAATGGTTGTCCAATGTTTTCATATCAATTATCCAACCTGTTTGCACTACTTATCCAATCATTTTTTCTTTTCCTTTTTATTAATATCCAACCGTTTTATATTGGTTATCCAATCATTTTTACTGCTTATCCAAACATGGTCTGTAATGTTTGTCTAATATTTTTATTTCTATTTTTTTGAGAAAATATTAGTCCAATATGTTCATACTAATTATCCAACTTCTTGGTTTTCATTATCCAACCTTTTTTTCCTTTTGTTTTATAAACATAATTATCCAATTTTTCTTATACTGATTATCTAACCAGTTTGTACTACTTATCCAATTATTTTTACTAATTATCCAATGTGTTTATACTGATTATCCAATAATTTTGTATTGGTTATCTAATTATTTTTACTGATTGTCCAAATAAATTTGTACTACTTGTCTAATCATTTTTGAATTATCAGCAATAACCACCGCCACCCTTAGTAACATGATTGGATTTTCAGAAATCTAATTTAATTTGATCTCCATTCGTTTAATCTTTGTTATTGATACAATGATAGAGTTTAGTTAAAAATTTGAAGTCCACTATTATGGTGGATAAGGAATAATCATTGGCTGGATAGACAGTTAAAATATATGGATAAGCAGTATAAAACTTTCGGATACTTAGTAATGAACTGATAGATGCTTGATACTGATTATCTGACTGTCCAACTGTTTTACATTGGTTATCCAATTATTTTCTCTGCTTATCCAAACAGGGTTTGTATTGCTTGTCCAATCATTTTTTTTTTTAAAAAAAAAAGTGCATATCCAATATGTCCATACTGAGTATCCAACTTCTTGGTGATGGTTATCCAACTTTTTTTTCCTAGCTCTTTTATGAAAATGATTGTCCAATTTTTTATACTGACTATCCAACTAATTTGTACTCTTATCCAATTATTTTCATTGATTATCCAAATATTTGTAGTGCTTTTTTTTCCTGACTTTTTTATGAAAATGATTGTCTAATTTTTTATATTAATTATCTAACTAATTTGTACTCTTATCTAATTAATTTCATTGATTATCCAAATCTTTGTAGTGCTTATCCAATCATTTTTTTTCCTTTTGGGGAGGAGAGAATGGTTGTCCAATGTGTTCATATCGATTATCCAACTAGTTTGGTTTTGTAATGTCTATCTACTTGCTTTGTACACCCTATCCATCACTAAAGAATGTCAAAAAGAGAGTTCAAATCGGGACGCTTACCCTTTTATTTTTTTGGGTACTTATCCATCACTACTAGTTTTCTAGTGTTTATCCAACGTCTTTATACTGACTATCCAACACAAATACTTTATTCACTTCTGTTCGGAGTGTTTTTTTTTTAAAATTAATATTCAATATCGATCATTTCGGATAGATCTCGTCGAGCTATACAAATTTCATATATAATTTGTTTTTTTTAATTCTTTATTGATTGAGAGATATAAATTTTACAAGAATATCAATATAAAATAGTTGGTTATCTAACTTTTAAAACTAGATATCCATCCAAATGACATACAAATTTCCTTATTTGTATGTTATTTGGACTTCTTGTGAGTGAGAAGACCGTAGATGTGGAGACATATTTATGAGATTGTCGAAGAGTGCTTCAGTTAGGGTTGTGCCCTCAAATGTCAAACTCTCCAGTGTGTTGTAAGCTTGTGATGATTCAACAACACAGAGTTGACTCATCCTTGTTGGAGTGTAAAGGCAGAAAATATGAGCTTCTTTGAGGCATGGTACATTGATCAGCTCAACTTTGTTAAAACCAATACAATCTTGGATCCTTAGATGCTCAACGAAGGCAAGGTATCATCACTGACTAAAACCGCTTCCAAGACCAAAGTGCGGATGTTTTTACACGAAACCCGCACCTCTGTCGTGTTGGGAAACTTGCAATTTCGAAGGGACAAGGTTGTTAAAGTTTTGGCTTCAAGAATGCATCCGGGTATCACGGGGTGGAGCGACTTCGTAGAATGCCCAAAGTAATACTCAGCTCCAAGACTCCATTTTCTATAGCGAATTTCAGCCATTTGTCCAACCGAGCCGCATCATCATCAACATCCCGGGCGACAAAATTCATGTCTAAATCCATTGACAAAATCCTACCACATGTACTACGTTTCATCAAAGTATTCTCGATTACCTGTCGAAACACGGGCCTAACTTCATCTTCTGCATAACTCAATGAGCCTGAATGTTGGTCACTGAGTGTTTCTCGTTTTTGCCGAAAATTTGTTTTCAACTGGAATTCATTAAAACACAATGTCGGTTTTGAATGATAAGCATCCAACCATACTCTACATAGACAAGAAGCTATTATCTTGTCACCCAAATCAAGAAAAGACAGGACCCGATTAATATCATCTGGCAAGACCCAGAATCACAAGAAAGCTACAGGGCCGGCTCAAGCCTTTGGGGGCCTAAAGCGAACTCCGAACTTGGGGCCCTTTTCCAATTTAATTTTGGTTCAAAATTAGGCGCTATAAATCTTTTAGCGGGTACATCAAACACAAACCTCCCTCCTTTATCCAGACTTAAAACTTGCAACAAAGAATCTGAAAATTTATTGTAGGCGGAGTTCAAAATTATAATTTTTTTTCTAAATTTAACTTACAAATTACAAATAACACTAATTTCAAACGAATTTTTCTTTCCAAAGAACCCTGAACACTCAATTCGAAACTTAAAGCTTCTCTACACCTTGAGTCCTCACAAGTCAACTTTATAGTTCGTACTTTGTCCGTTCCATTTTTCAACCTTAAGACAAATTTCAGATTACATAAATAATCAGAAAAAACATATCAATACAACATTTGATTTGAAACAATCAGAATTGAAGCTTAAGGCTTGAGCCCGTGAAAATTAGAATTTCACAAAACCAAACTATAATTAGAAGAAATGTAATCTGGACATTGAAATTTTTCACCCTCCAAAGTCTAGAAGAGAAGATCGACTAATAGGAAAAAATAAAATAACATTCAAATCGAACTAGAGTAAAATTGAAAGACCAAAGCAAAGAGAGATTAACCGATCGGAAATTAGGTAGCAATAAGGAATGGATGATTGAAAGTCACATTAGTGGTAGACTGGTAACAAGGGAAGAGAACAGAGACTTCAAAGAAGAGAAAAAAAGACGTCAAAAAAAATTTAAAAAAAATGAGGGGACAAGGATTCATAGGTTAGTAATGTATGGTGAAAAAAATAATTACTTAAAAATAATAAATTTTTTGGGAACATACGCACTTAAAGCACCACACCACCGCAAAGTCACAAATTAAACAAACTTAAAAAACTAACACCTTTGGGTCGGCCTTTTAAAGATTGACAAATGATTTTTATTAATAATAAGCAGTAGCCCAATATTCAGATTTGGGGGCCTAAAGTCCTTGCTTTAGCTGCTTTATTGAGCGGTTGTTAAACGATCGGTACCAAAAAAATAAAATAAAATCAAAATCGAAACAGATTATGATTCCAGTTCCTGAAGGATTCCGAAAATCAATTAGAAATCGCAATTAGAAATTGGGGATTATGAACGGATTGACGGTTGCACATAAAATTCAGGGGAAAAAAAAAATCCTTCCACCGCCAATACTATTGGTAATTACCTGTTTTTTTTTTTCCCCACCATGTTTCATGTTGTTGAAGACGGTTTTCAAAAGATTAAAAAAAGATTGGATTCCCTACTAGGAACCCTCGAGAAATTGGATTCCTTATTAGGAATTGGGAAGGAATTCGAAAACCAAATCCAATTGCGTTTTGGATTTCAGGCTTCCAGGCCTTCATTCTATAAATACGCATGCACCAACGGTTTTCTTAACATCAGTTTCTCCATATTTTGAATTTCTTTTCATGTCGTAACACTATGGATTTTAAAAAACAGTCAGGATTTGATTGGTTACCCGAAGGCATTGTTCATCGCATACTGTCTTTTCTCAATGACGACGACAAAGATAAAAAAGCTCGTTACATATCACAACTATGGTCTAAGGCTTATCGTACGTCGAAATTGATGTTTAACGAGCGTAACCAATTGAACGAATTTATTGAGCAGAAACACAAAACACGACCTGATTTCACGGATGAAAGTAACGATTCCATGATTATGTCCATTAGTGATGAAGAATTACGTGAAGTTCGAGCCATGTTCCGACAAGAAGTCAACCGGACTTTGTCCAGATATACATTTGGAGGGATTTCGTTACCTTATAAATTGGAAATAACAATGGATTTCATCACCCAAGACGATGTCGATGATTCAGCTAATCTGGATAAATGGCTGAAAATAGCTATGGAGAATGGAGTCAGGGAGCTCGAGATTAATCTCTTAAGCCTTAATCCTTCAGGATACGTCATACCGGATTGCATTCTCAAATCAGAATCTTTAACATTATTGTATCTAGAAAATTGCAAGTTTCCAAACAAGCTGAATGACAATGGTCAGATTTCGTGTAAGAACATCCTAGGTTTGAAGTTATGGCAAGTCTTGATCGTCGACGAAATCTTTGCTCCCTTAATGTCATCTTGTAGTACCTCGATTGAGCTTCTAATGATTGAAGATTGTAGAGATTTGAGACAAGTTAAGCTCATCAATGTTCCCTGCCTCAAAGAGCTTTGCATTTACGACTATCGCGTTGGTCCAGTGGAAAACGGTTTAAGGGTGGAAATTTATGCACCAAATCTTCAGTATGTTGATTTAGGAGGTATTCATCAACCGTGTTTGATTCAACCGGAAGCACATCAAAATCTGCGGAAGCTAAAATTGTTTGATAATAATGTGACCGAAACATTTTTCGACGATTTTGTGAATAAACTTCCGAATCTAAACTCACTAAGTGTCCTGCATTGCAAAGGCTTTGAAAGAATGAATTTAACCAGTGAATCGCTCAAGGATCTATCGTTGATGTCCCTCGATTCCAAGGCGCCGGAACTTGACATCAACGCGCCAAACCTAACTAGTTTCGATTTTGATCAAGCTGCCATTTTACCAAAACTATCATTTAGGGCTAATGTTTCACCTCAAATGGAATCTACTCTGCATTGCAATCCTCGTATCGACGAATCTTGGTTTCCTAGATTGAATGAAACGCTTTCAGAATTGTTTCCTTCCAGAATAACACTCCGAATGGATTTAGGAGAGTTTGCAAAGAATGGATCTTCAGATGATTTATCTAGTTTTTTGGATGATTTGTTTCTGGCTTGTTGTCCTGAGACTATATCCTTGTGTTCATCTAAAGATAAAGGAGGTTTCACCGTCTCCGAGTTAGCGGGGAGCATGTTGGAAAAGCTGTCGGAGATGAAAAATTATGGAATGATTAAGGAACAGCCACTTGATTCGGTGAGTTTGTCGGATGTATGTGAAGTTCTTGAAGAGGGGAAGAAGGTTTCTTTCAAGTTGGAATATTGGGATTCACCTAATTGTTGTTCCTCCACGTTTGATGATGAACCAACTAATGAATTTTTGTTGATCAGGATTGTGGCATTAGATCTGTATTTATAATTGACCTTAATTATCAACGCACTTTTTTCTTTTAACTCTCTCTAAACATCAGGAGAAATTTTGTAATTCTACGCATGATTTTATTTTTTTGATAATGAGATATATATACTTTTTTTTATATCCAATCTAAAGCAGACGTGGAAAAAAAAAGATGGAATTTTATGGATCAGCAATAACATTGATATAAATAAATGATAACAATAATAATTAAAAAAGATCACCAAAAAAATCGTCTTACTTTACTTTTTCATTTAGGAAAAATAATCGAATATTGAATTTTTCATATGAACAAAAAATTTTGATGTTTCCTTTTTAGTACAATAGCGGAGAGAAGGCCAGTAATTCCGCTCCACTTTAGCGTACAATAATAGTCCATCATGTTTTTTTTTTTTTTTAAGACGAAATTGTTATACCAAGACATAGAATCACCCGCATTATTCCAAGTATATAGTTGACCAGATTTTTTTTTTTTTTGAAAAGGTACCTCTATTAATTAAGGATTACCTAAACTATTAGATCGCATTTTTGCATAGGCTAACTTATGTAGATCCTTAACTACTGTCCGGCTGACTTTTAACAGTGAACAATTCCGAAAAGTAGATATTAGGGTACGTATATTAGCTATTATCTCCTGAGCTTCACTCGGAAACTTAGAAATTTCCTGATCGGAGGTCAACAGTTCACAGTCTGTGTAGATGTTGAGTCTTTGAATCCCCAAAGATGAGACATCTTGTAATGCCTATAAGCAAGTAATGGCTTCTGCTTAGAAAGGGGACAGTGAATTGATGGAGACTGACTTTATCTGCATTAGCATCCCGGTGGAAGAGATAATTCTCCAGGCTCCGGCTGCCTTTTTGCTGTGAGGGTTGAAGGATGCATCAAAAGTAATTTCTGACAGTGGTTCAGTAGTTCTCCTAGCAGGAAGGGGAGGTGGAATCGAATCCATATGTGACCTTGATCTGGACAACAATACATGGTGTTGCTTAAGGTCCTATTGGATTAATCTCCATGAGGTTACAGGATCGATTGTATGAGTTCTCCACACCTCATCATTTCTGTCTAGCCAAATACGCCAGAAGATTAAGAGGAAGAGGTCAATGTCATCTGAAGATGGTTGAGTTTGAATCCATGAGATAAACCAATCCAGTATGGAGGGCATTGAGCCATATAGAATTGATTGGAAATTAGGATATGCAAAGCTCCAGACTGCTTGAGAGATTGGGCAGTTGAAGAAAAGATGAAGATTGTCCTCCAATCCTATAAAGCACTTTGGGCATGAAGTATCAACCGGTATTCCTCTTCTCACGAGTTCTTGTTTGGAAGGTAAGGCATTGAGTGCCGCTCTCCAAAAAAGGAATTTATGTTTGGCTTGCACTTTAGCATTCCACAACTTCTTCCAAGCCAAGCTTTCAATTTGTGAAGGAACCTGTTGATTTGCTAGAAAAGGAAAGCTGATAGATTCTCAATTTAAGGCCTCATGATACCCTGATTGGACCGTGTAGGAACCATGATCTTTCTTTTGCCACAGGAGTACATCCGGTTGCATGTGTCTTGCCGGATCTACATATATACCAGTTATATAGGGAATATATTAGTCTGGAAAAAAGGAACGGAGGAGAAACATTTTCCATTGTCCATTTGGCCTGAGAAGATCACTGACCATAAGATTAGAATGTTGAGCCAGAAAGGAATTGCTCTGTACAGAATTAGTGACTCCTGGAATCCAGTTACTGGCAATCGGGATATCTCTACCACTAATAACCTTCCATTTTATGTTGTTTTGAAGAAGTTTTGCTCCCCAGAGAACACTCTTATATCCACATGTGGCATTAGTGGGTGGAGTCTTGTGAGGACAATTCTCCATAGTGCAGTATTTTGCTCTGTATATTCTGGATAAAAGGGAAGTTGGATGTGTCAATATTTTCCAAGCATGTTTAGCCAGAAGGGCTTGATTAAATTCTGCAGTGGCTTTGAGCCCTAAACCCCCATGGAACTGTGATCTGGCCATTTTCTTCCAGGATTTCCAGTGGATACCTTTCTCCTGATCATCGCCTTTCCATATAAAACGAGCAATGATTCTATCTGCTTTCTTTAATGTGGAGGCTGGAAGTTTAAAAACTCCCATTGGATAAACCAACATAGCTGATAAAGTAGTCTTTGCCAATGTAACTCTCCCAGCAAAGCTAAGAAGCTTTGTTTTCCAATCCGCAAACTTTCTATGGAGCCTAGCAGTAAACTCTTTAAAGATTTCTGTTTTTTTCTGTTTGAAATCTAAAGATAAACCAAGATATTTGCTCTGAAAATTACCTTCTGGAATATGCAAAGTGTTGTGCACCAAGGTTTTCATGGTAGTAGATGTATTCTGACTCAATAGAATGGAGGATTTGTGATGATTGATCCTTTGACCGGAGTAGGAAGCATAATACTCAAGTAATCCAGACAGCGCCTGTATAGAAGTATCCATGCATTCTAAAAAGAATAGGCTATCATCAGCATACATAAGATGACTAATCCTTGGCACCTGCTTGCTAATCTTGATACCTAACCCGGAAAACACTTGCAGCTCTTCCCTAATTGATGAGGAAAGAGCTTGTTGGCAGAAAATGAATAGATAAGGGGACAAAGGACATCCCTGTCTAAGACCCCTTGTTGGAACAAAATAAGGCAAATGTTCACCATTGAACTGGATGGAGTATGTCACCGTTGTCACACAATGCATAATTAGACTTATGAGTCTTTGTGGGATACCAACCTTTATGAGTACCGCTTTCAGGAAAGGCCATGATACCCTATCATAGGCCTTGCTCATGTCTAATTTGACTGCTCCAACTCCTACATCACCCTCCTTCTTCCTGATGTATTCTATGACTTCATGTGCAAGTAAAATATTCTCATTGATATTTCTCCCAGGAACAAATCCATTCTGGTGCTCATTAAAGAGTTTCGGCATAACCTGCTTTAGTCTGCTAGCAATCATCTTCAAAAGAATCTTATACTTCACATTGCAGAGACTTATTTGTCTAAAATCCCCGAGACTGACTGGATTAGGCAACTTGGGAATAAGGACGATATTAGTCTGATTCCACTCTTGTGGAAAATGCTGGTTTTTGACTGCTATTAGGTTTCGAATCAATCTTGGTCAAATCGTTAATATCTTTTTCTTGACCTTAATCGGTTTCCCTCTTTTGTTGGTATTCAGTACATCAAAATTTGGCTTTTGATTTAAACTTTATAAATATACCCTTCCAAGATATTGTTATTCGTAGCTATGGCTGTGGAAAAAAGAATACAACAGGTTTTGGTTGGTTGCCCGAAGATATTATTCATCGAATACTATCTTTTCTCAGTGAGGATGACAAAGAAAAAGCTCGTAATTTATCCCAAGATTGGTCAAAAGCTTATGATACGTATCCTGAATTGTACTTTAATGGGAGTAATCAAGAGAATTTCGGTGATACTTTGATGAGATGCGTTTATGGAGGGCTTTCCTTGCCTTATCAGTTCAAAATAACCCTAGATTTCACTAACCATGATGTTGATCCTGCTAGCTTGGACAAATGGCTGAAGCTAGCTGTAGAGAATGGAGTCAGAGAGCTCAAGATTTTTGTTATATATGCTAATCATTCAAGCTACCTTATACCGGACTGCATTCTTGAAGCTAAATCATCTTTGACAATGTTGTCCCTCGCATATTGCAAGTTTCCGGACAAGCCCATCGAAGTGCAAAATCTGTGTAAAAAAGTTCATACCTTATTCTTGCAGGACATCTCAATTCCCGACAATGTCTTTTCTTCCATGATCGCGGGTTGCCGGGTGGTTGAGGTTATGAGAATGGAAAACTGTCCAAAGGTAAAGTTAATCAATGTTCCCTACCTCAAAAAGCTTCGCGTTGCCAACTGTTATGAGGCGGAAATTGATGCACCAAACCTTCAGATTGTTGAGTTGCGAGAACTATATGGATTTCGTTTCATTGAAACGCGACCGTATCAAAAACTGCAGGTTTTAAAATTGGAGGTAGTATGGGTTTCAAGAGAATTCTTTGCAAATTTCGCGAATAAGTTTCCACATCTAAGGTCCTTGGAAGTCAGGGATTGCGGTGGCTGTGAAAAAATAGATTTAACGAGTTATTCGCTAAGGAATCTAGGATTTCGGTGTAATGAGTGGACAGAAGCTGTACCTGAACTAAAGATTCATGCTCCCAACCTCACAAGTTTTGATGTTGATAATATTGGTGTACGTATCAAATTTCCTAAAGTGTCTCTTGAAGTTGTTTCGACCCAAATGAAATCTAATGTATCTATGTCTTACTATTCTTATAAAGATAGGGCTTGGCTTCTAGGGTTGAATGAGATGCTATCAAGTATGTTTTCATCCAAAATCTCACTCGAATTTATTTCGAGTTTTTATGGCTGTTCCTTGGAGGACAAATCAACGGAACCTTTTCCTGCCTTTGATGGTTCATTCTTGGCTTATTTCCCCGAAACAATCTCCATGAAGAGGAATTCAAAGGAATGGGATGCATACATGATTGGCCACCTGCAAAGCAAGCTAATTGAGTTGTATAGTCAAAATCTGATAAAGCAGATAGAGATGTCTCTTTATCATGCAAAAGGGAAACAATGCCAGAAACAGCCGCTAGATTGGATGAGTACATCAAAAGTTATACTTGAGTATTGTGAGTCGTGCCTAGAGATTCGATTCGACATAGGATGGAATTTGCCTTCTTGTTGTAGCAACAGCACTGGTGATATGAACCAACAAACAAAACGTATGAGATTCGAGAAATAGATTCTGAATTTGTGATTTGTGTTCCTAGATAGATTTGAAAGAAGTGGATCAGTTTCGTCAGATACTCCATCGTTGTAAGTTTAAGTCAATTCTTCATCAAGAAATGACTACAGATGTATTCACTAATATTCAAAACATGTTACTCCCTCCTCCTCATTGTAATTATAATGCATTTTGATTTGTCCTTAATTTCATTTAGTATGTCCTATTAATTGAAAATAAAACCTTAAAAACACATATATTTTCACATTTATTGTATTATCTTAATTATTATGAAATATTTTTAATATTTTATTCTTTTATTGGAAGAACATACAAATAATTGGTGATAGTACATTTAAAACATGTAAGCTTTCAGAGCGGGTAGCAGTTAATGAAGTCGAATAATAACAATAATAAACGTAAAGTCGTTACCCATAATCAAAAGAAGCACCATCAAGGTATTACTTCCCCAATATGGTGAGGCTAAACTTTTTGGAAATGTTCTTGGGATTATAGGCATTGTGTGATTATCCTATTGGTTCTTAGAGGTTGTAAAAATACTCAGAGTTGTGGAAACAAAAAATTCGAGAAATTAAAATTTCTTTTTAGTAGATATGGTGTGTCTATATGATCTGTATGCTGTGTATGTGAAAGACAGCTCTAAAATAACAAAAAGGACTAATATGCGTCATATATCCAAAAGTTGGAACTAAGACTATGATTACTAGTTCGAGATTAATTTCCTAAATTTTTCCAAACATTGGGACTAAAACATATGGATTCGCACAAATGCCGTAATCTAAGGCTTTGTTTGGTTGTATTGAATTGGGACCAAGAATTGGAATTGGAGCTCTCTAATTCTAATTTTTGTGTTTGGTTAATAAAAATGGTAAGAATTGGAATTACAATTCGTTTTGGGGTTCAATTCTTTATTTTCAATTCTTTTGTGGGAGTAAATAATTCAAATTAAAATTCAAGGATTTAAAAGAAAAGACGCGGATCCAAACCAGGTCTTTCTCGGGTTATATCCTAAACGGGTCGCCTCTCATTTTTTTCCTTTTGACCTTGTTTTTTTTTAAAGAAGATATTTTAATTGTTTTTTTTTCCAGCGCCGTAGCGCTGCTTTTTCTTTTCCTTTTTCTTTTTTTTTTTTTTTTTACTTTCAGCGCTTGCTTTGGAGTTTTTTTTTTAATAATTTTTGTTTTTCTTTTTTGGGCTCTTTGTCTTATAATAATTATTACTATTATTACTATTATTATATCATCAATAAAATCAACCTAAAATAAACATTACATATTTTTGACAAAAAATATCAAAAGTATAACTGTACTGTACCCAAAAAAAATTAACATAAATAAATATTCTAGTTTTGGGTTAAATTTTTTTTATTATATTATGACAAAGTAAACAACATAAAATTTTCAAAAAAAAAATTATAGAAATTGTTCCACATATATACCTATATTATTGTTATAATATATGTATATAAATTTTAAACTATACATGGCATCTTTTCACCAAAAATTATGTAACTTGAGTTTTAAGTATTTATTATTTCATATATAATTATAAACTAAAAATAAAAAAATGTAAGCATATGTTATGTATTGATTTCAATCTATATATAAATGGACATTAATATTCATAACATGAATTCACAATGTTACATGCTAAAATTTTTAAATTTTGGATATAAATAAAAATATCAAAAATTTAAACTTTAAAAAATAGTAAAAGACAGGAAAACAAGAATGTTTTATATGTTTTCTTCAAGAAAAAAAAAAGAATGTTTTGTATGTTACTTGTGTGTCTGTTAAGTGAAAATTCTGCGTAACATATTTAATTCTTATGTAATAATATTTCTTGTGTTTCTAATAAAAAGCTGTGTACATAATAACATAAAAAAATTGATATAGCAAATTGAATAAAAAAACAAAAATTATACTAGTTGAACAACCACAAAGTAGTCTAATACACATGAAGTATAAATTGTATTAGTTATATAATAACAAACTAATTTTAGTTCTAAATTATCCAAATCTTTATGCATTCAAACACAATAATTGGTGTTATAACTTTAATTCTAGTCAATTTTTAAGATCTCCCAAACAAAGGAATTAGTATTGAATTATAATTTCAATATTTCATTTTCAATTCAACAGTATTGTAATTCCAATTCAATCTAACCAAACGGAGTCTAAATATAGTTGAAGATTTTTGGACCGAACCCGATATTAACATCTTCTACTTGACCTTATTAGGTTCCCTTTATTTCTTGGTTTCACTAAATCAAAATTAGGCTTTTGATTTGAACAAAATTATAAATATAAATATACCTTTCCATGATCTTGGCTTGACTATGAAATCAAGGTGATTGTGTATTTTTTTGTTCGTAATTTCCTATCCTACTCGTAGCTATGGCTGTGGAAGAAGATAAAACAGCAGGAGCTGGTTGGTTTCCTGGAGATATCATTCATCGAATATTGTTTTTTCTTAGTGAGGATGACAAAGAAAAAGCTTGAGATTGAATTTATCCAAAGATTGGTCCAAAGCATATGATACGTCGTGGGTAATACGTTGCTGAGACACATTTCTCAAGGGATTTTGTTGCCTTATTAATTATCAGTTTGAAATTACCATTATGGATTTCAATGATGATGTTGATGCAGCCGCTTGGATAAGTGGCTGAAAATAGCTGTAGAGAATGGTATCAAAGAGCTTAAGATTCATCTCCGAAAGCCTAATGCTCGTTCCAGCTACGTTATATCGGACTGCATTCTTGAAGCTAAATCTTGTTTGACAATGTTTTCCCTTGCAAATTTTGAATTCCCCGGACAAGCCGATCAAAGTGCAAAATCTGTGTAAAAAAAGTTCATACCTTAGTCTTGCTGGAAATCTCAATGCCGATGATATCTTTTCTTCCATGATCGCGGGTTGTCGGGTGGTTGAGGTTATGAGCTTGGAGAACTGTCAAAAGGTAACGTTTATCAACGTTCCCTACCTCAAAACGCTTCGAGTTGCCAAATGTTCTAAGGTGGAAATTGATGCACTAAACCTTCAAGTCGTTGAGTTACGACGGCTACATGCACTTTGTTTTGTTGAATCGCAACCATATCAAAAACTACAGATTTTAAAAATTGGGTTATACAAGGGTGTCAAGCGGGTTCTTTGCGAATTTCGCCAATAAGTTTCCACATCTAAGGTCCTTGGAGGTTAAGAATTGCGTTGGCTGTGAAAAATTAGATTTAATGAGTTATCGCCTCAGGAATCTAGGGTTTCAGTGCCATGAGTGGGCAGAAGTACAGGAACTAAAGATTTATGCTCCCAACCTCACTAGTTTTGATGTTGATAGTAGTGACGTATATGGCAAATTTCCTAAAGTGTCTTTTGGAGTTGTTTTGCCCCAAATGAAATCTAATGTATCTTTGTCTTACTATTCTCATCAAATTAGGTCTTGGCTTCAAGTTCAACTTTAAGGGCTGAATGACCATGGAGTGGGATGGAAAGGAAAGGGATTTATACATGATTAAGAACCTGCAAAGAAAGCTAGTTGAACTGCATACTCAAGCTCTGATAAAGGAGATAGAGATGTCTGTTTATCATGCATATGGAGAAAAATGCGAGAAACAGCCGCTAGATTGGATGAGTACTGAAACCAAAAGTTGTATTTAAGGATTGTGAATTATGCAAAGATATTCGATTTGACCTAGGATGGAATTTGCCATCTTGTTCTAGCAACAGTGCTGGTGATATGAGCCAACAAACAAAACGTGTGAGGATTGAGAAATAAAACCTTAATTTGTAGTAATTTGTTCTTTGAAGATTTGAAGAAGTGGATCAGTTTCAGATACACCCATCTTTGTAATTTTAACTCAATTCTTCTTCTCATCAATAAATGACTGTAGATGTTTTTCAATAATTGAAAGCATTCGCTGTTACATCATGGCAATAGAGGAAAAGTTTCTTTTTCGGGTGTACAAGTTTAGTTGTATCAATTGTACCAAGATCGTCAAGTAAGATTGAGTGAATTCAACAAAATTCAGCAGATTGTGGTAAGGATACAATCGAATCAACCCACACAATCCATTCAACCGTGAACAAAAATGGGCAGATACATAACGCCACAATTTTGACAAAATAAAATCAAGTTGATAAGCCACATACGAAGCATAGAAACTTCGTGCAATTTATATTTAAAACCATCCAAAACAAAAATGTTGGATTACCTCACTATTAAAAACTTGTAATGTAAAAAAGATGTCATCAAAAGCTTGTAATATCAAAGATATATTGTTCATATGAAAACCGTAAGTGCCCCTTGAATAAATAACCGAAGTAAGAAAAAAGTAAAAAGGAAATTCCATGTTTCATTCCTTTTTCTTTTTGTTCTTCTTTTTATTTTGTTATTTTATTTTATTTTATTTTTGTTTTGGAAAACTTTTCCTATATTATTATTACTAATTGGAACAGGTTTCCTAAACTAATAATTAGAACCAATTGAGTTTAAGTGATTGTGATAAATTAGTACTCCCTCTATCAAGAATGTTTTTTTTTTTTTAGATTTTCACTGCAATAAAAAGAGAAAATTCAAACGGCTTGGAGAAAAACAATATATATACTATAAAGCAGCTTCTCCATTGAATACAGCTTTGTCTACACAATTCTTTGGTTTTTCTATTTGATTTTCGTAAAACCTGCGAGAACTTTAAATCAAAATATAGTTCGATTTTTAATTATTTTCCTTTTCTATTTCTTTTTTTTTTGGCACCGCAATCTTATTACATACATACATTAATGTCGGTGGAATAATCAATGTTTGGAACCGATTAGGATTTAGAATACCAAATCGGCAAATCCAACAAGGCATGGAATTTCTGGTGTCAGAGCTTGCCCTATATTAATCCTGGTCGACCTCAAATAAGCCTGTAGAGATTCTTGATTTTCAGTAGATCCAAATATCACCTAATATACCCTTTTATTTATTTATTTTAAATTTTTTTGGTACTGTTAACCAAAAAAAGTGAAATAAAATAACTTTTGTTCGTTTGATTTTCGGAGAGGAATGACCAAGCAAGAAGAAGCAGCAATTAGCGGTTTTGGTTGGTTGCCAGAAGATATTATTCATCGAGTACTCTCTTTTCTCTGTAAAGATGACAAACAAAAGACTCGTGGTTTATCCAAACAATGGTTCAATGCTTATGTTACGTACCCAAAATTGTGTTTTTATGGGAAGAACAAGCAGCACTTCGATAATACTTTGTCAAGACATATGTTTGGAGGGACCCCCTTACCTTATCAGCTGGAAATAACCTTAGATTTCAACCATGATGATGATGACACAGCTCGAATATTGGACAAATGGCTCAAAATAGCTGTAGAGAATGGAGTCAAAGAGCTGAATATTCGACTTAGACATTTATATCCTTCCGGCTACATCGTACCAGACTACATTCTTGGAAGTAAATCTTTGAAGATGTTGTCTCTTTTTAATTGCGAGTTTCCGGACAAGTTGACATCGTGGATTTTGTGTAAGAACATCCACACTTTAGTCTTGCTGGAAGTCTCAATTAAGGATGATATATTTTCTTCCATGCTCATGAGTTGTCCTTTGATTGAGTATTTGAGAGTAGAAATTTGTCCAAATTTGAACAAAGTTGAGTTGATCAACGTTCCCTGCCTCAAAGAGCTTCACATTACAGGCCACTTCATTCGTCCTGAACCTATTTTTCCATTGAAGTATCAACCATATTTTGTTGAACCACAACCACAACGAGTACATCAAAATCTGCGGAGTTTAAGATTTGAGAAGGTGATTCTCAGGGAAGCATTCTTTCACAATTTCGCGAATAAGTTTCCGCATCTAAAGTCCTTGGTTATCCGTTCTTGCGATGGCTTTGCAAGAATGAAGTTAACGAGTTATTCGCTCGCAAATCTGGAGTTTGAGTCTCATTTTCTTCAAGAACAAAAGCTAGAGATTAATGCTCCCAACCTCACTAGTTTTTGCCTTGCTCCATTCAACATATTTCCAAAAGTATCCTTCATAGCTGTTTCGCCCCGAATCAAATCCAGTGTATCTCTTTGCTTCAATTTCCCTATTATTGGCGAGTCCTGGAATCCAAGGTTAAATGAAATGCTTTCAAATTTAGCACCATCCAAAATATCTCTCGACATTACTTTGGGAATTAAAAAATCATTCAGTTTAGAAGAAGAGGAGGACAAATGGCTTGAACCCTCCATTAATGCCTTATGTGATTTATTCTTCGCTTGTGGGCCTGAGACTATCAACCTGAATTGGGAAAGAAATGAAAGGGCTCTTCACATAGTCAATGGTGTGCAAAACAAGCTAGTTGAGATGCATAATCAGAACCTCATAATGGATTTTCGGAGGTTTGTTTTCCATGCAAATGGGAAAAAATGCCAGAAACAGCCACTAGATTCAACGGATTTTTCAGATGTTGAATGTAAGGATTGTAAGGGATGGAAAGAGATTCGTTTTGATATAGGATGGAATTTACATTGTTGTTCTGGCCAGACAGGTGATGAACCAACAAACAAACGTTTTCATGATTCTAGCAAGAAGACTGAGGATGATGAACCAACAAATAAACGTTTGAGGGGTTGATAAATAATTCTGATTTTTTGTAGGATTTGAAGAAGTTGATCTTGTTTCAGGAGTTTATAAAATTTTTCAACCTATCAACTTATGTAGATTCATTGGTATCGTCAGTATATATAGTATATATAGAATAAAATAAATCAGATAGGTATCCCCATAATCATTATTGCTTCTCTAAAAAATTTACAAAATCAACGGTTTGTTTCTCATCCATGCATACCAGTTAAATGAGTTATACGTGCTCAATTACTTTGCACCATTAAAGTTCGTTTTTACTTTGAATCGAAAAAAAATGACGTTTTTACATTTGGTTAGGGTGTTAGCTTAATGAAATTAAAATCAACAAAAAGAGGAATGGGAAGCACTTTATAGGGAATCGATCCGATCGACAAAAATAGATAGTAATAAATAATTTCAAGTCTCAGGCCCAATAAAGAGTATTGACTTATAGGAAAAACAAAAAACAAATATTCAGAGAATTTTCAGTATTCGTAATTACCAAATCCTATCGGGCATTGAATTTCTGGTTCTTTTTTCTTTTTCTTTTTTTTTTTTGGGGGGTAAATTTCGGGTATCAAATTGCCTATATAATTAACCATCCCGACCATATCATAAAAATATGATTTTGCTGCTTTTTTTAAAAAAAAACTATTTGAAAAATATCTAAATACCCGTTTCATTATTCTTTGGGCCATCATATAATTAGGTTGATTTTTATTTTTTTTTGGGTACTTGATTTTGTCTCCTATTGTCGTATCCATGGCCAAGCGGGAAAGAGTAGCTGGATTTGGGTGGTTGCCGGAAGATATTATTCATTTGATACTGTCTTTTCTTGATATGGATGAACAGATAAGAGCCTCTTGTCTATCAAGAGAATGGTTGGACGCTTATTGTACAAACCCGAAATTGTGTTTTAATGAAATCCAGTTCATATTGAATTTTTCGCAACACATAAAATTCAGGGACCAATATTCAGGCTCATGGAGTCATGAAGAACATGAAGTTAGGTCATTGTTTCGACAGGTGATCGAGAATATACTTTGATGAAACGGACATGTGGACGGATTTCATCATTTGATTTAGACATAGATTTTCTGTCCTGTCATGGTGATGAAGCTCGCTTAGACAAATCGCTGAAATTTGCTATAGAAAATGGAGTCACGGAGATGAGTATTATTCTTAGGGATTATAGAATAAAACCGCGCCACTACGTTGTACCGGGCTACATTCTTGAAGCTAAATCTTTAACAAAGTTGGCCCTTCGAAAATGCAAGTTTCCGAAAAAGCTGAAAGTACGGAATTTGTGTAAGAACATGCGCACTTTGGTCTAGCGACAGGTTTCAATCAATGATGATACCTTTTCTTCCTTGATCGCGGGTTGTCCCTTGATTGAGCATCTGAAGATCAAAAGGTGTAGTGGTTTGAAGAAAGTTATGTTGATTAAGGTACCATGCCTTAAGGAACTTACTTTTTATGGGCACTACACTTCAAGGATGGCAAATCAACTCTATTTTGTTGAATCACAAGCATACCAAACCCTGGAGAGTTTGAGATTTGAGGACACAACCCTAACTAAAGCATTCTTTGACAATTTCAGTAATATGTTTCCATATCTTCGGTCCTTGGTTATCCGTGATTGCAACGGCTTTGCAAGAATGAATTTAACGAGTTATTCGCTCAGGAATCTCGAGTTTCATCAGCATAATGTTTCTCTAGAATAACAACAGGTGATTGATGCTCCCAACCTCACTAGTTTTGGCCTTGAAGCATATTCCATGAACATATTTCCAAAAGTGTCTTTTAGATCCATTTCAACCAAAATGAAATCTAATATATCTCTTCTTTGCTATTTACCTAAGGAATCATCTCGGTTACTAAGGTTGAATGAGGTGCTAACAAATTTAGTTCCATCCAAAATATCACTCGAAATTGTTTGGAAGGTTTATCCGTCTCAAGGGAGCTCGACAATATTTCATCGGAACATGCCGCTATCTTTGATGGTTCATTCTTAGGTTGTTTGCCGGAGACCATCACCCTGGTTTCCATTGTTAAAGAAAGCAATTTTCCCATGTTCATCAAGAACCTGCAAGAAAAGTTGTCTGAGATGCATAAGCAAAACCAGGTAAAGGTACTAGGGATAGATGTTTTTCACATCGATGCTGAAAAATGCCGGAAACAACCGCGGGATTGGACGAGTTTACCAGATGTTACATGCAAAGATTGTGATATTTGGCAGAAGATTCGTTTTAAGTTAGGATGGAATTCACCTTCTTCTTCTTCTACGCGAGATCGGCGATGAACCAACAAAAACAAACGTTTGAGGCATTTTGATCCTTTTGTAAGGGTTTGAAGGAGTTGATCTGTTTCTCTACACATTTCCTTTTTTTTAATTATTTTTCTTAATTAGTCAGCCATCATTGGTGAATGAATAAAACTCTTTAATATAAATCCGCCCCAAGATAAATGTCATATTTAATGTTTTACTTTATTTGGTAAATAGTACACTCTTATTTTCAAAAAGAAGAAGTACATAATGTTTTCATCATTAGAATAATCTTCAGTTCCATGTGTTTGGATTAAAATTCGAACAACTGCAGTTAAAAAGTTTTATGATGGCCAGGTCACATTTTAGTATATTTTCCACCAATATGCATGTATATATGCATGCTTAAAATATTTTTATGGCGAAATACCTCAAATACTTCAATTAGGCTCCATACCCCATAAAGTAAAACCAGTTGGACCTTAAATCTAAAGCAAACTGTAGTTGGGACTTCGGATTTCGTTTTTTTGGGAATATCCAAAACTATCAAAAAGGGAAAGGGCTTCAATATTCATTTTTTCCTCTGAAAACAAAAAGAAAATAAAGAAAACTGATACGTGATGATTCAAATTAGTAAAATAAAAAAGGTTTATACTAGTAATAATAGTAAAACTATCATACAACCATGCACAATTCTTGCAATGCAATTTGATGTATCACTCACTAAATCGGTATCCAAAACTCCTGTTCTCACCAATACGGATTCTTCCTGAATATGCCAGGCTTTTAATTTAATTACTGTAAGCTACTCAATGCAAAGTGTACTATTATAGCTAGCTAAAACAAAACGAAATTCGAACATATTATATGTAATTTGTGCTTTCTTTTTATGACGAAGTGTTACACTCTCTTTTTCCAAAATAGAGAATCAAGGCCCGTATCATCATTTGTGGGAGCAATAATTCGAGAAATTAATTAAATTTCCTCTGATGAAAAACAAAATATTGTCACTATATATATACATGTTAAGCACACTATAAAAAAAAAAAAAAAAACGTTGTACACTTATATCCGCTGCATTATTTTAACATTTTATATTTGTTTTACATAATATGCTAAAATACTATAAAAAGTAATAAAATTTAAAATTATTCTCACACAAAAAAAAAACCTTTGGGTGGAAAATTGGAAAGACCCAATCTTTAAATATATAATGAAAAAAGTAAAAAAATAATAATAATAAAATTGCATTCATTGCGCGTCCACTTTGTTGTCAACGACCATTGGCCGAGGAAAAGCTCAACGCAATAAAATAATCTTAAATAATACATATTGAGAGAAAAGCGCAAGCATTATTTTGGCATTTTTGACATTGACTATAAGACATTAAATAATCTCTTACGTATCTTTTACATATAATTCATTCTATTTTTCTATTAATAATTCTCTTTGTTTTCTTAATTATTGAAAATTTCCCTGTGAGCCATCATACCTATATTTAGAAGTGACCACCATTGTTGATTCTTACATTAAAGACTTGAGGAATTGATAAATTCCCAAATAAACATAAACAAACACGATAAAATTTCTCGTTTCATTTTGAAATAAAAGAAACTCATTTTGCAAAAATAAAAATTACTCTTTACATAAAAAAAAAAAAAAAGTTCACTTTAAGTTTGAATATTTGTAGTATCTTATTATGAATATCGAAACTAGATGTTGATTATTTTTATATTTATTTTTGGACAGCTAATTTTATCGAATACTAGGATTGATACTATGTATTAGATCGAAATTGAATCGATTTTTTTTTATCCTAATTAAGTGATTTTAACAATATGAATCACTAGGAGAATTCAAGGTATAGAATTGTTCTACCATTTTATATTGTGTTTTACGTAATATGCTAAAATACTATAAAAAGTAATAAAACTTCAAATTATTTTCTCACACACAAAAAGAAAAAAAAAAACATTTGGGTGAAAAATTGAAAAGTCACGATCTTTAAACACATAATCAGCAGTTTATACACTGTAAGGTGTAGGATATAGCAAACAGAAGAGAATATTATATGACAGTGGTTTATGCTGATTATTTGGTTGTGGGCAGACAAGCTTTACGGATGGATCTTGCAGGGATACAAGAAGGATTTCAGAAGCCTGGATTATCATGTGGGGGACTTCAACTGTGTTGTGAAACATGATGAAAGAGTGGGTGGAAACAATGAGTTCTGCTCTGATACATTACAGTTTCAGAAATGGATTGAAGAAAGTGAGGTATGGGAAATGATAACATATGGAGCAGTGGCGGAGCTAGGGGGCCGGAGGGTACCTGCTCAATTTTTTATAATTAGTAGTGATGTCCTAAATTTTTAATAGAAAATTACATATTTTATAATTTTCACACCCCCTACATTAATTTCTTAGTTCATTAGTAGGGTTTTTCTAAAGTTCGCACCTCCATCTTTCTTGCCGCTTTGTTTTCTTACTAGGGTTGACTACTGCGTTGATCAAAGAAGAAATTAATCAGTACTAATAATAAAGTTTGAATGAAACCCTTTTTTCCTGTAAAAATTCGAGTTGAATTTGTAGAATCCTCAAAAGGTGCCAAAGAAATGGGTACTAAAACGCAAGCAGAGCTTCTTCTCAGAAAACAACCAAGGGAGCTTTCCAAATACCCATTGGATATGTTCTCGGCCGGATTAGTAACTCAGGGCAACCCTTTTGAATGGGACGTCATTATCTTCGGCCTTCAGGGAACAATCTACGAGGGCGGGATTTTTCCGGCCAAGATTTTCTTCGCCGAAGATTATCCCAACAACCCTCCGACGGTTAAGTTCACAACTCAAGATATGTGGCATCCGAACGTGTATCTAAACGGAACCGTTTCTATGTCGATTCTGAGCCCTCCCGGTGACGATCCGTACGGCTACGAGCTCGCTAGCGAGCGGTGGTTATCGGTTCACACGGTGGAATCCATCGTGTTGGGTGTCGTTTCGTTGCTTTGGGAACCGAATGACGAGGCGGCGGCTAATGAGGATGCTGTGATTGAGTGGAGGGAAAGAAGGGATGTGTTTACGGAAAGGGTTTTGAATTTGGTGAGGAGATCGCAATGTCGGTTTATGTATGGTGATGATTATGATGATACTGAGTTTGATGATGAATTGTTGTCCTGTGGTGGTTTTGGTGCTACAAAAAAGGTTGATCAATTCTTGTTTGGTGACCCTTTGAAAGTTTATCCTTCCGATGATGATAAAAAGGCTGGTGGTCCGTTCTTTTCGTGTGATCAAGTGTTTTACAGTGATATAGAGTATTCCGGTGATGACGATTTAGAGGCTGATGAACAATTCCCGCTGGATGATGATACACAAGGTGGTAAATTGCTGCTGTCCGGTGATGATGATTCAGAGTCTGATCAATTGCTGCACGGAGATGAAGATGCAGTGAAGGTTAAAGAAGGTTAATTTTGTGTGTGTGTGTGTGTGTGTTCTTTTTTTTTAAGTAATGTAGAGTTTGAGAGACAGTTCTTGTGTTTGTTATTTTTTTTTTTTTTTTAACCTCTCTTAGGAAATGCAATTTTCATTTCATTTGGTGATTGCCTGAATTTAGTTAAAGTTTTTTTTTTCCCTTCCTATGAAAGAGTAAAATGTCCAAATGGTCGCTTACATTTGGGCTTACTATAAATTACGTCTCTAATATTAATATTTTAATATCTTAGTACCAAACATTATGTTTTCACACTTTTTTTGTCCCATTTCACTGTTTCGACTACTTTTCCGTCCAGCTCAATGTTGACCGGCTGTTGACTTGTTGGAATCAGGGGTATTTTCATCTTTTCCCTTAATTTAAATTTCTATTAAAATCATTAAAAATATTATAAAATTCAAATTTCATTATTTAATTATTAAAGTAGTATTTATTATTTTTTTGTTACAAAAATATTATTTATTAATTTAAAATATTATTATAAAAGTTTAAAATTTACATTATTTTTAAAATTACTTTTTTCATTTATCATTTACCTTTTGTACAAAATAAATAGTAATTATGTTACACTTTTTACCTTGAACTCTCTGTAACTAAAGAACAAATTACTATGATACATTACATATGAAGCATCAATTTGGCAAGAATCTAAAGCTAAAACTAAAATGTGTTTTTGACCATTTCGTTTCCAAAACTCTTCAGGGAGACAAAGCTAGGGACATAGTCAACTACTTCCATGATCATAAACCTTTCTGGATGGCCAACGAGCTTTTTCATTTCAACCCTTTTCAATAAATTGTTCTTAGGATCGAAAGAAAGCGGCTGATCATCTCTCCATAGCATCAGGATCTCTCCATCTTCGAAAACTTTAAGAATCTGAACCACTTCATAGTACTTCCCAATCAGGTCAATTTGATGTTTGTCAATCACAAATTGTTTCACCCAAGATTCTTTCACACCGTACTCCTTCATCAACCATATCGTGATTTTGAAATCCGATGTGTTGTCGCATACACTCAGACAATTATCATCTTTGTTGTTGTAGACTTCTAAGGTTGCTAGGTTGTTTTTTTCCAGTTCAGGTGGACCTGGAAATGCCCTGAATGTCTCCTTTTCAAGATTGAAACACGAGATCAATTCAGGGCCGTCTGGATCTGTAATCAGCCAGTGAAGATTGCCATTGTGAAAAATTCCGTGCGTTCGAACACTGTACAGAAACGGGGCATGTCCCCGGAGCCGCCAGCATCCTGTTCCAAATGTATAAACATGGCATTCGGATTTCATTATTCGGGTTAGAATCCCATTCTCCTGATCATTGTTCCTCTGCAACTCCTGGTAAATTCTGACTACTTTGTAATGACCAGTTGTTGAACTTAACCCGAATCCGTATGTCTTTCTATTGGGAGATTCCATTATTCCTCCAGGGCTCGGGATTGTTATGCATTCCCAGGTCATTGGGTTCCATAAACGAACTTCATCTGAACAGTGAAACCCGAATTCGTGAAAGCAGATCAACCCATTGATGGAACCAAACATGGAAACAGAGTTCTCCGGGAATCCTTCAGGGAGCTTCATCTCTGAATCTGGAAGATAATAAAAGTCATTGCTGGCGGGGTCGTTTTCAAGCCCAACCATATTGAATGAACTGGTGTTCTTGAACACCATTAAGCTTGGTGGCAATCTTGATTCGCGTAAATTGGCGAATTCCGGGCTGGAAATTAGATACAGCCATGGTTTGCACACGCAACAGCATCGGCTGATGGTTTTGGTTGGCAGTCTTGTTAGTATATCGACGGTAATGTGCGCTGGTAGATTGGAAAAGAAGTTGTGATGATGATGACTCATGAGTGGTTTCATTTTTCTGGAGATGCAAAAAAAGTTGGAAATATTGTTCTTAGATATGATGATAGAGATTATATATAGCAATAGGATATGATGATTTGGATTGATTGGAAATGTATGGAAAAATGGAATTTTCAATGGTCAAAGGAGAGACTATATGTTTTGACTCAGGCTTGTGTTGAACAAGTCAACTGTAGATTCAATAGAGAGGCTAAAGGAAGAAGATTCAATACACTTATTTATGAACTAGACTTCTTTGGTAGCTAAATACTCCCCTCCGTTCCAGAAAAATAACGCATGTTTATCAGTACTCTTTTTTGGTACCTAGATACTTCCTCCGTCCAAGAAAAATAACGCATGTTTATTAGTTCTCTTCTGTTTTCAGTGAAATATTCACAACAAGAAGTTTGTGCAGATCTCTTTAGCTTAAATTCCTGATTTCTGCGTTTCAAGTTGGAGAACAAAATGTTGAAGCCCATCCTTAGCCAAAGGCATGAGTATCTGGCTGAAAAACTCTATAAAAAGCTCAAAGGTACTTAATTTTAATTTGGTTGAAGCATGGAATAATGTAACAGATTCATTTCCGGATGATAAAAATGGCTCCACAATTTGACTTAAATTGGACGAGAAGTGTTGGGAGTTTCAGAATTAGACATTACAAAACAAATAAATTGCATGTTCAAAGACAAACTCTATGATAAATAACCTGTTTTTGACAAGAATCTAAGCCAGAAACAGAGCTTTTCAACTAAAAGGTTCTTTTGACCATTTCTTTCCCAAAGCTCTTTAGGGATACATAGCTGGGTACATATTCAACTACTTGCATGACCATAAAAATGTCTGGATCACTAACAAACCTTTCTGGATCCCTAGCGAGCTTTTTTATTTCAACCCTTTTCAATAAATTGTTCTTCGGATCAAAAGAAAGCGGCAGATCATCTCTCCATAGCATCAGAATCTCTCCATCTTCGAAAACTTTAAGAATCTGAACCACTTCATAGGACTTCCCTGTCAGGTCAACGGGATGTTTGTCAATCACAAATTGTTTCACCCACGATTCTTTCACACCGTACTCCTTCATCAACCATATCGTGATTTCGAAATCCGAACTGTTGTCGCATACACTCAGACAACTATTTTTGTTGTTGTAGACTTCTAAACTAGCCAAGTTGTAATTTTCCAGATCAGGCGGACCTGGAAATGCCCTGAATGTCTCATTTTCGAGATCGAAACACGAAATCCGTTCAGGGCCATCTGGATCTGTTATCAGCCAGTGAAGATTTCCATGGAAAAATACGCCCCGCGTTCTGCAACTGTACAGAAATGGGGCGTTTCCACGGAGCCGCCAGCTTCCTTCTCCGAATGTATAAACATGACATTCGGATTTGATTATCCGGGTCAGCTCCCCCTGTTCATTCCTCTGCAACTCCTGGTAAATCCTGACAACTTTGTAATGACCATTTACGGAGCTTAACCCGAATCCGTATGTGGTTATGTTGGGAAATTCCATCGCCCCTCCAGGGCTTGGAATAGTTATGCTCTCCCGGGTCGTTGGATTCCATAAACGGACTCTATCCTTACAACGAAACCCGAATTCGTGAAAACAGATCAACCCGTTGATGGAACCAAACATGGAAACAGAATTCTGCGGAAATCCTTTCGGAAGCTTCATTTCTGAACCTGGAAGATAGTAAAAGTCATGGCTGGTGGGTTCGTTTTCAAGCTCAACCATGTTGAAGGAACTGGTTTCCTTGAATACCATCAGGCTGGGTGGCAGTCTTGATTTTCGCAGATCGGCGAATTCCGGGCTGGAAATCAGTGTTACCCATGGCTTGCACACGCAGCGGCACCTGCTGAGGATCTTGATCGGCAATCTTGTAAGTATATCAATGGTAATTTGTGATGGTAAATTTGAAAAGAAGCTGTCATTTTCATCATGACTAATTAGTGGTTCCATTTTCTGGAGAAACAAACAAGACTCAGAATTTTGTTCTTAGATTGATGATACAGAGATTATTTAGTAGTTTTCAGGTGTTTCTAAGGTCTAATGGTGTGATTTGGATTGATTGAAAGTATATGGATGATGGGAAGTTTCCATGGTCAAATGAAATGAAACTACTTGTAATGTTGAAAGTGGTACATGTTTTGACTTGTGCTTTTCTTGAACAAGTCAAATTGCAGATGCTTACCTTGGGGAGTGAGTAACTCAACAGAGATTGGAAAGAAGATTCGATACTTTTCATGAAGTAGACTTATTCCGTTTTTTGACGGTAAAATAAGATCTTCTGTCTCATTTATTATGTAACAGTGGTTCTTATAAAAGTCACATTGAATGGTTTAATAAAGTGATTAGAATATGACTTATACAAGTAAGACAAGTCTCTAACTTCCACTACTCTTGGTTGATAAGATGCTATCAAAAAAGTGGCCCAACAAGCTACAGATTGATTTGCTACATACATCTTTAATTCTAGAGGGTGTAGATAACTGATGGAAATGGTTTAAAAGTCCTATTTTCCCACTACCACTTTAGTGGATGGAAATGGTTTAGTGGATGCATGTCAATTGCCATGACTTTTCACTTCAGGAGACATATTCTCCAATAATTTTGAAAAGCCAGCCACCCCCATTTTGAAGAAGAGAGCTAATTTTATGTTCATGGTGACACGTCCCTAACTTAACTAACAAAAATGACACCTTTATATTAATAAACTAACTACGATCGTTCCACAGCATGGATAAAACACAAAGACGGTGATGATAAAGGGTTGGTGCTGACATTGCACTTGACAATTTGGTTTCAAAAGTCAGAGAAATGCTGGATGCCACCCAGAGAAAATCTCTTTGATGTTGCAAAGCTGAAGAAAGATGACTGCACTGCAGTTGTAAGAAAATGGGAAGTGATAACCGTCACCATGAACCAAAAGAAACTGATTTTAGCTCCTTGGGTTGACGAACAGGATGTGGAAGTTGAGGTCAAAGAACAAACAAAGTGAGGAATGGGTGTTTCGGCCGGCCAGAACTGCCTCAAGGCCGAAGTTATTAGCTTTACAGTCTTTGAAGGTGGTATATTGCAGAGACATATATCACTAATTGTAAGAATCTATTGAATAAGTTGAAGGCTTGATTGCCTCAAAGCTGTCAAGTTACAAACGTTTTATCAACCTATCTAGACATGTTACATGATGCTAACACTAAAGTTTACAAAATGGAAGATGGAAATCGATTTTCTTTTTCACTATGTCGCATTTGTACAGACATGAAAGAAATGGTAAAAAAAAAGGTTCTTACATCTATGACATGATTTCCAGAGCTTCCCTAGTTTGTCCAAGTATGTTAAATACAGTTGCCGCGATATGAGATGGTGTGAGACCTGCTTCTGACAATTGATCAGCTGGAGATCCATGTTCGATGTATCGATCAGGAAGTACCAGCGGTCTCCACTGCATGAATTTAACAACATAAACATGTAACTTAAGGAAGCAATGAAACTTGATCGTAGAAGGGAAAAAAATGAGGAAGACAATGAAGGAAATTTCTAATTTGAAGAGAGCGAAATTAGATATTTCTGTGAATGACGTTCTTTATACCTTCAATTTTCCATCAAGAAGCCCATCAAGGGCCATAAACTGTGCAACGTGAGATCCAAAACCTCCAATTGATCCTTCTTCAACCGTGATCAAGACATCGTGTGATTTTGCAAGACTCCGTATAAGAGAATGATCCAATGGCTTGCAAAAGCGTGCATCTGCAACAGTCAACTGCAAACCATGAGGTTGTAATAGCGCTGCCGCAGCCAAACAGCTTTGTACTGCTGTTCCGTAGCCCAATAGAGCTACTCTCTCCCCTTCAATCAATATCCTTCCTTTCCCTACCTGAAAGTTTTATAAGTTTATCGTCAGTTTTGGTCAGAATCCCTTCAGCAGTTATGCACAAAACAAAGTTTTGACATCTACCTCCAGAGGAGTGCCTTTGTTCCCTGGTGGCAGTTCTACACCTATTCCATTTCCCCTTGGATATCGGAAACAGCTAGGTCTGTCATCGATAGCTGCAGCAGTAGCAACCATGTGAAATAGTTCAGCTTCATCTGAAGGGGCCATCACCACCATGTTTGGAAGGCATGCCATAAACGTCACATCAAAGGAACCACAATGAGTAGGACCATCTGATCCAACCAGACCAGCTCTATCCATAGCAAATCTAACAGGCAGCTTTTGTAAATCCACATCATGCACTACCTATAAAATGATCAATCCCATATCAGCAAAGCAGACAATTCTGATGCGGAGGGTAAGGACATTAGGAATGTTCAGTTTACCTGGTCATACGCCCTTTGCATGAAAGATGAATAGATTGCACAAAAAGGCTTCAGGCCTTCACAAGCCAAACCAGCAGCGAAAGTAACGGCATGTTGTTCTGCTATCCCAACATCAAAACATCTGGTAGGGAAACGCCGTAGAAACAGGTTCAAGCCTGTTCCACCTCCCATTGCAGCATGAATTGCAACCACATCTTTGTCTGCCTCTGCTTCTGCAATTAAAGCCTCAGCAAAGTACGTTGTGTAAGACTGTGTTTTAGCACTGGACTTGAATTGCTTCCCTGTTGCTGGATCAAACTTAACCACTCCTGTAGGAAGGCAAAAGAGCTTCTCAGTTGTGGACTCAGAGCACTTACCAGAAACATTAACTGCCAATTTTACATTTATCACTTAGATTTCATATCTGTTCAGACATCTACCAAGGCGACTTGTTACCTTCCATGTTGGCAATTTTCTTTATAACTTGTAGTAATCAAGCAATACAGAATGAATGGTGACTATTGAATGAACTGGCATTACAAAACAAGCAAATCTAAGAAAACTCAGGAAGTTCAATTTAGGTACTGTACCATGGTACTTGTCAGCTGCTTTCTCGGCATAAGGATAACCTCTGCCTTTCTCAGTGACAACATGGATTAATACCGGACCTGTTGTTTTAGTACTCTTGACTTCTTTGAGAATAGCAACAAGATCATCAATGCTGTGACCATCCACAGGACCAATATAATAAAATCCAAGCTCTTCGAATAGAGTTGAACCAGAGCCACTAATCAAGCCACGGGCATATTCATCAACTTTTGCAGCAAGCTCATGAACTGGACCACCAATCTGCTTGGTAACTCCCTGCATTTTAAAGTTTCAAGGGAACATTAGTATGCGTTAATCCAGAGAAGCAAAAAACTTAAGATATCAAAGTCCTCAGAAGAATCCAAACCTTGGCAACTTCTCTCAGTTCTCGAAGAGGCCGGTTTGACTGCAACCGACTCAAAGCACTACTTAGAGCTCCAACAGGAGGAGCTGGCCCATCTAATGTAGCAGTTGGCAATGAAACTTGCTTGTTGTCATTGAGAATAACAATCATGTCAGAATCCAGGTATCCAGCATTATTCATAGCTTCATAAGCCTGCCCGGCTGTCATAGATCCATCACCAATTACTGCAACTACATTGTTTTTCCTTCCTTTCAGATCCCTTCCTACGGCCATTCCTGTTCATCACAAAATACCGAATAAATAAGTGCCGGCAAAGACACGAGATCTTCATGAGAAATAAGATTAGCATCAGGATCATAGATCGACCTTGGACAGTACAGCCCAGTGTTAACTCATCTAAAACTTGTTATAGCAACCCTAAAAATTGAGCCGATTAAAGAATTACCTAGGCCTGCTGAGATGCTGGTAGAACTATGACCAGTACCAAAGCAATCATATTCACTTTCTGAACGTTTAGTAAATCCTGAAAGTCCATCAGTTTGTCTCAAAGTTGGCATTTTGTCCCTTCTCCCAGTCAAAATCTTGTGTGGGTAAGACTGTAAAACATACAAATTGTGACGAAACAGTCATCATCATTGGCTAAAAGTACTTGCAACCTTTATCTGTGCATTCTTTATAAAGTCTAAAACATCACCTGATGACCAACATCCCAGACAATCTTGTCTTGGGGGCAGTTGAACACATAATGAAGAGCTACAGTGAGCTCAACAACACCAAGGCTCGAACCTAAATGACCCCCCGTCTTTGAAACATTAAAAATGATGTCTGATCGTAATTCATCCGCGAGTTGTTTCAGTTCCTAAATTAAAGAATGGTTTAAACTTCAGAACACTAATAAATCTCAGTACCAAGGAAATGTTATTTATAGTGTAGAAATGCTACCTTAGTGGAAAGATTTTTCATGTGAATTGGGTAGTTGATAGTGTCCAGTAGCGGAGTTGGAGGTCTCTGTGAGTAATACTCCCCACTTTCTGACAAAGACGCCCGAATTCCATTATACTTTTTCGCTACCTTTTCAACAATATAAGTCCAAAACAAGGATTCCTTATTAGGATTCCAATCCAAAATCACATGCAGAGGATGCTACAGTCCATTCACATATAGTAACCAACAAAAGATAACACCTAGAAAACAAACACCAATTACAATAAACTAAGAGCATAAACTCACTCATTCAAATGCAAATGAAAACAACAAAAGCAAGCAAATGAATTCTAAAAATCCAAGAAGGGCCAATATAGCACTTGTTTCTTTCTTGTTCCTAACTAAGCTGAATTCCCAAAAATTATACAAAACTTTCACAAACCTGATTATTTTGGGATTCAAATTGAAGCTGCAGATCGGTTCCACTGAGCCAGCTGGAACATAAAAGACCATGCTTTACAGAATTTGAAACCACCACCTTGCTTAAGTTCCCAGGAAATGCAAATGCACTGAGAGCCATTATATCTCTATATTACAAATGGCCTAAGCTCAGAAACCCCAGTGAATAATTTAAGGGTTCAATCCAATAACTAGCCAAAAAGATTCCACAACACGGATAGTAGTGGAACCTTATCAGTTAAGAAGTGCCAAAATGAACCCAACAGAAAGAAAGGAAGAAACTTTATGCAAGAAACCCGTTTACAATACCGAGTTTGAGATGAGAAATTATTGGAATATGGTCAGGAAATGCAGAGACTGAGAAGAGAATGGCAGATTGGAAAGAAATTAGCAATGATTAGCGAACAAAACGTTCGAACATATTTATAGTAGGATCTAACAGTGTGATGGAGCCAAAAATAAAGTGGCAAGGTTTTTGATTGGGCCACGTTGGAAGAAATCCGAAGTGGATAGAGAGATATGATGATGATAACGTAGTACAACTTCCATGGCTAATTTAATCAAGATTTGCCGCACTCTTTGCCTTGTATTAATCTGTGGAAGAAACTGGTGTCAAATCCCCATTAAACCCATCTCTCATTTTGTGGATTTCTGTTCATTCCATTATGTGTTCTGACTTTTTCGTCATTGGTTCATGCTAAATTGCTAATTTGGTCAACTGACACATGTTTGTCAATTGTTATCATGGACACTAACTAGTTAAAAAGATGATAAAGACTGAATTAGTTACTTAGTACTATAGGCTTGCTGAATCTGGTGCATAATGTAGTTAAAAAAAAAAAACCAAATCAGTATAAGAGAATGATCATCAACCACATAAAAAAGAGCTTTTTGTTTCCTCATAAGTTAGGTGTATCAATTATTCAAGTAATTGAATCATATTAAGGGTGATTAGGAGTAGTAGATCCTTCAAAATGAAAGCAAATATTCTGTCCACCGAATTGCCAATTTGGTCGAAATCAAAATATATGGACAAAAAAAGGTTTCCAGTAGGCAAGAAGGATATCAATCCTGTATCATATCTACAAAGTATCGCCTTTAGTCCTTTGGGATGAGAAAAAGAAGAAAAATCTGCCTGCCTTTTCCAACTAGCAATTAGCAAGACTTCAGACCCTAGCCCAAATATCATCATCCAATGGATTTTTAATTGTTCCCAGTTCTAAGTTCTAACCCATCCTTATTGCTAAGGACAACAAAAACCTCTGCAAATTCCATTCATAAATCTAGCAACTAAACAATTTTCCCTTGTCACAACTCAACACATCTGTCATTACTCAAGAGGTTGCAATGGCAACGATTCGACCAGAGGTGCAATTTAACCCTATCAATGATCACACATGCCCATATGCCGAAACAGCCATCTTAAAATCATAAAACCTCAGAAGGTCAAGAACAGAAGGGCAGTCCGAATCAAATAGAGGAAGAACAGAAAATTTGTATTCATTTAAAAGCTATTACAACCATGCAAATATTCTTCCTTTTATAAAATATCCAAACAGCCTATATGGAAACTACAAATGCTTGGCTACAACTTAACCAACAGGCATATATATTTGCTTCCTGCCTCATCTGGTGGAATTCCTATTTATAAATCCAACAGCCCTGCTACTTTCCTTAAACCATACAGCGAGAACATGTTAACATGACTACAAAAGACTATGAAGTTTAAAATGGCAAGGAAATTTAATCATAGACATACTGAAGCGTAACACAACAGAAAGACCTGGGACTGGGATCATTATCCTTGAGACAAATGTAAACCAAAGAAGCTGATGTTTATGGATGCGGTACATCATTCCAGGGTTCTCATTCAAGTGCCTATTGTATACTTTTATACAATGAATAGATGAAGCACTCATATCTAATCGGCAGAGGCATGTAGATTCTGATCATAGAAATTGCAACCTAATATGCCAGAGCCATAATCCGGACTACCATTCTTGAATGCATAAATGATTGGTGGAGAAAAGTCATAGCTCCATGTTTTGGCTTAGAGAAGTACTTCTCATAGTAACCCAGAGCTTACTTGCATAATGCTCAAATCAGTGGTTAAAAACCATAAAAAGTATAGAATCGCTAAATATAAAAGCAAGAGAAAGTTGCAGCACTTTTAAAACAATAAACTCCAATTTAGTAACTGGTCGTAAGTTACAGAAATAAAGAGTTCTCCAACCTATATTGCAGAACAAATAAAATTAATAGAAAGCATAACATCGCTGAAATTGACCTTCCATGGAACCATGGGTATACTTCAGGCCTTGGCTTAGTCAGACAACAAAACCAAAAACAGAAATGTTGCAAGTCTCTCACTTCATCTTTGCCTCAGTGAACAACACATGACGATTAACACGAGGATCATACTTGCGAAATTCCAGTTTGGTCTGGCTACTCTGAAGCCTCTTGGTCTTTCTAACCACATAGAAAAATCCAGTCCCGGCTGCAGATACAAGCCTCACTAGTATCGAGCCCGCCTTCTTCTTCTCACCCATGTCTGTAAAATTTTTGGGAGAGACAAAAGCAACTATTAGCATCTACAACACAGCACCTAGTAACTCATTCCTTCAAAACTAATGCAAAACATATTTTCAACTGCAATGTAATATTGCACAACAAAATTCCGGTCTTCCAAACAACAAACAAAAGACACAGAGTTCTGAATCTGAAAAATGGAACACCAAAACTAATCAGTGGTATAGGCAAGCAACTACAGTGCAGAGAAACCCAAATATAGGCCTTTGTCTATGAAAGTAAACGTGTGCGACCATGTCTTGTCTGAAATCATGCAAACAAGCCTGAATACACAGAATGCAGACCGCTGAATCACTATGGTGTTGACATGCAAAATCTCTCAATTGAAAGAAGCTTTACCTCAACAGGTCTGTTGAGATTAAACTTTAGTAAGCCATTACATCAATCTCTCAACAAAACGAATACCAATCACTTTTCAGGATTCACAAATATATCAAACAGGTACACTTCATGAATTCACAGCAAGTAGGACTGAAGAACACCATTGTGAAGGCAAAACCCAAAAATTGGAAACCCAATTTAGCTTCAAGAAACTGATATTTTTCTCTATGCATTGTGGGGTTCCAGATAAACTAACTGCAACAAGTAGAGATTTTGATGTTAAGTGCCAAAACCATTTTCTCCTTAAGGCTTTATAAATTTCTTCCCTTCCCGGACAGCATGAAATTTTTCCTTTCTCCTTTGCAAAATTGGTGGAAATGCTAATGAATCCAATAAACCATGAACTCAAAACTTAAAAAATGCCACAAATTCTAAACTAATAGCTGTTTATTCAACACAAATTCTTCCATTTCTCCACTAAAGTTCCCACCTTTGGATCTTAATGTAAAACCTTTCTTCAGAAACCTACATGGACCCTTTTCCCTTTTTGCTTCAACGGAATATCTAATTCAACAATTGTTCAAAATTGGCTTCTTAATGAAGCTAGATGAATATGAACCCAATATGAACACACAAAATTAAACACAAAAATGATGAAGCAACCGAATCCATCACACAACAAACAAAGTTCAACAGTAGGAGAAAAAGGAAAAATGGAATAACGTAAAGCAGAACTCACCGCCAACTCTTCAGTTCTTCACTGCTTTGATGTCTAAACACAGCGATTTCTTTGTCAAGCGGCACAAAGAACCCTGCTTAAAAAGGAAAAAAAAAAAAAAAACAAAACAAAACTCAGACTTTAATAAACTTTGCTGAATAGTCCTCGTAATTTAAACAAATTATCATTATGTCACATATTTATTTTCTTATTACTTCAAAATAATGACTCGGGTCAGGTTTCGGATCCGTAGGAAAGCTGGGTTCATTGTTAACAGAACATAAATTCAGTCAGTCACTGCCCTAAAGTTGCAATCTTTGGATAATATCAGCTCCAGAATCACTCAAGCAAAGTTATTCAAGGTACAATTTCAGCTCTTTCCTTGCATTTACCGATGGAAAATCTTTATCCCTTTGCGAAATTGTCTCTTTTGTTTTGTGGGTTGTTTTCATTTTTGGAGGAAACGAGACGAATTTCGCCTCTTTTGCGTAAAGAACTGACTTAATCTGTTTCGAGTTCCTATGTTTTTTGGATTCTTTTTTCTAAAATTGGGTTTTTTTTTTCGTTTGTAGAGGGTAAATCGATTGGAGAATGGCGAGTAATGTGGATGCAGCCGGAAATCCGATCCCAACATCTGCGGTGTTAATGGCATCGTCAAAACATATAGCATCAAGATGCCGAGACGCGAATGTGGCTTTTCTGAAATGCAAAAAAGATGATCCAAACCCTGAAAAATGCCTCGACAAAGGCAACCAAGTCACCCGTTGTGTTCTCGGCCTGTAAGCACAGTTTGTTTTTCTGAAATTTGCCATTTTTAGTGGGAAATATCTTATATCGAGGAGTCATTTTCAAGGTTATTTTGAGATATACTGGCTGCTTGGAGGATTTGTGGAAGTATGTGTGATCATGTTTAATGTAGTATTCGACATAAGGGTTTTCCTTGTGGAGTTGAATCTTGTGATGGAGTTATAGCTTATTCTACTGTTTTGTTATGCTACCAATTTGGATTCTTTGTCAATATTCTCCAGCTAATTACATTTTTGCTTGTATATGTAAGCCGTTTCTGTGTGAAAGCTTGTAGTTATGTGTCTCTTTCCCGTCTGTCTTTCATTGTGATTCATTACCTTATGTTCCTTAATATGTTGTGTCAAGTGAAGGGGTTTGAGTGATATGGAAACCACTTTGCTGTTCCCTTGAGACAACTTTCTTATCTATATATTGTATGAGCTTCTTCACTTAAAGGTTCTGGCTTTGTGTATGTGTCCAGTTTGTGGCCTTTAAGACTCCATCCCTCTTTTCGTTTTCTCTTGTTTCAAGTCCTGCAATTCCTACCATCCCGGTATCTATCATTCTTCACCAAATTAGAGGAAGAAATATGAATATTTACAATCAGCAAGTTGATTCTCGAAACTGTGTTCCAAAAGAGCAAGAGACTGTGATGCTCTTGTTCAAAATGACTGTAGTTTGCATGTGATTGTCGTGTCTAGGTACTAGAGAACTGCGCTTGTGAGTTCATCTCCAAAATATAAACTTTCTTGAATGATCATGTGATGTACATATATCTGTGGCAGATCTTTCTAGCATTGTGTAAATTATTGAGCAGCAGTGGCTTGTTATTGTTTGATAATAGGACTATGGATTAGGTTTTCTTATGGGATGGAGTGGAGGAAGATGGAGGCTGCAGAGCTTATCAGTCTTATCTCAATTAATAATTTTTAACCATATGTGCTTTCAATTTCATTGGTGCAAAACTATTCTTGAACACTAGTATCCTTATGACTAATCGTTGAAGTTTCAAAAGATCTAAGTTCGGCTAACAGGATCCATCAAGCGTGTTCGTTATACTAGTCTTTGAAATGATGAATTGTGTTTATTCTCCCTCTTGCTGCAATAACTGGTGTCAACATTAAGTTTGGTTGTTAACTGTTTTAAATTTGACAAATCATAAACTACGTGAAGGTCCTAATTTATTGATCATAGCTTCTCTTCACTATCTATACTGTAGAGGGAATTGAGAGACATCCCTATTGCATATGTATTTATGTGTATTGGATTTGCTTTTGTAGGCTGAAGGATCTTCATCAAAGGTGCACCAAGGAGATGGATGCTTACGCTGGATGCATGTACTACAACACAAATGAGTTTGAATTGTGCCGCAAGGAACAAAAAGAGTTTGAGAAGGCATGTCCCCTCTGAATGATGATGGCTGAACAAAACTCTGTATTTGATCTGCATTTTTAATAATTTCAGCACATGCACAACAAGCAGATGTTGTATGTTGGAAAAATTTTAGATGAGCTCCTTGATGAATGACAAATTTCAATTTTTGTTTGTTCAAAGAATTTAGATTATCCCTTAATTGACCTTCAAACTACTCTTTGTTTCTATATTCAAGATATACGCTTTGATTCCAGAGCATGCTTTTGAAAGAACATTTCCTATGGGTAACCTGTAGTTGTAGTTTTACTGTGTATTCAAAGGTTTATGCGGGTAGGCTATACAAGATGTAAAGTATAAATTTAACCACCACCTGAAAGTAGTACAATTTTATGAAATGCAAAAATAAGCTGGAAGTCCTCGGAATTAGATGACATCATACCTTAATCATTCAACCAGTTGAAATATGAATACTGAAACAATCCGAATAAATGAAAACAGAACCTTACAAAGCTGAATGTTTAAGCAGAATTGAAATATTACAGATTACTGCAATCTAGTTGCGCAAGGCCTAACCAATTAAAGCTAGAAACGTTAATGTCATTGCAATCCTGAGCAACAAGGAAACAGCATGAAGTCTGCAGGCTCAGAGGCAGACAGCTTGATAGAAAACACGTCATCTGGGACTGCACAGCCAAAAGCAACATATGTCAGGTTATCCGTCAACTTCTAGCACTGATATCAAAATTCAACAAGAAATTCTACCAACTATTCCAGCCGAACATCAAAATCCAGCATACCTGTAAGATCTAGAACGAGACCTGGATGGACTGCGTGACATCCTTCTAGGACTCTGAGACCTACCATCCACATCATGAACTCTGTGGCCTCTATCACCTCCTGGGCTTGGCCTGTCATGTTTCTCTTTGCGAGGAGAAGGTGAGTCTGAAAAGGATCCAGATTGCCTTGGAGACTTCTCATGGGACCTATAACTTCTCTCTTCCCTGGGAGAAACAGATCTAGATCCGTATTTGCCCTTTCTGGCACCACGATCCCTATCCCTATCAATTAGAGAAAGTGACTGCATTCATAAGTGTCACTGGAAAAGTTTAACAAACCATATTGAACAAGAAGCATACGGAAGGGTAATTAGTAACTATCAGCCTGCCGCTACAAACACATAATCCTCAATTGAGGGACAACTTCTCCAACTCAGCAAAAACCTTGCAACAAATTGATATTTATAGAGTAAAATATGCCAGAAAAAAGTCAAAGGAAGAGAAAAATGATAGCAGCTCCCGAATTTAATGATGAAAACACGACTTTTACCTGCATCTTCATAGTTTGACGGGGGAAATTACACACTTTCATCCAAACTACTGATTTAAAGCTTTATAGCAGTGAACAGATTGATCAGCATCAGATAACTTGAAAGCTCTCCTTGCCCCCAACTTATTATCTTTTCTGAGCCATTCTCAACACACCTCAATCCATATAACTTTGAAAAACCTTTGCTTCTTTGAAGATAATTTCTTTCTTTGGCCAACTATAAGCTCTAGATTCTTTCTTTAACTGGATAGTATGCAACAATAGAAAATCAAACACAACCAAAACGGTAAAAAAAAAAAAAAAAAAAAAAAAAGAACTTCTGCAACTGTAGACTATTCACACACCATTACAAACCGATTGGTTCTCCATGCCAGGTAGACAAATAAAATAAAAAAACAAACGACCGCATCAACAATGAAAAATCATCTGGCGAAGCAGGGATTTGTATGTAAGCAAGCACTCTTTGATTTTTGTGATCCTTTTTCTCTATAGTCTTTACAATTCCAGAATTTGTTAGGTCTCTTTCTCATATTAAGATCTGCATCCATAATGTCACTGGCATGCATCAATCAAATCCAGATGAATGCACGTAATTAAGAAGACCAGCAACAAGAACCATTGAAACGACAATCAACAAAAATCGAGTGGCAAATAAAAGCGTATCTCGTCGTACTGACCAAAAACAAGAAGATTGGGGTGTGTGTGTGTGTGTGTTGGGTGGGGGTGTTGGTATTCAATGTAAACAGAAAACATTGAGGAACTGCACTACAAAGCAGAAAGCAGCCAAGCACTTTTATAAAATAGTAAGTTCCATAGAACCAAACCTTGAGTCACGTCTTGCTGGAGAGGGGGAGGGTGAATATGCTGCCAAGAGAGAAAAACGAAAGTAACTAATCAACAATTGAAGGAAGCTGCATCTAATTTAATACATAAAGTTAGTGAAATCTGGTCATAAGATTATCTTAACTCGTGCATGGTAGATACGTTACACATACTCAATAATACAACCATCATTATGCAAAAATAACTACTTTGCCAATGGAGTTATACAACTAACAGAAAGTTATCTATCAAGGCGGATAAGCTCATCTTAGATGCGAGAACCAAAGTTCAAACTTACAGCCATGACGGCGCCTAGGAGACCTTGAAAGACTTCTCCGCCTGCGACTTCCTCGGTCACTATGTGATATAAAATAATCAAAGACAAACAGAAGAAAATAGAATAAGTTACTAATGATTCAAGCCAGCATCAAAGTCAGGCACAGAACGGATAACTAGAACAGTGAATGACAAACCTTGTGCGGGTCAATTTACGCATTTCTTGAGGAGTTTTCCTATTCTCTTCAGCGTAGACAATTCTTATTTCTCTTCCGCCAATGACAGTATGGTTCAACTGTGCCTTCGCCTGGGCAGCATCTTCTGAATGTCGAAATTTCACAAATCCAAAACCTCGAGGCTCCCTATGTTTTCCAATAAGAGAAATATCATCCACAGAACTCAATCAACCAAATTATAAGGAAAACATAAACATATATCTGAGAATGAGGTAATATACTAAGATCCTCAAAGGGATTATACGCACCCAGTGTAGTAATTCTTTGGTATATAAACATCCTTTATTGGACCAAACCTCTCGAACGGTTCCCTAAGATCTTCCGTCCTGCACGTGACAAGTATCAATTCAACTTTCCAATAGACAACAATAAATTTAAAGGTACATTGTACAATCTTGAACATAAGAGCAATTCAAGTAACCAAGAAGACAGACAAACACCGAATAACACCAGAAACTACCCAAAAAAAAAAAATCCATGTAAAACTAGATAGAACCAGGACAAGGACAACTTTTGAGGCATCTTAAATTCATTCCCTCAAGCACATAAGAACAATATCAATGACTGGAAATTCATGATAGCACTAAAACAAATAGAAACTCATAACCAATCCATTCAACAATTTCTATAGGTGATAAAACTTTCCCACAAAAACCTACGATTCTTTATTTCTCCAAACCCAACCGGTGCATGAGAGCACCAAAGAAGAAATTCATCTTGAAATTAAATAATACGACACTTGTTGATGATTGGAGCTAGAAAAAAAACTTGAATTGAAAATCTATTGATCGAAAAACTGCACCTCGCGCTGAGAGAGATGTTGCGAACAAGAAGGCCAGAAGGTGCAGGAGAGCTTCGGCGTTCTCGGCGATGGTCCCGGGGCTCGTCGTAATGCTTGTGCCTCGCCGGACTGTAGCTCCGGCTACGACTTCGGCTTCTGTACCTTCCCATGTCGGAATCTCCGTCGGAAATGGTCGAATTTTGGGGAAAATTCTTTGAAAACCCTAGAAGTGATAATTTTTGCAGAAATTGGATTCTGGAGCGCGGGTTTGTGTACTTTACCTGACGTTTTTGGAGGGAGATAAGCTTATTGCGTGTTGTTTTACCAAACTGCCCTTTTAAGGGGGAAAAAAAGAATTATTTTTTATCTTTATTAAATTAGTTTAGCACCCTTAAGTTTGCAAAAAATTATTTGAACAGTGCCCTAAAGTTTTCCACAATTTTCATTATTAAATTTAATTGGCTGAACCTGCTCAATATGTACATTATGTTGGAAAAATATAATAGACTTTAATAAATTGAGTTAGTACATTATGCAATCATTATATTCACGACCAAGTTTAACATGATGAGATCAAAGCATGCTGACCTTCTAATATCAATCAATTACTACTACGAACAATAATCTTTATTTTAAAGAAAAAAATCTTCATTACTGTTGCTTGAAATCAGCCAACTCTAATTAATACAAAATGACTGACGGGAGAGTACAGTCCCATTACAACTGTAAATAAAAAATAATATTTTCAACAACGAACAATAATCTAATTTCAAACAATCCAAATTGATCAGAGTGCTTCAAAACTTAGTCGACAACTAATTAAAACATACAGTATATGCAAAACTGTATTAAAAGTGAAAATTCAAATCGGATAATTAATTTTAGAACAAAGGGAGTAATTTTTACAAAAGTATTTAGAGTTGATTTTTGTGTGAGAAGAAAAAAATAAATAAATTTCCATTTGGAATGCATCTAAGATCATTTGCCTATCAAAATGATGTAGTTAGACTACATTTAAGCTACCAACCAAAAATAATAATTATTTTCTCTGTTCTAAAATTATTGTCTAATTTAAGTTTTAATTTTTTTATTATAGTTCAAATTAAAATTAAAAATTTAAAGTGAATAATAATTTCGATGGTACAAGATTTCGTTGCTTAGAAGAAAGAATTCACCTACCAGTTCGTTTTTGTAACAATCAATCAATAGTTATAAACTGCTGAAAAATAACTCTCCATTTCGCCTAGTTAAGTTTATAGTTTGCCCCTTTCAAGCTACTGCAAATTTTTGTCAAAAAAAAAAAAAAAAACTGATGCAAAATAAATATGCCCTTTTTGTTTTAAAAAATATAATTCAACAAATTAAACTCTTATTTTGGGATTGATGAAATATAATTTTATTTTTGCAAGTACAATGTCCAACGTAACTTACTACATCCCAAATCTATAGTACTTTCTTGTTTAAATTATTTCAAAACATAAGAAATTTTGATTTATAAATTCGGATTTAGTTAAACAGGTAGAAGCTAGCTCAACCGCCACATTAGCTACTTGGTCACTATGCTGTTGCTTCAAGACTTGAACTAGTGGATCTTCATTTTCTTTCTTTTTCAGTTTTCTCACATTTTTTAATAGTATATGATGAAAAGAAGAGCTAATTGTCAGTCTAGGGGTGTTCATGGTTTGGTTCAAACCGACGAAACCGTCCAAACCGGTCATCAGTTCAGATTAGCAGACGGTTTGTAATTGAATTATAAAACTGGTGGATTTGAAAATTAAAAACTGGTCATATCGGTCTAGATTACAGTTTGGTACTGTCAAACCGTCTGTTAAATCGGACCGAACTGTATCTATATTATTATTAAATAATAATATAATGGTTTTTGTATATATAGCTGTAAATGATAACTTATATATAGAAAATGTTAAGTTGTCTTATTGGCAACGAAATTCTCCCTACTCTTATATTCATTGGAGGTCCTGTGTTTAAGTCCCTCCCCAGTCACTAAATTCTTTTTTCTCATATTTTTCACCCAAACCAAATCCTAAATATCATTTTAAAAAAGCCCAAAACAAAACTCAAGAACAACCTAGAAAAAAACTCCCAAAAAAGATTGAAAAAAGATCTAATAACAAAAAAATGTTCAATTTATAACCTAAAAACGGAAAAATCTAATTAGAAACTCAAACCGTCCAAACCAAACTGTTCAAAACGGATTGGATTGGTCCGTTTTAAGTATCAATCCGGTCCGATTATAATTTGAAAAATTTAAAACCGTAAGTAACGGTTTAGTTATGGATTAATGGTAATTCGGACCAATATGATCTGTGAACACCCCTAATTGTCACTATTATTCTACATGGTGATGTAAGTACTCAAATGTCATGATGAATAGAAGTTTCTCATTGACATGCTATTTCAACAATTTACTTCTATTGCCGTGAAATTAATTATGTGCCATGATTACTATCCTACGAAACACATTCCTTCCTCTTTTTTCTTTCTTTTTTTTTTTTTTCAAGTACATTGAATGAAACATCAAAATTTGGTAAATTCTGTTCCATGATAAAGGGTTGTAATTGTCTTCATTGGAAAAATAAAAGATTTCTGGTAAATTATATGCTCCAAGATATAAGGGTTGTGTCATTTGTCAATGTCAAAAATATATTCCATGAACTTTGGCTCTTGGTATTCTTCAACAGCCAGAAACAGTGGAATAATTCCTCGTCATTTCCCCCCCTTTTTTATTTTTATTTCTTTTTGTCATTTTAATTCCTAAATTTATCGACCATAAGATTTGGTAACTAGTTATTGGGTATCAATAAAAAAGTTACTGTTCCCAATTATTAGTCATGAAGGTTTTAAGAAAGTAAATAAAATTACAAAACAACCCCAAATCAATGAACAAATTGCACAACAACCCCAGTTATTGATTAATCCGGCGATTAAATACCTCAAGGTCTAGAACAAATGTGACTCTAGCTGCATCAAAGTTTTGACCGTGTCACACATGGAAGCCAAATCTTCAAAATTTTCAATCACATTTCACGAATTTTACTTTATTTATTTTCTTTTGTTGTTGAAAAACTATATATTTTAGTGGAAAAAAAATTGTTAACAGTGTGTACATCATCGTGAAATTGGATCAATGGTTAGATGTAAATATAGTAAAAAATTATATATTAACTAGTTAAAGAAGTCACAAAAATAAGTTTAAAAGAATGAGTAAAAGGTACGAAACAACAATATCATGAAAGCTAAAAAAAATAAAAAAATAAAAAAACCTTAAGTATGCTGGTGGAAGTTAAAAAAAAAAAAAAATCGCCTTGTCTCCTCATATTAGTTAAACAAAAACACACAAAATAAAAATAAGACAAAAACAACTGTATATAAAAATAATGATAGTCCACTTAGGTTAAAAATTTGCTTTATTTTTTAACAATCGGATTTCAAATCCTCCAATCTGGTGAGTCAGTTAAGAGTGACAGAGTTTATCCATCATTGATGGAGTGTAATCGGATTCACTTCTCTCATTTGGTTTGCAAAATGCAATGTAAAAACTTTTAAGGTTGTCAAAAATCATACAAATTACTAGTTTAGAGGGAGTATTATCAATCTGTGCAAAGTAAAGGAGGCATGTTGAAATTTACTTCTAATAAAAAAAGGAATCTGATGGCCTACGTGTCACCACCTAACGCCACCATCCCCAACCGTTGACTACAACAGCTGACCTTTCTCTCCTCCTCCCCCACACCAACTAGAACCACCGCCAACCGCCCTGTGACTTTCCCTCACCTAAAAAATTTCTTTTCAGAATTCTGCATTTTTTTTTTCTGTGAGGCATTTCATCAAACAGTTATAGATGGATGACTCCATTTCACCACCCAAACCTGAAGAAACCCAGCAGCCTCCTCCAATGGCTTCCACAATTTCCTCAATTGTGGAAGACCCCACCACCCACATGCCATCGGTTTTTGATTGGTCGGCTTTCCTCGACTTTGACTTGGACGAACAGTTCAACTCCATACCTTTCCCCATCGCCGCCGGCGATGAGGAGCAACGGCAAGAGACGACCGACGCCGTTCCCATCTCCCCATCGTCTGAATTGGAAGCCCTTTTGCCTCCGGCGGATGATCTGGGCCGGGTTAGGAAGAGAGACCCGAGGCTTGTGTGCTCCAACTTTTTGGCTGGTCGGGTTCCTTGTGCTTGTCCGGAGCTTGATGAGCAATTGGAGCAGGAAGAGGTGAAGAATCTTGGTGGGCCTGGCAAGAAGAGGGCCCGGACTGTTAGGCTTCCGGCCGGGTCGCCGGCTCGGTGCCAGGTTCCGGGATGTGAAGTTGATATCAGTGAGCTTAAAGGGTATCACAAGCGGCACCGGGTATGCCTGGGTTGCGCCAATGCTAGTTCCGTTGTCCTTGATGGACAGAGTAAGAGATATTGCCAGCAATGTGGGAAGTAAGCTCAAGCTCTTAGTTTTATGAATTTATCATACTTTTTGCTTTTGTTGAAAGCTTGAAACTTTTATGCATGGTTACCAAACTTTTTGCACGTCATTCAGTGAAAGCGTCAGCTAAATGCCATGAAACATGTGCATTAAATGCATTCAGGATCATATTACATCAGATGAGCTAAATATGAAATTTGATATTTGAGAGTGCTTGATTTTGTGTATCAGCACCAGTGAAGTAGAGTTATGTCAACTTTTTTACAGGTTTTAACGGCTCATCATAGGCTCATGGATTGTTGTAGTTCTTGGATGAAATGTAATTAGTTAAACTGTATTGTTTACTTATCACTCTACACACTTTATATCATTTCTTTATGGTAAGATTAAAAAGGTATTGTGCTTAATGCCATCCATTTTACTTAATGGTTAGTCTTACATGGAGATTGTTTTGGTAGGTTTCATGTGTTGTCGGATTTTGATGAGGGCAAACGCAGTTGCCGGAGGAAATTAGAGCGACATAATACTAGACGACGAAGAAAGCCCCATGATGGCAAAGGCGGAGTTGGAAAAGAACATCAACAGATTACACTGGCTGAAGATGTCAGTTGTGATGATGATACAGGGAAAGGTATCATTAGTTTCATACCTAATTTGGAGCTGAAAATATCAGTCGTGCTTTCATTCCCAATTTTATGTGTTCTGTGTTTTAGTTGTATTGCTCTTATTATTTTGTTCATAATCTGATATCCCGTGGTTAATAAGAATAGTTCCCTCCTCCCTCCTCCATCACACAAAACCCCCGTACTGAAGTAAAGGAAAATGTATTTACCCAACTTATAGGGCACCTTGGATCCTGTAAAAGCATGCATTTACTACGTTTCTGAGTTTGTTTTACATGCTAAAAAGGATCTTGTATGATACAGATAGCACATGCTTGAGCAATGAAACCCTGGAGAAAGATACACAATTGGAATCTGAAGGGCAACAATCAAACCCCTCCTCAGCTCATGGTTCACAAGATATTCAGAATAGTAGTCCTCTAACTATTGCAACATTTAGTGAAACCCAGATTGACAGAGAAAAAGAAAATCCTAATTCCAGTCACTCCCCATCCTACTGTGACAACAAGACTTCTTTCTCTTCTATGGTCAGTTTAGATTTACTGTGTTGCTTAAGATTTTACACTGGCCTTCTTCTTGGGAGCTCACTGAAATATTCATTTCTGGTTTTTTTTCTTTTTGCAGTGCCCTACCGGTCGGATCTCTTTCAAGCTTTATGATTGGAATCCTGCAGAATTTCCTCGGCGCCTACGGCACCAAGTATATAAGGATTACTGTTACAGTTTAGTATATAACAGAGAGGATTATATATGTTTCGATACCAGATGTTGGGATTTGGTTAACTGAATTTTAAAATTTATCGCAGATATTTCAATGGTTAGCCAGTATGCCTGTTGAATTGGAGGGATATATCCGACCTGGCTGTACAATATTGACAATGTTTATTGCAATGCCAAGTTTTATGTGGTTTAAGGTAATTTGATTTTTCGTTTTTCTTAATGCCCTTGTTTTTGTGTAGAATCCAAACTATGCTTTAGTTATAGCAATATTTACAAGCATACTCGAACATTGTTGTTTGACATGTGATGCTCAGTTTCTGGTAGTTTTTGTTACTAATCACGGAAATGGTTTTAGTGAGATTTTGTGGACCTTTTCCTTAGTCTAACTCGTGCTTTTAATTCCATTGAACAGTTATGTGAGGAGCCAGCTGCACACTTGCATGACTTGGTTATCTCTCCTGGAAACCTGTTGTCCGGGCGAGACACTTTTTATGTATATCTTGAAAACATGATCTTTGGTGTAATGAAAGGTGAGTTAGCTGGTGCAGTACTCATGGCAGAGCTCTTAGCGTTATTAATTTTAAATCAAAGCCCTTCATTCATAGATGATCTTCAGATTTATAACTTCGTAATTTTATTAACATCTTCCAGTAAGGAAAGGAAAAAGAACCCATGTTGCCTAAGTAGGTTGCTAGAGTTTCTTGGTACTGTTGTCTCTCATAGCTTCTCACCAAAAAAAATGGAAAAAGTGAAACTGCTACCTGAAATAGAAGGAAAATGGATATTGATCAAAAATATTTTTTAAATTTGTGCTCAATTATTGTGGAGCAATTTGTCATTTACCTTTACCGCTGGTGGTTCAATTGCTGAATATTGAGCAAGATATCTTAAGAGGTAGTGAATTATGATTGCTTTCTGTTTTATGGTAACAGATGGGAATTCTGTTATCAAAATCAAGGTGAATGAACGAGTTCCAAAGCTTCATTATGTTACTCCAACGTTCATAGAGGCTGGAAAACCATTGGAGTTTGTTGCTTGTGGAAGTAATCTTCTTCAACCTAACCTTAGGTACTGCATTGCTTGAAGAGTTTGAAAAAACTAAACCTTGTCTACGGATACTAAAGCTTCACCTAGGTGGCTAGGTTATCCGTTTTTACATTTATAGTAGCTTATATCATGGTTTTAGCTGATAAGAATGTTACTATTTACCTTCTTTGACCTTTAGTGCTATGCACGACGTATAATAGATTTGTGTTGTAAACAAGTTGTTTTGATGATGATATCAGAAGGCTGTTGCTAAAATTGCTAAGTGTTTGTCTCTTAATGTGCAACGTCTGCTGACAGGTGGATAATTTGTGGAGTGTTTTTTGCTGTATGTACCTTAATATTGATGTCTATGACAGGTTCCTGGTATCTTTTGGTGGGAAGTACCTTTCACATGATGTTTATGTTCTGCCACCGCAAGGTAAGAGTGAAGGAGATTCTGATAAATCAAATCATCAGTGGTTGAAGATATGTGTTCCTAAGACCGAAGCCGATCTCTTTGGCCCAGCTTTTGTTGAGGTACTACTCCTGGTCATTACAATACTTTTTGGTAGTTTAGCTGGTTGTTGTAATATCAGTTAACCTGTTTACATCAACACTTATATATGGATCAACAGAGTATAATTGAGGATGTTTAAACATACTGCAACTGACCGTACCCTTTAATTTTTACTTGATTAGATAAAGGATGGGCATGTAATTTTAATGTCTTTGTTTGGATTTATCATTTTCCATTAGAAAAGATGGATTCTCAACTTGATATTCATATCTTTAAAATTTTGTATACTGTAGGTTGAGAATGAGTCTGGTCTTTCCAATTTCATTCCTATACTCATAGGAGATGAAGAAGTTTGTGCAGAATTGAAAGTGATTCAGCAAAGATTTGGTCTTTCCGTGGGTAGTGAAGGACCAGAGTATCCAACTTCTAATACATGTGAAGTTCCCATCTTCGAGCAAAGAAAATTCTTAGATTTTGTAATGGATGTGGCATGGTTGCTGAAGAGGCCACTTTTAGAGAAGATGCAAACTTTGACATCTACCCAGATTAGAAGATTCAATCATGTACTAAATTTCTTAATGGAAAACGAGTCTACCGCGATATTGGACAGAGTGGTTAATCATGTAAATGCTATGATGGATGACAATTTTGTTGCTGCTGATATTGCTGCTACTGAGATCGAGCTCTTTTGGTTGAATCTTGATAAAGCAAGAGATATTATCTACCGGGAATCGGAAGGGAAAGGACTTTCAAAAAATTATTCTAGAAAATCTGGACTGGGGAAGAGTTTGGTTCCTCAAAGCTCCAAGAAGATAGCAACGAACATTTCGTCTAAACATCAGGTGACTGTTGTTTGCTTTCTGTGCACTGCAAGTTTTTGTGATGATGTCTGTGGATGACTGATTGTGAAATGGATTGCCTGCCTGCTGATGTTAGCTGTTCAGGCAATTGTTTTTCGTATTAGTTATGCAGCCGTACATTCATTTGACCTGCATTTGTATTTGCATCATTTGAAACTCTAATCTCGCTTTTGCCTTTCCATTTTATCAGGTGTTTTACCTTCTTGGATGCTTTTGTTGCATGTTCTTTCTTGTTACTTTTACATTTTGCCTTGGTAGACCTTAAAGTGGGGTCTCCAACACTACTGGTTTAACTTTCTAGTCCTCTTCTGCTGAACGAAATGATGGCTTTAATCTTGTAGGTTACGGAGCCAATGAATGAACAAAAGTTAGCTCGAAAGGTTTCAACATCTTTCGCGGGATGTACAACTGTCCCTCTTCTAAATGGGGAGGTGGTTATGAGTGTAGCCATTAGAGAGCGACCTACAAAATCTTGCACTCCTCTTCTGACTAGAACGGTTTTCTCCTCTCGAACTCTTGTTTTTGCTGCCACTGCTGCAACTGTTTGTTTAGGACTCTGTGCAGTTGTTCTTCATCCCGATAAGGTCGGTGTAGTGGCGACTACTATCCGGAAGTGTTTGCTTGAGAATCCTTAGGGTAGGCAGAATCTGTACAACTAAGGAAGAGTTGTAAGTTTGTAACTGCTATATAGGTGTAATGGTACTGTAATGTATACTGTACAGGATGGCATGAAGAATTAGCTCGGTTTTGTTGATGCATGCCTTTCACGGTGGTGCTTGAAACGGAGCTCTTTCTGATTATCACTGTGTGCAAGCACACATGTTTTGTTGCCCAGTCACTGACCAATTGGAATGCAGTTTAACATGGCGAAGAGTCGAGGATTCTGGTGCTGATTGTAGAAAGAGTGTATAGCTTTTAGAAGGCTGTTTCGCAACGCCATTCTGTAGTATAGTTTGTTGCGATACATTAACAGAGTGCAGTCCTCTTACCGAGTACACTACATCTGCAACTTTGGCATTGAGAGAAGAAATCATATCGGAGAAGACAAGATTTCATTGCACCAAGAATCGACTGAAATAACTGTCATGGCTCACTGCTGTGTAGCAGAAGCTGATAGATTCATTTACTTTGAATTCAATTTATGATCTCTTCTTGTCGTCTGCCTGTAAGTTTTTGGCTTTCAAGCTGACAGTAAATTGATATGATAAGTATTAAATTGAGTTGGTATTTATCAAGTTGGGCATGAAATTTAGTAATTAGCCTTTTTCAGAATGAGCTAAACATGCTTGCTTGATCTGTTAAAGCTGTTATATGGATTTTCATGAGTGTAACTGGTGTTCACCCGGGTTTGGTCTTGGTGGGTCCATTTAACACTTCTGTCTTTGCTGGACCAATAGAAAATCTTTGGATTACACGAAGTAAAAAAATTTCACAAGACAAATATAGGGTAACTAGAGTCGTACTGGAGTAGTTCTTACTACTGCATACATCATGATAGGTGTGTAATAGAGTCAATGTCAAGAAGGAACTCTTTCAACAGTAAAACATTACCCATGTACACAAGTAACAACAATTGGTAATCAGATAGCAACGAGATCAGTTCGAATCTAGATTAGTCGGAATATTATATTCGGACATAGGTGTTATAGTGTGTATATCAAAATAAAGGGTGGATATAAGATATTTTTGGTTGATATATACTGAAACTCATAGAGGAACAACTTCTCTCATAGAAAAACTGAAGTATGGTGCTGATATAAGGCAAGCAAAAAGAATTCGGGCTCACAATTGAAGGTATGTTTTACATAGTAACGATCTAGTCATGTTCCATACTTCTATATAAGTTGTTGAAAATCTTAAGCACTGGTCTTGTAACTTTTTCTTTTTTTATTAATAAAATTGGGTATGCCCGCCATGTACCCAAAAAAAAAAAAAATTGTTGAAAATCTTAACCAGTTCTCTTTTTTTTCCTCTTAGTTTGAGTTTTTCGTGTCGAAAGATATTAATTAATTAGTTTTTCATATCTTATAATGCGTCATTTTTTGAGTTTCTCTCCATCTCATAATTATTGTCCAGTTTAAATTTCATTTTTAATTCAAATTGTAATAAAAGAGAAATCTTTTGGGACAGATGGAGTATTTGGAAGGCCTTGTTGCAAATTGCTGCATTAGTGACTTCTGAGGATACTCTTTAGATAACAGCTGTTGAGATTTCTGGATTGATAGTAACCACTTTTGATTAAGTGTTATATATATATATATATATATATATATATATATATTTTTACTATACGAATTCCAGCAGCTTCATTTGTCCAAGTAAAATTATCTTGTGTGTCTTTATCCATCTGTGGGGCATGAAAATTGGCTGTTAAACCATTGGGTCTTTTAGGGTTTTTTCTGGAAAGACCATCCTAATACTAGCTAGCTCTTATAATATGTGGACTTTTTAATGCTTGATGATTGGCCATTGATGTGTATCGATTAAAAATCTTTTGAATTTTTTTTTTGGTTTTTGGTTGGCTTTATACTTGTATTCTACTATCAACTTGTCATTATGTTTGTGAACAAAAATCAGAAATAAGCAGAACAAGACAAACAAAATCATTCCTGATAAATTTCATTATTTCAAAACAAACGACAGAAATAAAATCAGATGAGCAATTTTTTTTATTTTTTTTTATTAAAACACCGTGGTTTTCCGAGACATAAAACCGCTTGTTGATTCTTGTCTATATTAGACCATGTTGATCAATAATGAAAGATTAGGTCATCTTCCAAGAAATTCATCATTCATGGTAATTTACAGTTCTTCCTCAATACTACTAACAAGTTTAACTGTTTAAGTTAAGATTGAAGCACTAAAACGGGGTACTGCACAAAGGTCTAGTTTTGGTATATAAGTTGCGTCTTAAAAAGCATTTTCTGTGATCATTTTGAAAATCCCATTTGAATACCTAAGACATTATTTTTAGCCACCTCCATTACTTGCCGTATGATGATACAGATTTTGTGTTTAAATTATTGCAAATTGAACATATGTTAGCTCAATCGTATACTTTCGTTATATGTGCTCGTTTGACTGTGATAAAAACTTCTTAATAAGACATACGAACTCAACTATTTCAATGGACGTATAATGCAGGATCGTCATTATTATACTCCCTTCGATTCTTATTATAATGTATTTTTGGTTTGAACTTTGAAGCGGGCAATGAAAACGAGCATCCGCCCAATAACTTAATGGGTCACCCAACAAATATCGGTGAGCTCACGAACTCCTAGATGTCCCGATGGACTTATTATAATACATTATGTTTTGTCTTAATTTTTACATAGTATGTTTTTTAATTGAATTTTTTCTTAGAAAAAATACATGTTCATATTCACTGTGTTTTTCTAATTATTAAAAAATATTTTAAAGTTTTATTTGTGATTGGAAAAATATATTAGGTAAAACTCAGACAAATCAAAATGTCTTATAAAGACAGGAGCGAGTATTAAATAATGCGTTACTCCCTCCGTCCCATAATTATTGTCCAGTTTGAGTTTATATTTTTAGTTTAAATTGTACTAAAAGTGAAATCTGAAACTGGACAATAATTTTGGGACAGTGAGAGTACTATTTGTATATAACAATGAACTCAGAAAAAACATTCGTCCCCCTTAATTTGACCACATTGAATGAACAAAAATGAATCTACCTAAAGAAGATGCTTTCTTTCTTCCTAAAATTCCTTCCAAAACTCCAGCCACATCAGATTTACATATGCAAACAACGTAAGTGATTAACAATTGGGCAGGATCCAGATTTCTCAGATTCAAACTCTGACCAGACCACACGTCAGTGACAGCTTTTTGCCATCCTTCCCAAATCAATCATTAATGATTCTTCCCAGCTTTTTTTTTTTAAAAAAAAAAAAATTTAAATCTTCTTAAGATCAAGACAATGGTCATAAATATCTAGCCGTAAAGGTTCAATTTTTTTATGATTTAGTACTAATAATTCAGTACTGCATGGTACTACTGCTGTTATCAGTTTTACGTGTATATAAACAGCTTCAAAATGACCCTTTCTTGGGCTCATCCCAATTCTTTTTGTGTACAATTTCATGTACACCCTTTTTCTGTTTCCTTAGTTTCATTCTTTGAGGGATATAGTAAAGTTAGGGGGATTTTTTTTTTCTTCATCATCTTCTTAATAGGGGTAGCTTAATTGCAGTTAGGTTGGTGGTATAATGGCTATTGATCAGTGCAAAGATATTGAAAATGGTTATGGACAAAAAGGGCTTGAAGATTTGGAGCAGCCCTTTATTCAAAAGAAGAAGGTTCTGGATTCTGTTGATGATGTTGAGGTCAATGCTAAGAGTAATGGATCAATTGCCATGGTCTTATTGAGTACCTGTGTTGCTGTTTGCGGTTCATTTGAATTTGGCTCTTGTGTAAGTATCCTCTAACATGTTCATCTTTTCCCCTCTGTTTTCTTCTTTGGATTGTGGAAAAGAAAATAATAAAAATCAGTTCTTGAAAAGTTGAAGATGATATGTGTTAACATGGTTCTTCTTTTTTTCTTGTTGTTTTCGTCATCTCTTCTGGTCAGGAGAGTCAGGACCTCGAAAAATAAAAGAGCGAAAAATGGTTTGTTTAGCTTAAGTTGAAACTTTTTTTGCAGGTGGGCTATTCAGCTCCTGTTCAATCTGAGATAAGGGAAGATTTGAAGCTAAGTATAGCAGAGGTAATGTTTTACAACATTGAAGAAGTTGCCATCTTTAAGTTCATTATGAATGGAGCTTAGTGTCTCATTCTGTAGTACCAATTCTGCAGTACTCCATGTTTGGTTCAATTGTAACAATTGGTGCAATGATTGGAGCTATCACAAGCGGCAGGATTGCAGATTTCATTGGCCGAAAAGGGGTATGTATTCATTGAAAGATCAGATTTAACACCTGGAAAAATCATAATATTTCTGAGCTGAAGAAAATATAAGAGATAACTTTTTCTTCATGTGAACTTTTGGTTAGGCATTGAGACTGTCATCTGTCTTCTGCATTACTGGATGGCTTGCAGTCTATTTTGCTATGGTACGTGTCTGCGAAATATGAACCTTCTACCTTGTTAAGTGTCCATGTATCTGTTGTTTTTGTGTAAGAATTATGCTGAAATGTCATCTAATTTCCGGTTCAGGGTGCTTTACTTCTAGATGTTGGAAGGTTTTTAACAGGATTTGGGATCGGAATTCTTTCTTATGTTGTAAGTCTTTTTGGTTATTCTCTGAACCACCTGAAAGATTTCAACTTGACTGCACACAGAATATGAGTAGAATCTAATTCTGTTTCCGCCCTATGTGACCCATTGACTAGGTTCCTATATTCATAGCTGAAATTGCTCCAGAGGATATTCGCGGAGGCCTAGCAACCTTGAACCAGGTAAGATAGACAGACAAAATCTTACATTCTTTTCTTAACTTTCACAAAATCCCTGACAGTCATCTGTTTCTTCTGCAGCTCATGATTGTCATTGGCTCATCGGTTGCTTTCTTACTTGGATCAGTTATATCGTGGCGCTATCTAGCCCTGATTGGTAAGCCTGGAAAATGTGTTAAATTGTTAATGCATTTGAAAAATGGGCACAGAAGATGATTATTGCTTTGTTGCTTGAAGGTATTCTTCCATGCATTGTCCTACTCTTGGGCTTATTCTTGATCCCTGAATCACCAAGGTGGCTGGTGAGTTTAACAGCACTAAGTGATCTTCTTGAACTCGATTTTTCAATCTGAAATGCTGTACGGTGACCTAAAATATGTTTGCAATTTTCAGGCAAAAGTAGGCCGTGGAAAGGATTTCCAGGCGGCCTTGCGAAAGCTTCGAGGCAAAAATGCTGATATCACTAGAGAAGCATCTGAAATCGAAGTATATTCCTCTCTGCATATTCAACAAGTTTAACCTTTGATGCAGTTGATTTTAGACTAAGACCCATAATAATGATTTCATTGGCAGGCCTATCTTTTGACCCTCGAAAGTCTTCCAAAGTCGCGATTACTGGATTTGTTTGAATCAAAATACATACGTTCTGTGATTGTAAGAACCTTTCTGATCCTGCACCATCCAATATTAATGGTTTTTAACATTTTACAATGATCTTATAAGAGTCTTACAAAGTTGAACCTTTTATGCCAGATTGGTGTTGGATTGATGGTATTCCAACAGTTTATTGGAATAAATGGAATCGGTTTCTACGCCAGTGAAACATTTGTAGCTGCAGGTAATGTCGATCTTCAAAGGTTATTACTTACCTTTAACCAATGAATACTCAGCTGGAGATTAATTCTATTGTCAAACTTCAGGGCTTTCTTCAGGAAAAATTGGAACAGTAGCCTTGGCGATAATTCAGGTCTGTTGAATGTTGATCATCTATCAGGGTTACTTGGAAAAAGAAAAGTGTCAGAATCAGAATCTAATATCTGTTTCAATGGTGATCTTTTTCAGGTGCCATTAACTATTATCGGCGCGATTTTGATGGACAGATCTGGAAGAAGACCACTCCTTATGGTGAGCATTTCATCATCATTTGGCTAAAACACACAATGTTTGGTGTCAAACAGAGCTTTTACAAAAATCAATCATTTTTACCAGGTCTCAGCAGCAGGGACATTCCTAGGTTGCTTCTTGACTGGTGCTTCTTTTTTCCTCAAGGTAAAAAAATCCACACATTCGCAGCAAATATGCACTAAATTTTCAAGCCAGATGCATCAATTTGATTGAATTTCGTCCGTTTGCTATTCAGGGACAGAACATGATGCTTGAATGGGTGCCGGTTTTCGCTGTAGCTGGCATTCTGGTATAAACCTCAAAACCATTAACACATTTTCATTTGATACAGATGTTGCAAACCATCATTGAGAAACTAATGTCAAAATCTCATTTTGATCAGATTTACATATCAGCATTCTCAATCGGAATGGGACCTGTTCCATGGGTGATAATGTCAGAGGTAACTTGAAAGCTGTTACATCAACTCAGAAATTTCCCAATGCCTAAATCAGTGAGATATACACATGAAAACTCAAAACCTCTTCTTGAATCTGTACAGATTTTCCCTATTAACATTAAGGGTGTTGCTGGAAGTTTGGTGGTACTAGTGAACTGGGCTGGTGCTTGGGCAGTTTCCTACACTTTCAATTTCCTCATGAGCTGGAGTTCTACGGGTAAGCCAAAAAATACAAAGTCCTGTGTTCCTAAAAAGAACAAAAAAAAGGGAAATTATTCCTTCTCAATACTAACTGATCTGGGGCCAAAATTTCCCTGGTGACAGGAACATTCATGATTTACGCGGGTTTTTGCGCTCTTACTGTACTATTCGCCGCGAAAATGGTGCCCGAAACAAAGGAGAAGACGCTTGAGGAAATACAGGCAGCCATTAACTCATAAGTTTCATTAGAGATTTAAGAAGATCCCTGTAGCTAGAGAACATTGGCAATAGTGGAGTGGCTCAAAAATCATATTTTTCCGGAGAATTAGTGATCACTATTATTAGCATAGGACTATAGTTTGTCAATCGGGTACGGGAAATGGATTGTAACATCGAGGTTTGAAGATTGCAATCCAAAAAAAAAAGAGAATCGACACCAAAGGTTATCCCACCATTCAAGACCATTTTTTCACATTCACAAGGGTAATTCTGCAAGAATATGCAATCAGAGAAGTCGTCCACAGTACAGAACAAAATTAACTATTATTTCCTCCGTCCCAAAATGATGCTGAAAAAAAGAAAAAACCTAAAGGACAATGATTAGGAATTGCAGAAGTTTTGATCCAAAGCATTTTCATTTGTTTCTTTTTGGGTTCCCCCATTCAATCTAGTATCTCCGTTTCTCCCTTTGAAGGAATAATTGAATTAGTAGTTCTTATTTTTCTTAGTAAAATAAACTTGAATCCGCTATTCATTTATTAACACTTTCACATATCTAATGGGAGTGGTGTCATTTTTCTTTCATTCCTTCTCTTATAATAAAAGTTTCTGAATTGAAGTATCTACCAAAAACTATATTCCACATTGTAGAATGACAAAGTCATTGTACAAATTAACATAAGGTTTCATGCAGCTAGCTAGCAGGATGCAAGGGATACCCTCGTCAATGAAATCCTGATATGGGGAAAAGTTTGTGATGTTATGAGAATATTCATTGGATTCTGGAATAAAAGGATAGATAAAATTTGAGGAAGCATCCCCTAGCTATATATGGTATTGTGGGGGGGGGGTACCATTTGTCATTATTTCTTGCACCATAAATAGTTTTGAGATAGTACTCCCTCCGTCCCATAATTATTGTCCAGTTTGAGTTTTCATTTCTAGTTCAAATTGTACTAAAAGTGAGATCTCAAACAGGACAATAATTTTGGGACAAAGAGAGTATATGGTTTGAATTGAAATGTACTAGTATATCATTTTTTTAAATTTTTTTTTTTCAATTTTGCATAACTTTCTCTCCGTTCAAGATGAAAACATTATTAAAACTCATTGATATAACATGAGAGTGCATGAAAACTCACTGAAAACGGCCGTGGGAAGTAATGTACTTTGGTCGTGATTGTGCTGTTATATTTTGTCAATTCGACGTAAAATACTAATTAAATGTGTCACATTTGTAAATATTGGGGACTAATGTGGCAGCATTGTGAAAATACGCACCCCCAAAGTCCCAAACTAATAAATTCAATATTCTTACCTGGGCCCTTTTCCGTTCCAGTTGCCGAAATTGGATCAAAATCCAAAATTAACATGTGATCCAATAAAGGAGTATTGAGTTGAATGATCAGAGAGAAAGAGAGCCCAATTCAAAAGCATGATTTTTATTTTAGCCCGACCCAGCGGAGAGATTTTGCAATCAAGCCGAGCGGTTTCCTAATTAGTCCTTCTCTCCCAAAATTATTCTTCAATTTAGATTTTCATTTTTCGTTTAAATTTTCCCCTCGTTAATACAGGTTAAAAACTAAAAATACTCCTTTCATTTTAAAATATAAATCATTTTAGACTTTACACATAAACTAAGGAGATAATCATTCTACAATTAATTTATGTATTAAATACCTATTTTAACCCTAATTAATTACATTGAAACTATAAACAAAACTAAATAAAAATAGACTGGCATTATTTATTGAGGGTAAATTTGCATTAATTTGCCTTGAAATGCTAAAACGACTTACATTTTGAAAAATTTCTCAAAGTCTAAAACGAAACATTTTGAAATGGAGGAAATATGTTTTCCTTCCATTAAAAAAATGACTTTCAAAGTGTTATTAATTTTTATTTTTTTTTTTTTACAATGAAAGAGGCTGAAGTCTAATTAATTGAAACCACAATACTGCGTGGATATGAAATTAAAGATATCGAGTTCCAACCGTTGTAATATATTTATATTTTCAATATATTAGAGCATTTTTACGTTCCAAATGAGAATTTCAAAAGTTTCAAACCGTCTCTAAAAATTATAAAAACTATATCTGCATTAATTGGATTTTTTTTTCAGATGATTTAAAAGTAATTAATAACTAGCTTATAATTGAAATTTTAAGGGTTTTTCTTACATAAAAAATGAGAAATTGAAGAAGTCCACAATCTTACATTAAAAAAAAAAAATCGAGAAATTGAAGAGGTTCACAATTTAATTTAGAATGCATGTATCATGTACTATGATGTATCTCATTAATTAAAAAAAATTTATCTCATTAATTAAAAAAAAAAAAACTTAAGACGGAAGAAAAGGAGGACAAAAAAATCTTGTTCAAAAATTCCCAGTTCCCAGGTCCCATGTAATATAGTACACAGTAGAGAGTACACATGTCCAACCATTGTGAACACTCAGACACCGTTCGCTTTTATATGTGTTTTCCTTGCTTCCTCGTCATCATCATTTCATCCCACCATTTTCATTCAATCCTTCTGAAAATATCCTCCGAATGAACGTTTTGGTGATCTTACGTCACTGCTGACATCCCTATTGACCGACTTTTGTTTTTCTTGCAGCCCCCTTTTTTCAATTAAGTTCTGATTTACTATGGAAATATTTTTTCAGTTTGAGCCCAAGTCATAGCTGAAGTTGCTGGTGGTTCTTAACTACCGACCCTTTTGATTGATTGCTTGTTTGAAGTGAGTGGTGTACATTTCTTAGCTTGTTGAATTTATATTCATGCTTTATGTTGGTTTTGATGGTATATTGCATTTGTGTGTTTTTGCTGTGTTTTTCCAGGGGATATGTCGTGAGTTTTGAGGGCTCAATAAAAGGTTAACTACATTAGTTTTTATGGTAAAAGGGTGATTAGGTGGTACAAGGAGATATTTTATTTCCCTCCCTGTAGCTTGCTAAGAAAGAAGGGTTTTTTGTATTGGGGAATTAAAAGGAAGTTAGGCTGTTGAGAAGTGATCTCTTTTGTGGGTTTTTATTTGGGAGGTTTATAGTGAAGTGTGGTGAAGAGCGTTTTTAAAGATGAACAGGCGGACTAGAAGGTGGTCTAGTGCTAGGGAAAGGTGTGATGAAGAACCTACCGTTCTTGATCATGAAATAGCACATCTAACGAAAAGTTTGTCAACCCCACACAAGCATTTCAGAAGAGTGTTACCGGGCAAGGTGGCATTATCAGTTTCACCAGTAAAAATGCTGGGTGGTAGAGAGAGCAATTTTTCTGGAAGAGGGAGATTCATGGCGCGGGATTGTTGTCATCTAGAGAGTCGATATACACCTGTTAATCGCCACCCTTCAGTTGTTGATAAGATGCACAGCGGTGCATACATTTCGCAGTTTTCGGAGGATGGTTCTCTGTTTGTCGGAGGATTTCAGGTATGATTGACATTCTTCTGAAAAATTAATGATTTTGCTGGGATGAAGGGAGAAATTTTTGTTTTTCCTTTTCTCTCTGTTTTTGTCTTGTTTTGCTTTTGTTTGTTTCTTTGTTTTTGTTTTTTTTTTTTTGGTTTTCGATGGTGGTTAGGCTTTGTAGCTTTTTATATGGGTCCAAAATGATACTTTACTGTTCTATTTCGTAGGATAGTCATATTAGGATCTATAATGTTGATCGAGGATGGAAAATTCAAAAGGACATACGAGCTAGGAGTATGCGGTGGACGATTACCGACGCATCTCTCTCTCCAGATCGCCGTTATCTTGTAAGTAATAAGAATGTGTGGAAGTTGCTGCTAGTAAATTCTATCACCATGCAAAACTAGGCAGTTCAAATTTATGATGAAAAGATAAGTTCAAATTTGTGCATCTCACATTGAACATGAATTTCTGTCTGATTAGAGTTTATATTACAGGCTTATTCAAGTATTACTCCGACAGTCCATATTGTTGATGTTGGATCTGCAACCACAAAATCAACAGCGAATGTTACGGTATGTGTTAGAATCTCTGTTTAACTTGGAAAGGATGATGAATACTTTAATTTTGGATTTACCCTATCAAGTGGTTACGGATCATCAATGATGGGGTTTTGTCACGGCTAGGTGTTATGGAGGAGCCTATAAGCTTTTTCCGTTTGTTTATTCTTAACATGTTTGTGTCAACTTTATAGATCTGCTTGGACTTTAAAATGCGTTATTTTAACTAATTACTTGTAGTGTTTTCCCAGATCAGTAAGATTACATTTTTTATTTTTCAACATGAAGTAGGTAGAGCCTTAATATGAGATCCTCTGAAGGTTCTCTTGGGGGAAAAAGAAGAGGAGAGTAAATGCATGTGCTCTCGTATTCACTAAGGCTTATACTTTTCTAATTGCTTTTATAAAATTTAAATACGGTTCCGGATGATATTTTTGTAGTTGTTTGTGAATGAAGATCCTCAGGAACATGAGGGTGGAGTTTCTCCTTTCTATCTAATTCCACTTGTTTGTCTCATGTTTGATCATGTCATTTTTCCTCTGTAGGAAATTCATGAAGGTCTGGAATTTTCGTCTGATTCTGCAGACTATGAAGACGATTCTTTTGGAATTTTCTCAGTAAAGTTTTCAAAAGATGGGCGAGAATTAGTTGCTGCGAGTAACAATGAGTCAATATACATTTATGATCTTCAAGGAAACAGATTGAGCCTTTCTATTCCTGCTCATGAGGTAATACTGCTGATTACTTAATGTAGGGGTTGGTTGGCCTTTTTTAAGTTAAGCCTTAGCAGCAATGAACTTAAATGGGTTTATTCTCGTAAGTAATGGAGGTTTTTCTTATCTTCTTATATATGGGGATGAATGAGGTGGCTTTGTTTGATCCAATCTTCAGAAGCCGTTTTTTATTTTGGAACTTGCTTACTCTTTAGTATTGTAGGCTTGTATCCATTTATGAATCTAATTGTTTGGTAGGATTGAAGTACAAGCTAATTTGTTCTTGCTTACTACTTTAGACATTTCTACTCTTTATGCTCTAGACATCTGTTTTATCCGGTCAGATTTGAGGTTGTAAAAATTCCTATCTCGCTGCAGAATGATGTTAATGCTGTATGTTTTGCTGATGAGACTGGTCATCTCATTTATTCTGGCAGCGACGACACCCTCTGTAAGGTGAATTTACCCTCATTCTAACGTCTTCTGGCAGTGTATTTGCTTTATCATATTTGTTTTTTGGGTTTTGAGATGTCAAAAGGCTATTCTTGTCATTGTTGAACTTAAACTACATGCTGAACTGCTGACTGGTAATATGTTTTTTTTTCCAATAATTTCATTTCAATTAAAGCTATGTTTTGTTTTGCTGGAACAACTGGGAGAGAAGCTTCAGACATGATAATGTAGCCCAAATATTTCTAAATTAGTTTCCTAGTCATAGAAATTATTGTAAATCAATGAAACCTTGAGGCTGTGCCCTTTACTAAACATGATATCAATCATCCTCGAATAAAGTGTGGATTAATTTATTTTTACTCCCTTTCCTACTTAAGAATTAGCTGATGGTAAAAGATCCCTGGTCAAAAGGTACTCAAATCAGTCCCCGTTGATGGACAAATTCAGACATTGTAGTATGGTGATAGCTGCTCCGTAGGTTGGTTGTGGAAAATTTGTCTGGAGTATTATAGTCTTAGCTGATGATGTTATCAAGACTCGTATATGGGAAACAGCTTGTGCAAGTTGCTGCCATTGAAGTTTGTGAGTTTTCCGCTCATAAATTTGGTTGTGAATTCAGGTCTGGGACCGTCGCTGTCTTGGAGCAACAAAGAAGCCAGCTGGCATGTTGATTGGACATCTGGAAGGAGTTACATTCCTTGATACTCGGGGGGATGGCCGTTATCTTATATCAAATGGAAAGGATCAGTGCATCAAGCTCTGGGATATTCGCAAAATGTCATCTAGAACCAATTAGTATGTTATCCATCCCTTTTGTTTTTCCAAGTTTCATTTGTCTATGGTAGGAATCAAGGAGTCCTTTGACCTGTGTCCTTGTGTCTGTAGCTTGCACTACTCCAAAAGCATTAAAATCTTTGTAGCAGTTATTTGTGTGTGCTCTTTTTTATAAACCGCCCCTGTATTTTGACCTGTTTCTGGTCTCCTTTCCTTAGCAGTTATTCCAGATAAAATATAAGCCTTGTACGGCATGTGTAGTCACTACTTGATGGAAGTTTTCCGATCTAATTATTTTTGCTGCCTGTTTTATGCAGCACGCCAAGAAGCACCCCTCATTGGGACTACAGATGGATGCCATATCCAGAGCGTGCAAGAAATAGGAAAAACCCTGATGACATTTCATTGACTACATATAAAGGCCATACCGTTTTGCTCACTCTCATACGATGTTATTTCTCTCCGGCTCATAGGTAATTCATTACCGCTGTGTGTACTGAGACCCTTAATATGAAGAGTCTCTTTAAGGTTTCCTCCAAGGCCCCACATATATAAAGGTGTCTATTAAGTCTGGGTAGTCCTCAAGGGGAGATAATTCACTGTTTCATTAAAGTCGTTAACTTTGTATCTTTCTCTGATATCGAACGTATCTGATACATCTTGCATTTAGTAGGAATTCATATAGACATATTGTGATTTTTCTGAATATCTGCCTAAATTTTGCAGCACCGGCCAGAAGTATATCTACACTGGATCTGCAGATAATTCTGTGTATATTTATGATTTGGTACGTGTTCTCTCCTCTGCTTCTTTCAGCGAATATCATTTGCATCTTTATTTTTTACCTTTTTTTTCCTCCACGTTTTTAAAGGAGCTGGTATTTGTGACTTCCACAAGATTTATGGATGGCCACAATTACTATTTGAGTATGTCCTCACGCAACAAGTGGAAGGGTATCTCCATGGATTTTAGTTTAGGAAACAAGCATATTGTTGTATTGGAGTTGTGAAAGCTCTTAGTTTGTGTCTTTCTCAATCCGTTACCATGGCGTAACTTTGTGCTTGCTCTTTAAAGCTCCTGCCATTTAGATAGTCCCAATCTTCTTTATTCATCTTTAAGCACAGACTATTTCTGTTGTATTTTGCCCTGCGTTCATGAATCCAACACAATTTTTGTGTACCTTTCCTGCAGGTGAGTGGAAAACAAGTTGTAAGACTTGACTACCATGACGCACCGGTGAGAGACTGCAATTGGCACCCCTTCCTCCCTATGTTTATTACTTCGTCGTGGGATAAAGTCATCGCTGACTGGAAGTTCACTAGGAGAGACGACGAAAGCAGCCCTCCGCCTGAGAAGCGGACAAGAAGAGGTAGGGGGCCTCGGGGAATGCTTGTTGATGAGCTACTCTCATAATTCACTGAAAATGTGAGTTCCACCATTGTCTGTGAATAAAATTCCTAGTTGACTACAAATATCTTAATACTCCCTTGGCATGGGAAATAAAAACACTAAATATGGGAATGTTTTGAGCTTTTTATTGTATTGATCCTATATAAATCTGTTATTTAACATGGGCACTTCAATTTAGGTTCTTGTTGAAGGATACTAGAATAGACTGTTCTATATATGCACACTCCATAACTCTTGAAAGGTTGAAGGAAAAAATAGTTGAGTCTGTCGGTTAAAGGTTGTTTCTTGGGACTGATTAATCACAAGCTCTTTGCGAAAACTAGATGTGATAAAGGAACTATTTATTTGCTTTGTTGAATGAATGGATGATTGAGAAGCTTGTCAGCACTCCATCTATATTCCACAGATACAAATATTTTCCCCAGGAAATCTTTCCCACATTCAGATATGTATTCAGGTTTCTGAGGTTCCCATCGGTCTTCGGCTTTCCAAATGCGTTCCCCGCCATTCATCATCTCCAATACTAGGCATCCAAATGACCAGATGTCAGCCGGCGTCCCCTGCATCCCAGACTGCATTGATTCCGGTGAGGCGTAATAAGGTGTTCCTCGAAATTCCATGATCTCCTCACTCACCCTCTTACTTAACCCGAAATCAGCCAATTTTAAACGATGCAAACCGCCATCTTGTGCTGGGAAAACAAGAACATTGTCGGGTTTAATATCGCAATGAACCACTCCTTTCCGATGAACGAAAGAAAGCCCTCTTAGCAACATGGAAGCGTAACCAGAAACAACAGTTTCCGGCATGACATTGTTATAACTTGTGATCAAGTCTTTAAGTGAACCACCAGGTGCATATTCCATGATAACATTGTAAACCATCCCTTCATTATCTTCTTGACTTACCTCTTCCCCGTAACACTGAATAACGTACGGATTACCCTTGAGTTTCTTCAAGAACAAAGCTTCTCTCTTCAAACTCGCTGAATTCTCTAGCGCCGCGGATTTTACAGCAACCTTGTTAGGAATCCGAAAACCCGGAGAATCGGCTAAATGTACCTTCCCGTACGATCCAGCACCTAGTTTGTTGAACTTCTGCCACATTGTTTGTTGATTAACTGTGAAGAAATTAATTTAGGACTAGTAAATGATATTTCAAAAACTTGAAAAATTCACACCAGCATTGACAGTATCCGGGTCATTAGTTCTTAGATAATTGTGTTATACCCTGAAGCTGACGGATAAAAAACCGGAACATGATGAATTTGTTTTTTATATGAATCAGAGGCAACACCATATTTAGATTCATAAACGGTTTACAATTCTAATCAGTTTTGGAATAGGAAACCATCTTAGCTAACAGGAACGTGTTACACAAATAAGTTTCTTTTTTTCCCTTTTAATTGCTGCTATTATTATTTGCTATTATTATTTGCATAAGAATGTGTGTGTGTGTGTGTGTGTATCTGCACTTTTTTACATCAATCGGTATGTCAAATTGCTAGTTTTGTTTTCCCTTAAAAAAAAAAAACAGCATTTGGTACAAAAAATTAATAACAATCATGATTGTTGTAAGAGAAATGTTGTTATCTTGGCTTGACTCCCTTTCCTGTTCGTGTCATCTGTCATCTGTAATCTGTATAGGCTACATAATCACACAAAGCTTCTTTCCTATTTCAAGAATTTAAAAGGTATGAAATTTTGGAAATTTTTCAACTCCAATACAATTGGAAATCGGAACTGCTACTACAATTTACTCCACATTCTTTTCTGCTCATCAAAGCTTCCAACTACAGCAGACTGGTTTTCGACACCAAGTTGAGTGGCGAATAGGTTATAGTAAGCAATGGGGTTCACATCTTCCAGTACTCTAACTAGTTTTCCTTGATTTGTATCAAGTTTTATTTCCCCGTCTTCAGCTTCAATGCCTCGTGCCGAGATCATGATATTTTGCATTCGAAATGATGGTTCCAGGACTGAATGATCTCCACCTAAGACTACAGCACCTAAAATTTCTCCAAGGAATATGTCCTGCAAAAGTTAAAATCACTATGATTAATTCAGGTTGGATTGTGGATAAATGCAAGAGACTCAATTGGCATATAATGTGGAAAGATAGATATTTACCACATGTTTGTATCTGGGATGAGCCTGTTTCAATCGATGCAAGCTTGACAATAAGTTCCGGGCAAATAAGGCCTCAGGAGTCTTCTTAGTAAGATTGAAGATTTGCAGGAGTTTGGAAAAAGTACTGACTTTGCGCTGAATGCTTAGTGGAATGAGTGTGATATTAAGTTCTGAATCAAAAACTGTCTTTGCAGCCAATGGATCCAGAAACATATTCATTTCTGCATACTTATTTGAAGGAACATTCATCACATTTCCTTTTTCACTGTTTTTGGAATTTATGTGGCCTCCAACAATGACTATGTCCTGTATCAGGATCCGAAACATTAGTTCATTTTCATTAAGTAGTAAGTAACCTTGATCACAAGTATGGAAGAATGATTACCTGGATTCGCGAGGTCATATTTTTGCCCAAAGAGATGATTTCTGCTGTAGTAGTCAAGGGTCCATTTGTCAAAATGGTAACTTTAGACCCCGGATCAAGAGATTTCACTACTGACTGCCATACCTCAAGAGCAAGTGGTTGTCTGAGTTCCTGGTGATCAGTATCTCGAGGCGCTCCAAATTTGACAGAATTTTCCCCTGTATACCTGAAGTAAATAAGGACTAATATCAAAGCAGTGTTGTATTTATGTAAAATGACTGAGTGGAAATATGTTGAAAGAACATGCCTACGAGGACTTCTTGGCAAATCACGAGCCAAGCCGTAAAGGGTATCTGAATCTATAAATCCACCACTGCCATGAGGAATAGCCTTTTTATACTTGCAGTCTCCCACTGCAGGAAAGATGGGATCAGATTGATTCTTCGCAAATACACTTCCCAGGCCGACAGGAATGTCATCACGACCCACCATGTGCAGTAAATCATACACAACATCTATGGTTGCTCCATTTGCCCATCCAGTTGGAGTAATCAGTATTGCCTAAAGATATTTATCAGATGCCTGAATCAGAAGTTCTAGTTTTATTTTTCTGAGTTTGTTGGCATCTTTTCCTTACTTGAGCATCCGAAACAACAGAGATTAAGGAATGAATTTGCAAAACAGTAGAGGGACATTTAGTTACCTTAATGTTAATAATTTCAACAGGAACTTTAAGGAGATAAAATAATGCTAGGAAGTCTCCAGCACTCATATCCATGTCAAACACAACATTCTTCCCAAGCTTCTTCCCAGTGAAATCTGGCTTGTAAAGCGTTTCCTTGTAATGAGGAAATTGCGTCGTAATATTGAACCTTCCAGAATTCTGAGGACGATTTAGAACCTGTAGACACCAATGACACTGCATTTTTAGTCTCAATATACTAATTCTTGATAAAAGGAGTACATACATCAGAGGCTATTTTTTTTTTTTGGCTAATTTATTATACTCAATAACTAATTTGTCCTGCTTATATCATATCGTGCGAAATAGTATTTCCAATGTAGATAATTTCTATGAAAATCAAGCAGGTGGATCCTCATACATCTAGAAAGCTTATAAAGAATTCTCTGTCAAGGGAGCTGCGCTGATCACGATTAGGCTTTGCTTTCACACCAACAAGCACTTGCACGCCTTCTTTACCAGTTACTTCTTTTGTGTAACCGTCCTGATCAAGAAGAAACACATAATTCATCAGATGAACGACAAGAGTTCACATAGTTTGGAATGGTAGGACTGGAGGTCTTTTCAGAAGCCATTCATTGCAAATGTTACTTGGGGAGAGAAGTGGTACCTGGCATCTTCCTTTACCATTCTTCACAATGCAAAAAGGATCCCGGAGTCCAGTCTGCACATGGCCACTATGAACTCCATTTCTATTTAGATTGAACTTGGGAGTGTTACGCCCATCAAACAATGGATTTGACCCATCAGATATCCTGTATGGCTCATTTGAAGTAACTACAGTGATGTTCATAAACTCCATCTCAGCAAATTCATTCTCTCCTTGCTCGTTATGTGGTTTACGCATAATGGAAGTTGCTACACCAGATAAAAATGAGTCCCACATAAAGTAACTCTGCAATGATTATATAAGAGACATTACCATAAACAGTATTTTCCATGGACATCTAAATCAGAAAGTTGACAAAATTTGATAACGGTTACTAAGACATTACCGTGTAGAAGTTATTATCGAACCAGGTGTCACGAGCTATTTTCAAGGATTTGAAGCAGTATTGTGCTTCATAAGTACGTTGATTCTTCTCAAATGCCTCAAAGAACTCTTGAGTTATAGGAATGGTGTTTGTAGCATCCAAAGGAATGAGGGTAACAGGGATTCCTGAGTGAAATACCTACATTGCAGGTTGAAGAAAAGATGTTAATCCTTTCCTTTGAATAAGGATAAACCATAAAGGTTAGGCGGACTAGCAAAGAAATTCTGTGATACATTATCAATCATGTACCTGGTATGCTGCAAAAGGATCTCCAAATAAGTTGAATTCTGCAAAAGGATTACTAGTGTAGTCTGTAAATAAGTTGCCGTGATCACCACACTGCCGTGGTTGGCAGGATGAGCCGGCATTCTTTGGACAGCACCCGGTTGGATTCTTTGCCCTCACACCACCACCCATGATGTAAATGTGCTTGACATTTCTCTTCAAATGGGGATTCTTCATGAGAAATACGCCAAAATTAGTCTCCGCTCCAATTATGATAATGGTTGTCGGACCAGCAGAAATCTTGTCAATCAACACTTGCTGAGCAGTGGGCTGTTGGAGAGGCAAGTATCTCCTTTTGCCCTGAATTCGAAATGAAGGCAGTCAGGCAATGCTGATACTTGGTTAATGTAAAATGCTGATATCCGCAAAGTAAGCTATAAAGACACAGAATTGCAGTTCCAGCTGACCAACATTCTTAGCATCATTGTTAGAGAAACATCAAGTGAGCCTTAAGCTTTACTCATCATCTCTATGTTCAGATAAGCAATCCATACCTGTGGCAGAAAACCTTTGCGAAAACCGTAGTTTGTATCTTTAGATAATATACCTCCACTGCCTAATGGGATGGCTTGCCTGTATCTACAATATCCAGCTGTATCAATTCCCTAATAAACCAATAGAATAATTCAGTAGGAAACTATGGCTAAAGAGAAGTGAATGTGCACTGGAAGTAAGAGAAATTAAACATGCAACAGATATCAAAATTAATATGAAGCTGAATGTTTCTTCACCTGATCAATTATAGGGAGGTATCCTCCTACATTTGGATGAATAGTACCATCTTCAAGAATCCCACCTTCACCGCCAACTCCAACAGCAATATCATCGCGACCCATCATGTAAAGAACATCATAAATCTGATTGACAGCATGTCCTGCATCAGTCCATGCATTTGCGTTTAAAGTAACTGCCTGCATTTATAAAATCAACATAATCATCACCTTGTATATATGTTCTCATTCATTTCTTTATACACAGGGCAGGGAAAAGCTACTACAAATGACCACATGAAACATGAAAGTGAAAATTAGGTAACTCAGAAGTTTCTGATGCAAGCATTTTGGTCATTCCTGAAAATATAATCCTGAATAAGCCGGCATCTTCTAGCTATGATTAATCTTTATACAAAAACTCCAAATTTAATACCTCCATTTAAGAAACTCTGTAAAATCCAACTAAAGCTGCAGTTATACAAACTCTAAAGCTTAAAGTAGTCTGTTTTAATCTTCACTAAAACTAGTTCCACTCCTAACTCTGACAAAAAGAAGCAGACAAAGATGTTTGACTTGGCCCCATGGCTTTCCCATTCATCCTATCATACAAAAATGGAAAAAGAGAAACACATCACACACACACACACACACACACACACACACACACACACAATGAGACTATGAGAAAAATACATGAACACATATAAAACAAAATGAATTTGCATTAACCAACAAAAGTGAAAATATACAGAAGAAGAACAGAAAAAGCAACAGTTTTTAAGAGTAAAAGTAATGACCTGCAAATCAAATTCTGATCTGTTGAGCTTCAGAATATACAAGAGAGCAAATAAATCATCAGTATCAACATCCGTATCCAAAAGAAGTCGATGCGGCTGAGCCTTCACTGTGTGTAAAGCTCCAGCAGCTGCTATCCCAATGATCACTACTACTAATACGGACACAAGAGTGCATCTTTGAAACAACATTATTTCTTTCTCCAAAAACAACTCTTCTGTGAAAAGCTATTACACTTGTTTTAGAAATATGATCAGCTCAAAACTGCTAGATTACTCCCATCCCTGCAAATCAAAATGACAAATGAGACAGAACCCACCAAAAATAGACTAATAACATCACCTTTAACAGAATCAAAACTATAAAAACTGTGAAAATGCAAAAGAAAGAGAGACCCTTTATGAAGTGCAGCAAGCTTATCAGGCATAACATCTACTGTGTGACTGTGTGTGATGGATTAAGGAGGGAAAGATCATTTACGCGGATATATATCTATATTTATACGATATGTATGACAAAAGAAGTAATTGCAACAACGTTGGAAAACGTGATGAGGAAGAAGAAGAACAAAAAACCAGGAGTAATTTGTAATGAGAGCTGTGGTCTTACAGGAGGAACAGAGAAAAAAAGAACAAAAGTGCAGAGTGCAGCAGAGCATTCAATTTTTTCATTCATCCAACTGATGCCAAAATGAATGATATTAGTATTTTATATTAGTATGTTGGGAAAAGCCAAAAAAAGGGATCGCTAGGATGATGATTCATCAAGAATGACGCAACTTTTCCATGGTCAATTTCCCATTACTACTTTGCTATTTATGTACTTTTGTTATTAATCTTTTTTTTTTCCTCAAAACGAAGAAGGTTGGTTTTTCCAATTTGATCTACATATTAGGATCATGTAAATAGAATCAACGTTGATCATCTAGACAAAGTAAAGTTTTGTTAGCCGCCGTGATTAAGTTAGGGGTTAGACCGTGGTTATAACACGTTGAAAAAACGAAACTGATTCACTTGACACAGGTAACAATCATTTTTATATATGGGAAGAAGAAAATGATATATATATCGTGAAATAATCCCACATTTATAGTTGAAATTCGTCTCTTTTTATATTTTTATTATCTCACCCAATCCTCCCGTCATTTTTATGAGAATTTCAAAAATGTCGGATCATGCTGTAATCCATTCGATTCATAAAAAAAAAAAATCAATCTAAAAAACCCGAAATCAGACCAAAATTTTAAAGCACTCAACAAAAATAATTACTCAATGGAACTCTAGAATTGACCATTTAATTCACTAATAATGTGGACAGCTGAAAATTCAGGAATCTTTTTATTTTAATCCAGCTGTGTTTTACGTGTCTACACTCTCCATATTAAATGGATTTTTTCTTTCAAAAATTCAGTCCAATAATCTTCACTTAAATCAATGTACGCCGGTGGGAATTGAATGTGTATCTATTTTCAGAATATACATCATTCTAATAGTTAGACAGTTATTCAGCTCTCAACGAAAATATGGATGTTATTTAATAATTCAATGCAAAAAGATTCGAATAGTTGCATGTTCAAAAAATAAATATTTAGCGCGATCCAGGGTTCAATAATAATGTTATAGAATGGCCTCACGCATGCATGGCTATTATCATATATTTTCTGTGGATTTTTTTTTATCTTCAAGTTAACCACGTTTTTTAGGGTTTGAACTTCATTTTCGCTGGAAATCTTCTCTTCAAAGATATTGTGAATTAAAAAAAATGAAAATCTAATAATCATTTTGTATGAGCTTGTGATTTGGTGCTGGATTAAGGACATGCAAAACTGCTAGAGAATTGTATATGTAAGTAAAACTGGAATTTGGAGTTTTTATATCTAACTATTTAGGACATTTCTGTAATCAAATTTGAGATAGGAAGAAAATGTAATGAATTATTTTTTTGGAATTTTGATTTATATGAATACCGAAAAACGAATCAGGTCCGACAAAAAGGGTCAAACAAAAAAAAAGAGGGAGATTCGCAAAGTGATGAATTGCTGTTTGAGTCTATCAATCCATAATAAAGAAGGTCTTGCAGTTAAAATTTTGATTATTTTTTTTTATTTTTTTTTTTGCATAATTCCTGATGCAATGATTTGACATTTCTGGAGATTCTTGTCCCTTGGCTGATTTGGATACCATTTTGAGTGACTCATCTTTTGTAGATTCACTTCCGCACTTGTCCATATGCACACACAAAATGTGCCATTTATAATGGAGAATTTTGGAGATCAACTGATTAATTAACGAGTCCGCGATCATAAGAAGAATAAGAGAAATGAATCAGATGATAAAAATTATTAAATTTTTTTTTGTAATAATTATGAAATAAGAAATCGAGTATTTCAAGTATTTCATAACTTGATGAGAGCGATTGGGAAATTTATAAAAAAAAAACAAAAGAACCATAATTCTTCGATATCGAAATAGTTTATTTAATTTACTCAAAAAAAATAGTTTATTTAAGCTAAATACAAGACAAGGTAACTGTAAGTGGGACAGTTTTATGATACTTGTGTCAACCGAATCCAAAAAGCACTTTAAATTAGATGGATTAAGGAGATCAGCTATTTAGAGAACAACAAAAGAAAAAAAGAGGGGTAAAAACACACACACACACACACAATGGCCAGGAACAGGAAGAGCATCCCGACTTCTAATTTTTAGGGTTTTTTCTCCCCCACTGGGGAGTTGACTTTTTTTTTTTTTTTTTTTTACCCAAATGCCACGTGATTTGACAAGTGCAAAATACTATCATTCTAATGTCTTTTCAATTAGGTTTGTGTAGAAGGTCAAACAATTTTACTTTCATTGACTTAATAATTTTTCCCATTAATTGTTGCAAACATGATTATTTTCTCGGGATAGAAATAATGAGTCATCTTATATACAGATATAAATCTTGTTGTTTGAAAAATGATTACTTTTCGATGTACTTCTTACTCAGTTTTTTGGTATTTCAAAATTATTCATTATAGACTATGACAAGGATTTACGTAAAAGTGAGATGTTTTCAATTTCTTTATTATACAATGATTGTTTGTTTATTATATTAGACTAATGTAACGAAAAAAACAGTTATATTGAGATGTGATCAGTATACACGAAATATATATTATATATATATATGTCATTATACTGAGATTTGAGCCTCAAATAATGGGGAGTACCACCGGTAAATTGCAAATCCATGGTCGGAGTGTAACTGTTCTTCGTGTTCCTGGTACTCATGCCATCTAAAAATGTCGGATCATGGGTGCCGCCATGAATACACGAAAATAATGCAAATTAATGTGGAAAAGCACCATGTTTTTATTCAGCCCACCATATCTTTGGAGTATCTTTTTCACGACATAAAATTCCACAAAAAAATACATCACTAAAAATTCGACAGTGTTCATCAACTATATATTCCACACAAAAGCATCATCAGTAGCCAAATTTTTGTCAACTCCACTAGTGCACGTGAAACATTTTCATTACATAATCGTGCGATAAAGATAAGACAAGTTAAAGGGGAAAAAAAAACCCATCCTTTTCATCTCAACAAGAAAGATGATCAACAAACTCAATTGTTAAGATGATGATGAATGTAATTAAGTCAAACAAAATGACATTTTCTTTGTTACAAAATTAGAATGAATGAAAAGAAAAAAGAGATTTTTCATTTCGATGCTCATAACATACTTCCACACATTGTAAAGTCCCTTACTAAAAGCATAATCAAATCTTGCATTAAGTTTAAATCACAACCCTTTCTTGGTTAGTTCCTAAAGAAACATAATTTAATGAAAAAGAAACTTGGAGAATATACTATATTGGAAGAAGGGGAAAAAAAAAGAAGGTATAGTAGTTCTCTAGAGTGGTACTTGAGGGGAGTTTCAGTAGGGGGATCATGACTTAGCTTTGAGGCATAATCTTTCATTTAACACATTGATAGGTAGTTATCTCTCCATCTAATCTCAAATCTTGAATGGAAAGTACACAAATTTATCATATAAATTCCCTTCATCCTTTTCCCACAAGATTCCTGCTTGATTTTTCCTTCCATCCTTTGTGCTCCATAGAATCTATATATAAAATTTAAATTAAGAATGGAATTAATTGCACAATTCTCTTAGCATCATACTTTTTTTTTTCTTCTTTATTTTTTCCCCCTTCTTTCCTATCCTCTTCCTTACTTGTAGACTACGTAGAAAGCCAACAAAAGGGATAGTAACCACTATTAATGTTCTATCCTATTCCATTTCCTCAAGATTATATTATACAATATAGAAGATGCTGACCCAAAAAGAGTTCTAGAGAGGCTCAAACTTTTCAAGAGTGCTTATTTTGAGTGTGATTCCCCTTAAATTATTACTCTCTCCATCCCGCAAAAATAGTCCACATTGAGTTTTGAGTTTTGTACTATTTTAATACAAATTTAAAATTCAATGTGAACTATTTTTGTGAGACAGACGTAGTACTATTTTTTGCTTTCGCAAATGGGAGTAGGAAATGTAAAAAAGGTCAACTTCTTGTTATATATGGATTTGATAGACTAAGTTCGATTAACCATTTGGTGATCCAAATTCCAAACCACTACATAAGCATTATTAAGCTTTTTGGAATATGGAATTTGAGGCCCGCATCATTTTGTTAATTTATACCCTAATCCAAAATGGGGTGGAGGCTCCCAAATATCATGCTCAAGCAACAAGGGCTCCAAGCAGAAGAACTTTTTTTCTAGAATTACATTCTATAACATGGTGAAATCTAAAAGGAAAAAAAAAAGGAAAAAACAAAACAAAAAAATGAATAGAGATAATATATTGTGATCGCTATTGTAAAATTGCTAAAACATATTGCTGTGAAAATACAAATATTATCATTATTTGGATTTTAACTGCTCGCGAAGAATGTATAATAAAAAATACAATTAAAAAAAAAGGCTAATCAAGATGTAAAATTTTGCATTGATCCCACAGTGGAGAAAATCCAACTTGGGCACTTAAGAAAGGTACCTTCCTTTTCCTTTCCTTTTCTACCATGCTCAAATATTTTTGAGTAGTCAAATGGCTACACTTTTGCCTTCATCATTGGGTTTTAAGACACGTAAAAGTAGAAAGGCAGTGGACTGTCCAAACAAAATGAGCTCAATTAAGTCATTGGCAAGTTAATTATACATATTAAGCCTACCCATTATGGCAGCTCATGATGGCTATGCCCAAGATAATGTAACAAAAGATTCAAGAACGTAAGGTGACTGTAATATCACACCCAAAATGTCTTTTTCTCCAATCACATTAATAATGGCATTATGCTTGAATGGTAAGTATTCATCTATATATCTTTAACTATAAGTCGAATTTTGTTAGAGTACGGAAAAAATTTTAAATTTTTTACTTTGACCAATTAAAACTTATCCCATCGTGCTTTCTCTCTCATCTCTCCCCTCTCTCTTCTCTCTCGCCTCTACTTTCCTCAACCATCACCACTTTTTCTCAATAAAAAAAGAAAAAAAGAAAAAAGAAAAAAAGAAGAAGACTTGCCTCCGTCGCCCCAGCTCCGCCGCCCCTGATGCCCTTCGCCGCCGCCACCGCCGCCCTGCTGCCGCCCTCCACTCGGAACCCAGATCGACCCACCGCTGCTGCCCTTCGCCGCCCTCCTTCGGAACCCATCCAGCCGATCTACACCAGAAGCCATTGCTGCATCCCAGATCTGACAGAGTCCATGCGGGATTGGATTTGGTTGTTTTTTTATTGTTTTGTTTTAATTCAATTAAGTGGGATAGTCTATCCTC